GCGCACTTCGACCATGAAAAAAGCCATGAAGAGGACACTCGTCAGGAAGGCCAAGACAAGGACCACGTAGAAGCTCTTCTGCCAGTCAACGGCGTGACCAGAAGCATAGCCGGAGGACTGAAGAGTAGCGTTGAAAATCTGTTGCACCGGGGAAGGGAGAATCTGATTCGCATAGCCGCTATAGTTCCAAAACGGAACGTAAGGAGCATCCTGACTACTGATCATCAAGGTGACACTGGTCAAGACTGCCATGGCTTCCGCAACCGAGGGTACGTTGGCATTCAGGAATGCCGTGTTGCTGCTGTTGTCGTAGGCAGGAACCATCTGGGTCAAGAGCCGTTCGATGCTGGCGTCTTCGCCCGCAATTCCAGATCCGAGACTGACTGCATCCAGCCACAACCACCCAACGCTCTTCCAATTAATGTCATAGTTGTCTTCCACCACCCCTGGGACCCGACGACTGTACTGAAGCTCGTCTGTGGGGTCTTCACAACGGGTGCTCAGCTCGGCTCCGCTTGAGTCCACCTGGTATTGGGCGGAGCACAGACCGGATTGCTTGGCTTTCAATGCACAAAGGACATAGGCGGGATTATGACCGGTCGGAGCGGTTCCCAGCAGATAGAGAGCAGATGAGTTCTCTACCTTGGCATTAAAGATCGTGTTGTACTCAGTCGGATAAATTGGGAAGACGGGAGCCGGGTAGTCGGTGCCAGGCGCAAATCCAAAAATCTCATCCACCACCGTCTGATTTGTGCTCTGATAATAGGCCGGAGCCTGTGTATACCACGTTGTGGAGTTGAAGGGTTCGTGATTTGGCCATTCCGTGTAGATGATCGGCTCCAGCTCTTCCTTCGACAAGCCTGCACAGAGAACATTGACTGCCGGGGCCGGCACGGAGGCTTGGAGAATATACTTTCCGTCTCCAGTGGCTCCATTCGGCTGCCGGATCCCATTGCGAGGATTGCGCGCCGCATCGTATAGCCCGCCATGCGGAAATGCAGCGGTGACATTGTTGACCATTCGCTTGTATTTCTGGGAGGTTATCGTCATGTCCGTGACCTCGATCCAACTTCCCGTGACAGTAGTATTATCGTACAATGATCCATGAGGCTTGATACGCGTTGTCAATGACGTTGAGGTCGCATTGCTCGCCTGTGCTAGCCCACTCCATTGTTGCATGTATTGCTCGAAGTCGTGATAGGCCCGACCGACAATCTCCATGGACACGCAGGTCTCATTCCGGCCGGCGGAAGGGTCGATGGTGGCGGTGATGGGAGTGTCGCACTGAGCTTCGAGGTAGGTGGGGTTCGCGAAGGAGGTCGACACGTTGCCGTATAGTATTCGTTCGTAGACGGGGCCCATCGCCGACTTTGGGGACACTGCGAGTTTAGATGTGATCAGCACAAGGACCCACGGGCGGAGGACAGTCAATCGGTCGGTTTCTTACCAAGGGCTTCCGCAGCAGTGGTGTAAAGCATCGAAACGAGAGTCGCAATCAGTGCAATAATGCCCAAAAGGGTACCTCCCGAGTAGCGCAAAGTCTCCCACTGCATGAACAGAGACCCGGGCTGAGTGATCCACATCCGCAGACTCATGTCCGAAATGCTGATGCCTCGCGACCCTCGACGCAGGGCTCTGCGGCTGAGCAGTTGGCCCACAAACGCTACACTGACCGTCACATAGGACAACTCGATGGTCTTGGCAAAGAAGGCACTGAGTAAAGTGGCCGAGGAGGGCGCCAGGCCACCGGTGTCGCCGATGAGGTTGCCATAATACGGCTTGAGGCAGGCGATGATGAGAAACAGGCCGGACAGGAGGGTAGTGTAGGTGGAAAGGACAATGAGCGTTGCAAAAAACCAGGAGCAACAGCGTTCGATGACAGGTTCACGCGAGGGGCAGTTCATCAACTGGTAGACATCGTTGGCATCGAGCTCACTGCAGGCTGTGTCACGTCGCTGCGGAGGAGAGCCGGGACTGGAGCTGGGGGTGGAACTCGCAACGGGTTTGATTCCCATATCGCCATCGTCCTCGGTCGGGGGTAAGGTGGTGTTGAGGTGTAGGTCGACGTCGTGCTGGAACTCGAGCAGGTGATGTTCAGCGGTAAATTCAGAAGCCATCCCTGGCAGATGGTCGAGAAGTTGGTTTGCTGTGATCTTGCCTCATCCGACCTGTCAGCCGCAACCTGAGGGGGGAAATTAGTTGAGGGGGGGAAATGGAGCGAATGGAGTCAATGGAGTTGTGTCAGACTTCATCCTGCGTGTCAAGTGTTTGGGGGCGATGGATGGGGAGGGGGAGGAAGACCCAGATCAGCCATCACATCAGCCGTCAGCCTAAGAAACAGTTAATTAATCTCAGGAAATGGGCAAATGAGGGAATTCCCTGCGGCTGTGCCAGCCTGGTGCATCCCCGTCGAGAAGCCGTCGAGAGATTGGCCCAACACATTGTTGGGGGAGACTTAGTGAATTAGTGTACAGGGGAGGACTGGGACTAGACCAGGGAATAACCAGAGGACAACCAGAGGACAAAGAGGCTGGAGCTTGGATCCTGGATCGGAGTTGGGAAAAGTGGCCCTGGGAGAGGGAGAGATCCAGAGGAGAGACGGACCGAGCGGTGAGTGGAGAGCCGGCGATCATCGCCCACAACCCTTGATTGGTCTGTTTGACTGACATTCGACTGTCAGCCGGGAGATCATGTGCCGGTGGAATTGGTGGGGAGCTCGCTGGTCACGTGCCGTCCTCGCCGTTCTCCGACTTGCCCCCATTGGGATTTGGCTGTAAGGCTCGCCTGGTCTACAAGTGCTCCGCCGGGCGTAATTACTGACCATCCAATTTGTGACCAGTCGGACGCTGTACCCACATCGAGCTCAATGATCTGATAGCTCCAGCACTCGCTGTGCCGCTGGATGTAAGCATTTTCTGATTTATTTATCGAGCGGATGACATGTCTCTGTTTTAGTCGGAGGTCCCCGCCCGACCTCACAAAGTTCCAGCTTCCGCAGCATCTGACCATAAAAGTATAGGTGATTCTTGCCTAGCAGTTTGTGATGCTCCTTCCCGAATGGCAACAGCAACATTGTCCTGAACTTACGCCCTACGGCCATAGTTGCCATTTTCTAAACCAAGACGACGCAGCTGAAACATCCACTATGCAACAAGGCATAGGTATATTCATTTCTGACGCTGTTCAACTACGTGCGCAGTTTGTACGCATGCCTACACCGACCAAGGGTGCCGACCATGTGGAACGGGTCGTAGGGCTGTCGACGAGACTAAATATGTAGCCGTGCCTACCAGCACCAACCTGACAGTGCATACCAAGCTGTCATCGCATAAACATCATCAGTTTGTCTTATATCCCCGAAGCCAATGCCTTCAACTGTTCTGCTCCAACAAAAGGGGAAATTTTCTCGGGTCTGTCGGCCCCCACGACCAGGGGGGCTGAAGAAGCACGCATACGGAGCGTTATCCCCCACACATAAAGTTGAGGACACTGCAACCATTGGTCTCCTTTCCACCATGACGCACAAATAAGACAGGCTGGGGATATGAGTGGTCAGTCTTCCTTGAACGTCCCTGCAGTTGACTACTCCGGAAGTCAAGTTACCAAGGCGAAGGATTCCCATTGTACCTAAATCGCCCCCAGCATCCCGCTTCTAATAGCCTTGGAGGACATTCAGAGAGCTATATGCGTTGCTATATGTGCTGCGCGAGACAGAATGATCAAGAAAGGGGGTGGAGTGTTGTGCATGCTGAAAATGTATATAATGCCCGACTGAGGCTGGAGAACAGCGGGTCTACTCCACAGACCACCCAACATAACGCTTCGACCACATTCTTCTGATCGAAATGAAGTTCTCGTTGATCCTGGCTGCTCTTCTCAGCACTTCAATGGTGGGCAAAACTCACTCTACGTTACATATACATACTAATTCATCAACCAGGCCCTGGTGACAACCCGGGTGCCAAAAGGCTACACCGTCGTGCCAATGACCTACAGGGGCGTCATCAATGAGGGCGGCGACGAAGTGGAACTGTCCGGAACAATTGAAGACGTCCACCAGCAGATCAAACGTCTCAATCCCGACTTCAACGTCACCCAGTCTTTGGAGGCTCGGGAGGCGGACGCCGAGGTCCACCGCATCCTCCAGAAAAGAAACAAGGTTTGCCGACCAATGTCCAAACACAAATCGGAGGCACTGACACTATGGTTCAGAGCAATTTGTTGTGCGACATTGAGGGTGACCACTCCGAGACCGCTACTTATACATGGATCACCAAAGGGATCCAGTATCTGCTCGCCTTGGACGGAGTGTGCAAAGTGGGTGCCGGTCCGGGTACCTGCGCCCGGATCAGCTGCTCCTATGATTCCGGTATCTACCTTTGCAATGATGTACGTTTGTTGGCTGCTCCCGCGTTTGATTTGGGTCGTGGAGGAGGATGACGGCTAATTGACGAGCAGAATGCGTGGGAAATCGAGCCCAAGTGCTCGTACCTGGCAACCTATGCCGAAGACATCATGACGCAGTGCTATGATGGGATGTATATCAATGGCCAGGAGTTCGATACGGATAATTACAATGTGATTGTCGCCGGTGACCTCTGTTAGCAGGGCATTAGCACATTGGCTCAGTGTCGATGGGCGGGAGACAAGTTTATCGCTGTTAGGCGGAGCAAGTCGCTCCGAAGATCATGCATGTCATGTCGTTAAGCTTCAGTTTCTACTGTACTATTAGTCCGTTTAGTTCGCGTATGTTCACACAACGAGTGCTAATTGTGCTGTATATCTGTATACCGGACCACAATTCATGGTACCTGCACATGTAGGATCAGCCGACATTGACTTATTTGTGTAGGGTGAGTTTATATGTTAAAGGATTTGGTGGTTGAAAACCTTTCAATTGAGCACTGCTCATACCCGCAGAGATAGAACAGCAGATTAGTTGGGAGAAGAAATTCAGGTAGTAGAAGACTCACCGAGAAGTTTCGATGGAGGGTAGCAAGCTACCAGTGCTCCTTAATAAGAACTTCAAAGATATAAGCAATTACTCTGGCATCATTTCGCATATGAAATACGGCCTTTCCTGCGACATCGATAGGGTAGTGCTGGCCGTCTTCCTCGAGCCGGTAGAATCGGGAGTACTTCCCGATGCCAACGATCCCGAAGACGAGTTTTGGCTCCTCCTGATCGGGGAGGTTACTCATCGTATGCACCATCTGGATCATGAGATTAGCCTCACGGTCCCACCGATCGAGATCGTCGTCGCCAGAAGGGAAGCGCTCCAACTCCACATTTAAAAAGTCCGCGTCTACCCACCTGGATGATGCCGTGATGCGCAAACTGAGCGTGCCCCGGTTGTTGACGGCAGACGTTGTGGTGCGCACATCGTACCCGGGGAAATTAGGCCCCATGTATTGTTCCGGAAAGAAGTGCTCAAGGATTGCGAGCCAACATCCCAGCATATTCATTGCGTTCACTTGATCGTCTGGGATTGAGTTGGCAACGCCGGTCACAGCGTCGGTGCCATCGTCAACCTCAGCAGAGAACATTTGTGGGAGATTAGGTATCTGAGATTGGGGCTGGGGTTGGGTAGCGGCTTGACCAGCACCCTGCTGATCTTCTGTCATCTGCGCTGCCATACTACACGTCTGCACCGTTTGACTCTGGTCAGTGGCAGTTTTCAAGATAATGCCTGTATGTATGGAGGATGAATAACCGGCAGGTAGCGGGACTATCCTGGTTGGTCGTTGTACCAAAGAAGAAAACTAGAGGGGGAGAAGTCTTAATCAAAAGATGTGGACGAGTACTTTATATTAAGTCTACATCTCCAAGGGAGGCCGCTAGAACTATAATCGTGCTGATAATCTCCATGGGATGTCGCCAGTTTTATTATTACTAGATGGAGTATACCATGGGATCTTCCGCTGATTAGTTGTCAACCGCAGCACTGAGAGCAACGCGGTCCAATAGCTTTCCACATACAAATTGATCGGAGAGTGCTGAGAACATGTGCATGAAAGTACAGTGCCCCTATCCAAGTGCTACGATGCCAGCTGCACCATGCCCAAATGAAACTGAATTCGTAGAACTGCTATATACTACATACTATATACGATACACCATGCATACATCCACCCTCGCGACAGACAGACCTCAATCAGAGCACAAAACCTACCAAGCCCTTCCACAATTCCAACCTCAAGTATAAGCCATAACTGAATTGAATGTCCAGAAAGCATACTTGAAATCTCCCGGCACATTCTTCACATAATCCTCGCAAGATCCATACCCAGTCTTGGCCGCGCACCCAGAACTCGACCACGCCCCGCTCGCCCAAGTCCCACAGAAAGCGGTGTCAATAACAATCCGCTGATTCTTGATATGGGTGGACATATCACACCCACTCCCGTTATTACTCTCAAAGACCGTAGTCGGAATTCCCCAAGTATCCGGATTCGGAGACGATCCTACAGGCCCGCTCGCGCCACTTGGAATGGCACCACGGGGGAAGAACCAGATGCGCACCGCCTGCGCAGTCCACTCCATTGCATAGACACCTCCACCGTTGTTGTTGAACCCCGATCCGAAGCTGTTGGTGCGCGGGTCAGTGGCATCGCACCCACCGTTGGCCTCTTCGGCGCAATTGTTCCACCGGTCTTTGGTCGCGCTCATTGCAGGGTTGGAGGTGATGGTGCATTGGCCCTGTTTGTTGCTGACATGCAACGACATCTGGTTGTTCTGGGCGTTGTTGGCGTTTTCAACGATGTCGATCTCGCCACTCTGTGGCCAGTCATCGGATGCGGCTGTCATCCAAAAGGCGGGCCAGGTGCCGCAGACTTGGGGCTGGTAATCTTAATCAACAAGGATATTAGGGCATGGGAGACGGATCAGGAAGAGTACCATGTATGCGATGTCCGCCACGATGAGAGTCCCGGGACTGTAGGCTGTCTTGCCGGTCAGCCGGACACTCTTGCGACCCTCATTGCCGACCTTGTTGGTGTTGTCCACCCCGAGATAGATGTTGCCTCCGTTGCCGATCAGGCCGTCGCTCCAGGCTGAGGCTTCATCCACATATTGCACAAGACCATTGGTGGGATCGGCCCCGGTCCAAAAGGTGAACTTGCTGAAGAAGTCCTGATAGTCGTTGCCGGTGTAGTTGTCCTTAAGGGTATAAGCTTGAGTGAAAGCTGGCCAGACTAAGGCAGTTGCTGCCAGGAAGAATGCGCGAGGTGTCATTGCGAAAGAAGTCCCCTAGGAAGGCTTACTGGTGCGAGCCGAAAAGTCAAGTCGGGGCCTAAGGTGCACAATATATGCGACGCGTCCGAAAGCATTTCGTACGAACGGCATCCACCGTTATGCCATATACCTGATGGTGCTAAGTAGCTCTGAGGGGCATATTTCCACCGAATGGCCCGGGGGTATATTGCTCTGGGGGCTGTTCAACCCGATCGGGAGAATGGATACCCGCTATTTCAGGCCAGGCTGACGGCCCGTCAGTGAATACGAGCTTGATGAGACAGTGCGAAACACCAACGCACCGCTGCGATCCTCGCCATCGAGTAATGTGTAGGAATCCGAGACTAGGGCATCCTTTGGCCCCAAGGCTCTTCACGAGATTAGTGTGATCGTCAGGGGAAAGTACAGAGACTCTGGAGTCCTACGGCGCCCAATTTCCTCTCAGGAACGGCATCGTCGTTGCCAAAGTCAACTTCGCGTGATTGCGAACCTGACCACGCGCAATGATTTCTTGAGATCGTGACATGCGAATGTCACACGGTGAGTACGCATGGTGCTTCGGTAGTAGAAAGATGGTCACCTTCAACCTTTACGTGCATAGAAGAAGCCATGCATTGAATGTCATATCCGCCCACATAGGGCACAACGCGCAGTCAACAAATCCGGCCATGATGTCAGGCAAATCATTATCATTCATTACATCTATATACCTACATACTCGTAACCCATCAAGTGGCCAAGTGAAATACAAGAATAAGCGTCAGCGCCGAACCCTCCATGCAACCTTGCATCACTTCTGTTATCCGTTCATCAGCATGTGTATCGCACCCACCAGCCCGTCTGCGCATCCTGGGCCATGAAGACAGCATCTCGATGTTCCAAAGTCAAGTGAAACTGCAGTTGCTCTTTACAATCCAAGGTTCCAACCAGAGCCTCGTGAGGTCCGGGGGTCTGCGGCCAGTAGGAGAAATCTGCCGCGCCGATGCGGGTGATATTGCCGGGAGCGACGTTCTCCAGAACGCGGACCAAGGCGTTGGAGCCCGCAGTGAAGTTGCGGCGGGCGGGGATGGTCCAGCCGAGAGTGCACTGGCGGGCCTCGCTGGGCAGGGTGAAGGTCATCAGTTGGTCCCATTGAGTGGTGGCGGAGCGGGAGAGATTCAAATCCGGGGTGGGAATGGGAGAGGCGGTTGGCTCGGTCGGGAAGATCATCTCCATCTGTGGCTGGAAGACCTGGGTGCCTGAGGCAAGACAGGTCACTTGTTGATGGTGGTGCTGGTTGTTGTTGGGATTGGGATTGTTGTCGGGACAACCCGCCTCCAGGGCGCAGGGATCAACAGAGCAGCATCCCCGGAAGTGGTTCAGATAACACGCATAGAAGGTCGTCCCAGCACCGCACTGCGTATCGTCCCGCGGAGACAGCAGGTATGGAAGGCTTGGGTCGGCTGTGGGGAGGGCCACTGACAAGGACAAGACCGCCGTGCTGGCAAGGAGCGCTTGTCGGAAGAACATTTGGAAGGAAATTTAGCAGGACGGGACGATCAGACAGGGAATGTGCCAGGCGAGGATGGAGGAATGCGAAGAAATCTGGAATGCAACAGATCGAGGGTGAAGGCAAGTATCGGGATTTATATGATCTATCTTGGACTTGATCGCCTCTCCGCACCGCCGCAGGAGGTGGATGCAAGGTGCACACCTCATCCCTGCCAAATCCCTGGATGGGGAGATCATCCAGTACCCGACCGTGGTTCACAGAGCTCAGCGAGATTATTGTCTAACTGGACAAACGACCTGCGAAGCCCCGATTTCCGGATTGTAACACAATCACAGTGGCTGGGTTCATGAGTAGATAGGGCATCCGCGCACACATGGACTTGGCTCAGAGAGCCTGGAGGCAAAGACAGTAACCCCCACAGTTCACCAGACTGACAGCAAGTTTCTAGTCGCGCCTCGATCGCCAATGTGCTATGATCTCATCTCTACATGTCCGAGATAGCAGTGGGTGCGCTTGCGACTCACGAGGGCTCATTTGCTCTCCGCCTGCAAAGTCAGTTGCAACTGGGGCCGATGATCGACGCCGGCTGCCAGGATGCACCTGGCCTGCAATCATGATTCCGGTGTCGATCGCTCAGCCAGAGCGACCGTCACACGAATGTGTGGTTCAATTGCCTGCCTAGAGCCTCAAAGTTGAGATCTGCCGGGAAGTGGATTTAATTAGGATCAGCGACTGTATCCAGACAGCAGACAAAACATTGATCACGTACCGGGGTAACCTTCTTCTCTGAGGAGAAACCCTATGGCGGATGATACGGCAAGTCAGGGGTTCTCTTGATGTTGCAGTTCATCATGCTGAGGTCCAGGTGTGCGACTCGTCTCCCAGATCTATCTGGATTATCATCGAAAATTCCAGTGATATGATATGAAGAGCAGTCGCGGCTGGTGCGAGGACACCAGTGGAAGTAGTAACCCAGAAGGATGGTCCATTGATTGAAGGAACGCTGCTACAGGCGCCATGTTCCATCCAGAAACACCGAGACGTATGCCTTGAGGAAAAAGGCACAATCACTTCTTACGGGTTGAAACCAGGAACTCATCCGCATTGGGGGCGATAAGGGTTCATTGATATAGAAGAAAGGAGGCTAACTTACCTCGTACTGACTTATCCCTCAACTCCTCAACTCCTCGACTCGACTCCAACCATGGATTCACGTGCTCGGAAGTGAGCCGATACCTTCGTGCAGTGCAGTTGGCCCCCAAGCGCCCCCAGCGTCTTGTGTCTCCCAAGTGGTCCCTGAATCCTTCGCCCTACAATGGAAGGTCTTGGCACTCGCTTCCACCCCCATCCTATACTGATTGGACATACTCGCCCCCTAGGGTCCATGTGAACCATAGCCGTAAACCCTTCGCGATCAGGGTCCTAACGGTCTATTCGTAACGATCGAACACGGCTATTTTTGTCTCTCTCTATCGCCTGATGGAGCGGAAGTGCAGATCGGGACCTCAACCCGGTGACAGGTCATTGACCCCTCAATTGGTTTTGTGGCAGCCAGTAACAAGCCATCCACAGCTGCTCTCTTCTCCTGCGTGTCGAGACTCCATGAAAGCTGCTTTCTGCTGGTGTCACCATCGGACGATGCGCGTAGGCTGAGTGTCGCATAAATAAGCCGGTGGTGGAACAGTGTTCGAGATCCGCAGCCCTGCAGGTAACGTTTACTCTAACCGAAGCAGCGGTTTTGTTAGAGACCAGTTCGTTCCGAGCTTTGTTGGGGCCAAAAGCACATGGGCAGAGAAGAGGGTTCTGACAGCCACGCGAAGATCAATTGAATCTTGCTGGCACGGGTTGGCGCTTCTATCCTTGTATAAAGGCAGCCCGATTCCCAGTGCTGTTCAAATCTATCACCATCATTGTCCAATTCAACAGAATTACTGACAACCAGAACCATTCTGCACCCATCTCATTTGCAATCTCACAATGGCAATCCAAAGCACAATTGGTTTGGCCCTCCTGGGTCTGTCCGCCTCAGCCGTGGCGCAGACTGTCGATGGCTCCAAGTATAATTCGCCCACCGGTGGCCCTCCTTCTAGCTACTTTGCAGCAGCCTCATCCATTCCTGTTTCTGCCATTCAGTCGGCTGCCGCTAAGGCAAGTGGTGTGCCGTCGCTGGCCACTTACCCAGTGAACACTGACAAGAACTCCCCTAAATCGACCATCCATAATGATTGGGTCAAATTCAGCGATGTATGTTCTCGGGTTACAGCTTACGGCAGACATGTTCTAATTGCAGTAGGGAGCGGCTCTTAGCTGGGTAGCTGACATGGATGTGGACTGTGACGGGATTGACTACAAGTGCTCGGTGAGCCCGTACTGTTCTATCTATGTCTCCCTCGCAAACCACTCTGACTTGCAGGGGTATTAGGGCAACGGGGATGGGCAGGCGCAGACCAACTGGGGCGCACTCGCAGCCTACGAAGTCCCCTTCATTGTCATCCCCGACAAGTTTCTGACCGCCAACACCGACCTCCTTCCTGGGAACAACGTTGCTGCTGTGATCTGGTAAGCCCACCAGGACATATGTGAAGACGACAACTGACGACCGCAGCAACGGCAAGATGTACTACGGCATCTTGGGGGATTCCAACGGCGATGACCCCGAAGTCACCGGAGAAGCCTCCTGGCTCATGGCTCGGACCTGCTTTCCTGACGAAGGCTTGAACGGTGATAAGGGCCACACAGCTGCCGATGTGACCTGTATGTGCTCTTCTCCCCTCTGCTTCCCGGTACCCGTTCGCCAGAACTAATAATGGCAGATATCGTCTTCACCGGCAAGGACGCCGTCCTCCCCAGCAGCACCTTGGGTAAAAATTACATCACCAACTTCACGACCCTCCGATCCATGGGCGATAAGCTGATGGGCGCATTGGCCTCCAAACTGGGGTTGGCCGGTGCCGCTCCCAGTGAGGGGCCGACTTCCTCGGCGGTGGCGACAACCCTTACGAAGACTGCCTCCGCGACGACCAGCGCTGCGAGGCCGACAGAAACGGACGAGGACGAGTGTTCTTGGTCGGGTCACTGTGAAGGTAAGTCTCCTGTCACCACTAGGAGTTATTGAACTAACGGCTTAGGTGCCACTTGCTCCTCTGATGATGATTGTTCTGATGACTTGGTGTGTGATAGTGGGAGCTGCAGCACTGAGTAGAGGGGGTGATGTAGTTCCAGGGGGTTAAGGAAGACCTGACCACAGCATATGTACGATGTAGCTCGCGGAGAATTCCACTGGAGTCTTTGTTATAATTCACATCACTATCGTTGTTCTTCCACATCTCCATATGTATTGACACCGCCACCCACAGTCCCTGTGGTAGAAACTCGTAGCAACTGACAGGTGCATATACTTCATGCGTTCAGCATTATCATCAATTATTGAATCTAGGCGCCTCATACGTGGCGAGGACTTACCATACTTACTCCCCAGAAACAAGCTGTATCAAGCTGCCCCATCTAAGACAACCTGACTGCGCCAATCCACTAGAACATGGTCTTCTTCCTCTTCCTCCACAACATACCAGTTCCTCACCACCGCTGTCCCATCCACCACCGTCTTCCACACCTCCGGCTCACAAGTTGCTGGATGCAGAATATAGCACCTGGCCTTTGGCACTGGCTGCCGCTCATTCTTGATACTCCAGGTATCCCGCAAGCCGACCGTGCGAAAGTCGTCGGTCACCTGCATCAATCCGGACGGAATATCCCGATCGAAGGTCGCTCGGTTAAAGATCTCCAGCGCGGCCAGCGGCTGATACGAAGGCACCTCATGACCGGCCTGATATACACGGGTGAAACTGAAGTTGCCCAGCTGTCTCGTCATGCCTTTCACCCCCTCCGAGGTGAGGAGCGGGGTGTATCCAGCCTCGGCAAAGTCCTCCGCGCGGGAGTAGGGCACCGCCAGACTGGCCGCTTCGCCTCCAAGCCAGTTGCAGGCGAAGTCGCGGTCGCCGTACATCATATGCACCTTCACGCCAGTGTCGAGGAGGTAGGCGATGGCGTCGAGGAAGCCGGCGTGATCGATGTCGATGGCGTCGACGAAGGCGTCGCTCACGGCCGGGGAGGCCCCGGTGAAGTTGACGGGGACGCCCAGGGCGGAGAGGACGGATTCTTGGGTGAGATATCCCAGCCATGCTGCATTGAGATCAGTGTCTGGCAGAGACAGTAGCGATGGACGAGTCACTCACATTTGGCCGGGAATGGATCGTGCTTGGGATGGGTGATGTCGTACCAGGAGTGCTGGTCAATGCTATCAGTTCCATTGTTGAGACAAAAGCGAAGGGAACTCACGTTCAGCTCGCGTTCATATAATTGAGGCGCACCCCCTGCGCAACCCTGTTCGATTCCCTCACAGATAGCAGAGATATTCGGCGACGGGACGACGCCTGCATCGCGATCCCTCAAAGCCGCCTGACACTTGACCAACCGATCACGACAACCCCCCGGTCGCTCCCAATGGTCCAAGAGCGCTTCGTAAGTTGACTGATTGAAGATCTCAATCCCGTACGTCTGGATCCCATCCGCACCGATTAGCAGCCCAACCAAACGTACACCGCAGCAACCAACCTACATTATTATATCCAAGATGGATGTACGACTCCCCCTGCACCAACGAATCGACCAACCCATTCACGATCCCCAAGGTATCCAAGTGCAGAGGCCTTGCGCCAGGCTCCGCCACCCCGTCCGCGACCCGCTCATTCTGCTCCTGAAAGAACCGAAAGAATCCCGGCCCGTAGTGGCCCCCGTAACTCTCCGCCCACAGACTGATGCGATCATCCCGCGGCCGGTAGTGCGGGAATTCGAAGAACCAGGTCTGCACGAACTGCCACAGCGCCGGCGCCGCATGCGCCGTCGTATCCGCGGTGGAGTTGACCTGCTGGCTGGCGAAGGTGCCCACCAGATGGGTGAGATTCGACTCCGGGATGTCGGACCCAAAATCCCCGGGCTGGATCTTGCCACCTTCACCGTTGGTGTCGGCGAAGATGGTCCCGTTGGTCGGCACGTCGTACGAGAACCCGACCTGCACCGGTTGATCCAGGAAGAGGAGGTTGACCTCGTTGTTCCAGCTGTAGGGGTTGAGGATGGTCGTTTGCGCGTCCTCGGCGACGGTGCACGGGCCCAGTTCCTCGAAGAGGCCCATCAGCGAGGAGCCGCCGGGGCCGCCGTTGAGCCAGATGACTAGTGGGGCATTTTCGGGGTCTTTGCGGGATTCGAAGAACCAGAAGAACCTGCGTTTTGAGATGATTAGGTGATGGTTGGGGTTATGATGGAGGAGACCGTACGTGTTGATCGGGTAATCTTGCGGCCCGCTGTCGCTTTCGTTCAGGAACCCCGGGGGCAGGTGAACGTAGCCTGAGTAGGAGCGGACTCCGGGGGTGGTTTCGCAGATTCCGGGCTGTTGGATAGAATAAGAGATTGGAATTTGACTCGGTGGAATGGAAGATTACCTCTTTGTATGAGATGCTCACGCCCTCGTGGAGCTTGGATTGGATCACTGTTACTCCTTCGAGCTTGGGAGGGAATTGCGCGCTGGCCAAACCCAGGAAACTGGCGTAGGCTAAAGTGATCAGTGCAACCATGCTGCAGGGCGCTCTTTTGCACTTTGATCGCAAGTGAAAAAGGAAAAGAAAAAGTACATTTGAGCTGGTCGAAAGCGGAGGTTAAGAATAACTTGGTGTTCCGCTAACGCAGCAGCCTGGATGCAGTTGATGAGTCGACCGTAAGCCCTAGCATAAGGCGTCATTCGGAACTCCGCCGGCGAGCGATAAGTTACCATCCACAGGGGCTGATTCGCGGCTGATAGGCTGGTCAGTGCGCTACTCCCTTGCCTAGTAAGCCAGAAGGCTTATCCAATACGCGAGCAATTCGAATATTACATGTTGAGCTAACGGCCGGCTGAGAACTAAGGTACTTGATCCCGATGGCGGATGTCATGCATTGACACTTGTGGACGGCGGCGCTTTGAGCGATCCTGATTGGAGGAGCATCTCAGGGTCCAGTCCATGATAAGCATCCAGGACCCACTTGAAAGAAATTTAGGGGTCAAGGATGTGGCATGGTGCTAATTGTACCAAAGCAGTCCTTCCTGGGCGTACTGAGCTATCATGGATTCCAAGCCTCCTGATCACACACCGCACTTTACGACCAGGCTTGAATTACCCCTACAGCTACATTTGGTACCATCCACTCACAGCAGTTGTTGAAAGGTTTAGAGTTTAGACAGCTAAGCGTAAGCTCTGTTGAAGTTGGCTGGCTGGACAATGGACCCGAAACAATGCCATCCCGTCAGTCTGATGTCAACATGCGGCAGTTGCATCTAAACACTGCATCTCTCGGAACCCTAGAACCCCCAACAAGCACGATCCAGATGCGACTCGACCCTGGATTTGCAGCACACAAGCAACGCCATGACCACGATTCACCATCCTCTCTCCAGCCTTGGCCCCCTCCACCCGGCTCAAGCACCCACCATCACCCCCGCAGCCCCCGTTGCTGAGCGCATCCGCATCACCGTCCACGATCCGCACGACCACGAGGCCCCCGCCATCCTGCACCGACCACGCAGTTACAATGCCCGCGAAGTCCGCGGTGCAGCCGTGATCCTCATCAGTGGAGCAGGAGGCGGAGTGAGCGGTCCTTCTGGTACGTCCCCTCTCCGCCATCAACTCCTCCCATGACTGCAAATAACATCCGTGAAGGATTCTACCCTTCCCTGGCCGACAAACTCACCCTCCACCTTTCCATCCCCGTGGTACGCCTCGACTACCGCGAGCCAGCCAGAACCCGCTACTGCACCGCCGATGTCGTCGCCGCAATGAACTATCTCATCCAGCAGTATCAATCCACCCGCTTCGTCCTGGTGGGATGGTCCTTCGGCGGCAGTCCGTGCTTCACCGTCGCCGCACGGGAACCCGAGCGCGTCGTGGGCGTGGCGACGGTTGCGTCGCAGACGGCCATGACCTCGGGGATCTCGAAGCTCAGTCCCCGGCCGCTATTGCTGCTGCATGGGACCGGAGATACCGTGCTGTCGGTCAGGTGTTCGGCGGCGCTGTACGGGCAGTATGGTTCCGAGGGAGGTAGTCGGGAGCTGAAGACGTTTCCTGGGGATGATCATGGATTGAGTCAGAATGCGGAGGACGCAGAGCGGTTCATCCTAATGTTTGCGGGGAGGACGTTGGGGTTTCACGATCAGTTGAGGGGGGTTGGTGGTGGAGATGGAGGACTGGAGAGAAGCTGGGCTGGGGGGTGGAAGGAGAGGTTGCATTCAATGCAGGAAGGGAGAGATCTGGAGAACGGGGAGGCTGTAAACTATTAGAGCCTGGTCTGAACTTGTACACAAACTGTTGATAGATGACGTAGATAAGTGGGAGTAGTGCAAAGAATGAAACTGTCAATTTGCTACTTTCGGCTGGCCTTGCCCATAGTGAATGACAACGCCCATCCTTTCATCCAGTGAATTATCTGCCAGAGGACTCGTCAAACCTCACGGCTATAAGTATCTCACAATCATCATCTTCAGTCCTCAACAAAGTCAACTCCAACTCTCCCCAACTCATCATCTTTCATCAGACCAGTCAGCCACCACATTGAGGTACTGTTTCTCACCTCCCAGTTGTGTTCTCTTCTGCTGATCATACATCTTCTGATAGTCGATACTACACATACCCAGAACATCCACCAACTCGCGATGTTCACCATTGATACTGACGAGGACCCCTCGTGGGTAACCGACCTGGAGGCTGCTCTGCTCGATGACCCGAAGACCGAGGACAGGAACAAGAACGGCCCTCAGACCCCACAGGCCATTCTTCCGCAACTCATAACAACTAGCCCGGTCACTTCGCTTCCATCATCTATCTCTAGACATCAACCCAGCGTCCGCCAGCCATATCGTGAGATTGGGTCCAGTGCCACGAGCAAAGTCTTTGAGCAGCCAGGTACCCCGTGGGCGTTCAAGATCCTCATTATTGATCAAGCTATGAAGCTATGGAACAACTACACTATGCAAATGAGGGCTTACGACAGCTTTGTTGGAGTTGCCAAGGTGTTTTCACGCCGGCCGCGCAATGTGCTCTGTATGGAACGCATCCTTCCTCTTCCTCAGGCGGTTCGTGACGCGCTGATTGACCTCTTCGGCGATCCTACGAGCATGATGGCTGCCAAAAACGACCCCTCTAATGCCGACTGTCTGGTTCACATATTGCTAGGCAGCAAGAGTGGGACTGCCGCGCACCCAGGATCCTCCTCGTTCAGTCTGCGCAATTTCAAACTTCACAGTGATCAGGTTGAACGACTCCGGCTTGACGCGTCCGCCTTGGCCGCCACAATGGCAGATGCACTTGCCCTTCTTCACTGGCAGACTAAGGTCGACGGCATGGGTGTCGAGTTCATCCTCGGAAGCGCTCGTCCTGTGAATCACCGCGTCTTCCTCACCAGCAATCTGGCAATCTTCTGGATAGTTGGACATATTAATTTGGGAGGTGGGGGGCGTGGTGTACCTTGTACTTCGGTTGATTTAGTCAGACTGTGATACAAAGTCAATGTTAACCCACCGATACCATGCCAAGTGCAGATCTGGACGCTTAGAGTATGTGCTAGTAGTTGCACTGCGTTGAGGTGCGAAGCTCAACTCCGGGTCGATGTAAATCGGCTTCTTCATGCGGCTACATGCCCTGGTGCCTGATGCCTGATGCCTGATGCCTGAGGCCTGATGCCTGAGGCCTGATGCCTGAGGCTTTCCGCGGAGAAAGGAGAGTGCACGGGCCACTCCTCCTCTTGGCTGCCGTGTTGGGAATAGTGGCAGATGGCGTAGGGCTGTCGTTACGTAATGGAACGCTTCCGACTTTTCTCTTTCAGGTCAACCGGAGGAGAATATCCAGCGTGTTCAAAGGCGATGATTTCTTCGATCAAGTCAACTGCTCGGATAGTTTTACTATCCTCGGCGATCGGATTCCAGAAAATGCGAATTGAGTCGGATGCAGGGCGTATTCTAGAAGAGCATCGATCTCGCTCCACATTCAGCACTCCAGAGTAGATACTTAAGGGTTTCGCTTCCCACTTTCATCTCCAACACCAAGCAATCCCCTCAAGTCCAGCCATCTTTTCCCTGACTCAATCGACATCCACAAGAACAAACCAAGCTTCCTTGGCATTCCCGACTCTCAATGCATGGTGGAGGCTCCTCGTCGCCTGCAAATGCAGATGAATTGATAGCTGGTAAGTTGCCACCCGCATCATCCCCCACACGCAGCCATCTAACTCCAACACAGAGTTCGCCGGAACAGTCGACGACCTCGTCCTTGTCGACTGGGAGGGCCCAGACGACCCAGAGAACCCATTCAACTGGTCCAAACTGCACAAATGGCTGGTGACCTTCGTTGCTCTGTTCACCACCTTCCTCGTGCTTGCCAATGGCACCATCATCACTGTCGCCCACTATGAGCTGGACGAGCGTTTCCATGTCAGCGAGGCCTCATTCGCCAACTCCTACTGGCCCGTCACCACTTGGGCTCTGGGTGGTGCCTTCTTCTCGTTGATCATTCTCCCGACGATGGAGGACTTTGGTATCCGCCGCACGTTTCTCCTGACGCATTTCGTCTTCATTCTCTTCCTGATCCCGCAAGCCGTGGCTCAGAACTTTGCCACCTTGGTCGTCACCCGTTTCTTCGCGGGAGGCTGTGTCGCGGTGCTAGGGAACAGTGCTGCGAGCGTGATTGGCAACATCTGGGGCAGCGAGCGCGAACGCACCAAGCCAGTCAGCCTGTGGATCGTCGCCTACCTGGGCGGCAGCAGCATCGGGCCCGTGCTTGGGGCATCTATCCTCCAGTTCCTCTCGTGGCGCTGGATTTCCTACATGCAACTCATCTGGCACGCGATCTTGTTCCCCGTGGCCGTCGTCACGATGCGGGAGTCGCGCGACCTGGTGATTCTGAAACAGCGAGCCCAGCGACTGCGCGCGAAAGGCGTCAACGCATACACCCAGCACGAGATCCTGTCCAAGCCGCTTTTCGAGGTGCTGGCGACCAGCATCCAACGTCCGCTCAAAATGCTCGTCACGGAGTACGTGGTGTTCTTCTGCATGCTGTGGTCGTCGTTCACCGTAGGCACGCTGTACCTCTTCACCCAATCGGTCGAGCAAGTCTTCGACGCCCTGTACGGCTGGGACCCCGTGCAGTCGGGATACGTGCAGGGCGCCATCGTCATCGGGCAAGTCCTGGGATGGCCGTTGACACTCGTCTCCGCCCGACTCTATTTCCAGTCCGCGAAACGCAACACTCAGATCCCGGGAACGCCCATCCCCGAAGCGCGCTTATACATGTCCGTTGCGGGAGCCATCCTCGGCCTCACCGGCGGGATGTTCGTCTACGCGTGGACCTCATACCCCACACTCCCGTGGATTGCCCCCACCATCGGCCTGGGTATGGTTGGCGCCGGCAGCGTGGTCGTGGTGACGGGAATTATGGATTACGTGGTGGATGCGTACAGCAATTACGCCGGCAGCGCGATGGCGTGTGTCGTGCTGGGGGAGAACACCTTCTCGGCTTTCTTGCCGCTGGCGACGATGAACATGTATAGGACCATGGGGTTGCAGTGGGCGAGCAGTCTGTTGGGATTTATTAGCCTGCTGCTGACGCTGGCGCCGGTGTGCATTATGATCTGGGGGGAGAAGATCCGCGAGCGCAGTCCGTTTATGAAGGAGGCGACGGTGCGGAAGGTGGCGGAATTGAATGAGGCAGAGGAAGGGGAGGATAAATGTTGATGGTTATGAGGCATGATTAGATGAGATTAGATTCTATGAAATGATCTATGCACCTTTCAAGTTACAGCACTTGTGTTACGGTGGAAATTCACCCTCACACACCAGACCGGATCTTCCTGACATAAGTATATGTCTCTATCCAACATAAGCCACCCCCGTAATGGCCCCCCCAATATCAGGCAAGACAGTTGATTTACAGGACCCATCCAGATTGGCACAATACAACGACCCTCCCAGATCACCAAAGAACATCCGCTGGTTCTCGACGTCCAATGCGATTCCAATGCCCTCATGAAGCTTGCGCACTAGGATCTTTGGTTCCGACTTTTGTTTCGAGGCAGCCAGATCAGCCAGCACGGCCGCGTTGACCGTGTTCCCCCGGGGGGGATCGCCCCGATCCGTCCAGTACAGCGTCCCTGTGGCATGATCCAGCTCCAAGTCAATCGGCTCTGGGAGCTCTTCCAGCAGACACTCCACATCCGTCCTCCGCTCCACCGACTCTCCCTCTTTCCTCTCCACCCCCATCCGGAAGATCCGTCCCTGGTTCCCCTTGGACGGGCCCTTCTGCGTCCAGTACACCAATCCAGCCTCCTCGTCCACCGCGACACCGACACACCAATCATAGACAGCCGGTGTATCTGTGCGGTTGCTGGAGACCGCACGGTAGAGCACTTCAACCTCAGTCCCATCGAGGTTCGCCCGCATCACCCGTCTGCCCTCGCGATCCGACCAATACAGCTTTTGGGAGCGCGGGGCGATGGTCAGCTGTTTCGGCGTGTGCGTGTGGCCCTTTGGAACGATGGTCACGATGTTCTGTCCGGACAGATCGCAACGCTGAATGGATCCGTCATCGGCGGAGGGCACGCCCATGTTCGTCCAGTAGATGTGTTGCCGGGCGGCGTCGATGGCGATCCCGTCGGGCATGGTCTTGATCTGCGTGATCAGCTCCCGGGGGTCGGAGCCATCTGGCTTGCAGGTCAGGAGGCGGCCATTGAGTTCTGAGGTCGAGATGCCGACGTCGAGGAAGTAGAGTCGGGACGTCGAGGGTCGTGGTGCCATTTTATATTGCGGGAGCGTGGATGTAGAGTTGAGAATCGACAAAGACACATCGGGACCGTTCTGTGCCGGGCTTTACGCCGGGTAGATATACTACTTGGTCGAGGTAGGCAAGGCCCACTGCACGGGGCACGGTATGCCGTGTCCATGGTTCCTGGCTGTGCATGAGTATGGTCCAGGACTATCATACGTAGGTAGAGTATGATGTCGGCCGCTTATCGGAAGACCCAAGCGGGAACGGAACGAGCGATGACATAAGCATGGCGGATGCTCCGTCCAACTCCGAGCAAATCTCGGGATGGACTCTTCCTCCTACCATTTTCAACCTCTTCCGTGAACTTGGAATCATGGATCATCCCTCAAAATGATGTTCTCATTCCACGCACGCCGGCCGTCTCCACACGACGAGCCATCCCGAGGCCCAAGACCAAAACGAGCCAAGATCAGAAACGCCTGTGAGGTCTGCAAGATCCGGAAGACGAAATGCGATGGTGTCAGGCCAAGTAAGGCATTCCAGCACAAGCTAGTCACACAGTGGAGAAGACAAGCTCACCTCCCCTTGCATTAGTCTGTGGTCCCTGCTCCAACCGGAAACGCGGTTCGCGTGCCACTCGAATGGCCTGCAGCTATCGTGAATCTGATACCGGGGAGCAATCAGGATATACCACTGAGCAGTCCTCCCACGGCCGTGCACAATCCGACCATGCCGACCGGGCGAGCTCGTTCAGCACCATCGTTCCCAGCGGGAGTCTCTTTGGCGCCTCCAGTGGAGTACATATGATACCCGATGTGGGAAATGGGGCTGGTATAACCACTCCGGACAACAAAACACCACGTAGAAGTCAAGCTTTCCCGAATGCACTCAGGCATCTCCCAAAATTGCAGAACAGAATCCCGCGGAAAGAGCATTCTGATTTCCAGTTCGTCATCCCTCCCAGGAGGCAGGCGGACAACCTACTGGGTCTCTATTGGGACTATGTCGACAGTGCCTACCCGTGGTTGGACAGGCCATCCATCGAAAGTGCATATGAGACTCTATGGATCCAAGATGGGGAATTGGCAATGAACGAAACGGTTTTGCATTGTCTTCTGAATCTCATGTTCGCCACATCATGCGTAGCCACCCAGGGGGAACCCCCACTCGTCCGTTATGAATCTTCCGTCGTCTTCTTTGACCGTGCCCAGGCCTTGATGTCCTATGAACTACTTGACCTTTACAATTTTGAGATCATCCAGATCTTGCTCCTCACCGCGGTCTATCTGCAACACGACAAAGAGCCCCAGAAATGCTTTCGCATCATTGGGACGGCGATTCACATCGCTCAGGAACTGGGGCTGCACATCCCGGAGACCACAGAGGCTATGGATAGTCCCAAGGAGCGAGACCTTGCGCGTCAGGTGTGGAATGGGTGTGTTATTATGGACAGGTATGATACACGACCTTGACACGGGGCTTTGTAGCTGAACGCGTCCTAGAATCTGCTCCATGACCTTCGGTTGTGCTCTCAAGGTCCCTCAATCGGTGGCGAAAGAAGGGTTGAATCTGCTGGTGCCCAACGCCGTAGAGCAGTCGTCTGACAGCGCGACCGCCACTCTGCCATCGAAAGTCAACTTCTATCGCTCATTCTGTCGACTTCATCACATCATCGGCGATGTCATAGACACTTTCTACGAATCCGGTAAAAACAAACCTAACCACCCTGCAAGCAAGCTCCACCCGGAGACGCCGAGCGACTCATCCTCACTCATGTTTGACAAATTCGCCAGCCTGTTTCGAATCGATTCCGCACTGAATGAATGGGCCCGCAGCCTGCATCCTTTCTTCCAGATGCCATCGGAACTCCAAGACCCGACGCCCACGAAACATATTACGCGGGAAGCAAACATCTTGCGTGCACGGTATATGCTGGTCATATGGAATGCAAGAAGAAAAAGAACTCTGCTGACACTCTGGCGTTCCCCTGCACTAGGTATCTCTCCGTTCGACTGCTCCTGTTTAGACTCCTGCTTCTACAGATCCACCAAGGGCGGACCGAGAACGCCCGCGGGACTGGTCTATATGCAGATGATGATCAGATTATGCCGCATGTAGTTCTCCAGTGTCAGATCAATTGCACCAAAGCCGCTGCCGACATGATCGAATTCATTATCCGCAACTCGCCGGAGCAGAAGCAAGCGTACATTCTACCCTCCAATTGGTACACTGTCTCATGTGAGTCGCAGATTCCAGAAGAAACCACGGCGTTGAGCGATCTAACAGATGGCCAAGATGTGTATATGGCCGTCACGAATTTGCTCGCAGCCCAGACGTCGCCACAAATAATAGAATACTTCGCGGCCGCGCGTCTACAAGGCCTCTTGCAGGAGGCTCGACGCATTCTGAAGGATTACGAAAAGCATGCCACATTGACTTCGCGATGTAACTCGGTCCTCGCATTAATTGAGCAGAATGTTGGTGGGCGCGAGCCGATAGTCGACTACCCCCCTTCGGAGGCGGTGCAGGCTAGCAGCAACCCTCTCAACACATCCGCCCCAGATCTAGTCATCGACACAAGAGGTACCTCAAGTGATCTCTCGAATAACTTGACCATGATGGACAATTACTCCTTCGACTGGAACGAATGGCCCATGTTCCTTTCTCAACTGGACCATGATATACCTACAGCCCAGGGCTGGGCAATATAGCGCCATGGTCCCGTTCAGGCACAAACATAGAAGGTTGCTCTCCACTCTGCACAAATCTACGCCCATGATTACTAAATCGGAGTACGCGTCTGAAAGGAATTCGTTATCTATGACTAAGAATCTATGTACAAAAACAATGTCACAACATCTCCAGGCAGATTGATCATCTGCCACTCTTCTGATCACAAGCTGTCGTGCCCGGAATCACATGCTACGCAGTGAAAGAACCTCAAAGCCACTGGATGTTCCGATCATGGTAGCAATGGGGGACTGCAGGTGTCAACCACCGAGGCGTCACCTCGGGATCGCTCAACTGGACGACAGGCTTCAAAGTCTCCATGCGGCCCCATGGACCCCCCTCAAAACTGGTAAGGAGTGATTCTGGGCCTGGATTGAAGTACTGGGGGAAGACATTCTTCCAGCCGTCCATCACGACAAGCAAAATCTCCGTCACGAACTGCGCGGGCCCGATGTGGCCCCACTTGAACAGCTGGTTGCTGCGTTCCACCACCTCGGGAGAGTACAGACCGACCTCCGGTTCCAGGTTGATTACATCTGCCTTGACCAACGAGCTCGTCACCCGGTAGGAGCCGCCGTGTCGGGCCCGGTCCCGCAGCGCCATAAGGGCGCCCAACGCACCCACCAACCCAGTGGTCATGTCGGAGATGGGCAACGGGGGGAGGACGCTGGTTCCGTCCTTGAAACCGAGGGAGCGGCCCATGACGTAGGACGAGCCGGAAGCTGCGTCTCCGATCTGCTGCCAGCCCGGCCTCTCGTTGTACGGGCCGTCGGGACCGTAGCAGTTCTCCTCGACATAGACGATTCCCTTGCCGCGTTTACCAGCCATCTCGAGGAGGTCGTTGACTCCAAAGCCCTTCCTCTCGATCACCTTGGGGCGGAAGCCTTGCACGAAGACGTCGGCGTCCTCGATCAGCTCGCGCAGGCGAGCCTTGTCTTCCTCCTTGGTGAGGTCAAGATTGATGGTGCGTTTGCCCGTGTTCAACGTAAATTGCAGGACCTGGGTAGGTCTTGTCAGCGCACCGCCGGTCTCAACGGGAAGGGAAGTGTTGGCTTACATTGAGGTCTACCAAGCGACTGCAGTTGACACGGATGACATCAGCCCCCAATGAAGCGAGGATATTGCCAATGACCGGTCCGGCAATAATGCGGACCAGCTCCACGACCTTGACGCCTGCCAGCGGCCGCTTATCGTTCGTGATCTTGGTGAACGGAATGGCGGGAGTAGGAATGGCATGCGACTGACGCGAGTAGCCGACCAGCGGATGCTCTGCAAGGCGTTTGCCCATCATTGTGTCGGCCCAGCCTTGTGGTGTGAAGCAAATACTGCCACAGAACCCATTCTTGATGTTGAGCATCTCCAGCTCGTCAGCCGTCCACTGCTCGACGTGCCGGCTGATGTACTCGTACGCCTCGTCCGGGGTCTTAGCCGGGTACTCGGGGTCCATGCCCAGAGCCTTCAAAACGGGCTCCGCGTTCAGAGAGCCATGAACCTGGTACCACACACCGGGCGTCTTAGACTTGTACAGCGCCGTCGATCGCTGGCGCAGTGGGGTGGCCTGCCAGCCGTGCTCGAAATCCCGATCATATAGAGTTGACAGCTTGCGCGACCGGACCAGCTCAGTCATGTCTTCTCCCTCGATGGTGGCGGCGAAGATGGTTCCCAGCCAGATCGCAGCGTGATTGGTGTTCACCGTGACCTGCTGCGTACTGGCCAGGGTGCCATCGCGGTCCTCGACGATCTCGTGGGCGACGACACCACACATGGCATGCAGGGCTGCGGCCACGAGGGGGGCCTTGGTGGGGCCGGGAATGACCGGGAGCTTACTGCCTGTGAAGTTGACGGTCTTCCAGAGCTTTTGGTCCTGGGTGAACCCGGGCGTGCTCTTGGCGATATACTCGAAGATGCGACCGGCATCTTGGGGTGCAGGGAGGAAGTCCTTATCCACGAAGGTCCCCGGGCCGTAGATGTCTGTGCTGGGTATCGTTTGATGGGCGTCAGTCATGGTGAAGTGTGGCGAACGTGCTAAGTGTCAAAGAAAGGCGGGATGTCAATGAGATAGGAGGTGTACTAACGACATCTTAAGGACAGACATAGCCACTATTATACCATACCTCGACACGGGAGCCCCATTCAACCGTCAAGGACCGTGGGCCGCGGGGCGCATATCAAGATTCTGTTCCGCGGTTCCAAAATAGGAAATCCAAGAGCCCGGATGCCCGGAAGTCGGCAGCCCGACTTCGCGGAACGTAGTCAGGAAGACTCAGAACGGCAGGGTGCGCCTTAATGCACCGTTACGGACCGAGGAATTGCCGGGTAAGGTCCGAAAGTGTGGGGACTCGCCTGAAAATCGTCATCCGAGTCCAGAGTCAAGCAGAGTCAGCTGGTTTCGGTCCGAAGTGCGGATTACCTGATTTGGCTCCGGAACGGCCTGGTTTCCGTCGCCCTCGACCGGAAACCACCCAAGTATCACAACATTAAGTGTATTCCCCGCTTGACTGGGTTTATATATTCAGCTGTAATGGCTTGTCCAAGGACAATTGGGCAGTCCCAAACCCATACACCTGCAATATGTCGACCTCCCCCATCAGAACCGTCGGCGTAATTGGCGCCGGCGTCATCGGCGCGAGCTGGACAGCCCTATTCCTCGCCAAAGGGCTGAAGGTGATCGCCACCGATCCTGCCCCAGGCGCTGAAGCCAAGCTGCGCGCCTACTTGCAAGAATATTGCTCTGCAGTCCCAAACCCCACCCTCGATGCCGCGACATGTCTGCAGAACTTCACGTTCGTGCCGGACATCGACCCGCATCTCGAACGTCTAGACCTAATCCAAGAGGTGAGTTACCCGCCGATCATCCCCTCAACATTAACCTTATCTTATCTATCAATCTGACACCGGTGGTGACTGCATAGAACGGGCCCGAAAGACTAGACCTCAAGCGCCGGCTGTTCGCGCACCTCGACGCCAAGACCCCGTCGCACGTCCTCATCGCCTCCTCCTCCTCCGGCCTCCCCGCCAGCCAGTTCGTCACCGACTGCACGAACAACCCTTCGCGCATCCTCATCGGCCACCCCTTCAACCCGCCCCATCTCGTGCCGCTGGTCGAGATCGTCCCGCATCCCGGCACCGCGGAGGAATACGTGACCGCCGCGTACCGCTTCTACGAAAGTCTCGAGAAGGACCCCGTGATCGTCCGCCAGGAAACGCCGGGCTTCATCGCCAATCGTCTGCAGGCGGCGGTCTGCGCTGAGGCGTACAGCCTCGTTTCGAGGGGGGTTGTCTCACCGGAGGACTTAGGTAAGCTTATTTGGTTCAGCCTAGTGTATCCTCACACTTTCGATGTGGATGATACTGACTTGTCAGATAAAACGATGGCCTCCGGCCTTGGGCTCCGGTGGGCACTCAACGGGCCGCTGATGACCAACACCCTCGGTGGCGGAGCGAGCTTTGCGCATTTCATCGACCATCTGGGTCCCGCGCTGAAGTCGTGGTTGGAGGATATGGAGGCGCATAAGTTCGATTGGAGCTCGGAAGATACCGTGGAGGGGTTGAAGGACACGGTCAATGGATGGGTATCGCAGGTCGATTTGAAGGAGGTGGAAGGGCGGCGGGATGTGCTGTTGGCTGATTTGGTAAGGAAGAAATTGGATCAGGAGGGGAAGTCGGGGTAGGGTGCATATATTTGGGAGGGGATCATGATCTTCTAATGTGTAGCGATATGTACAGTCAATTAGCATTAATATCATACTGATTTTAGCATCAACGGTCAAATGGAAGCATTTTTAAGGTCTAAAGTTCTCTTTCGTGTGAACGTCTATTCAGCCTGTTTTGGCTGATTGCTCGAAGTGCATTGATAGCCGTCTAATGGAAGGGAGGTAGCATCGCATCTGTCCGAGATCGGCCTGCGCGAGGTAGGACCAAGCTTCGAGGCGAGACCAAAATAGCATGAAGCTCATCGTGGCAGCGACGTATTTCCAACATCTTGTCCGGGTCCCCAATCTATAGGAGTCCATAAGTACTACCCGAAAAGGAAAATGGGGGGATGAGCTTGGGGATTGAGGGCATAAGCCAGAAGCAAGTGTATTACAGTATCTTCCCCACACAGATCCCCGAGTCCCCGGCCTCTAGCCTTGCTTTAATCATTGCGCTTAACTCGCAATCAGTCTAGCGAGACCATCGAGCTCGCGAGGAACAAATGATTTGGCGATCGAGCACTATCGGGGAAGCTGAGGCGGGTCTAGCGTTGTTGCTTGTCGGGTTCTTAGGGCTTGGTGGATATGCATCGGTGCTGTACCGTACTACCTCAAGATATTATTTAGTCAACTAGGACGTTTTTACTCCCCGACCCCCTGCAGTCTGAATCCCGATACAGAATTGAAGCCCGACTCCTCTTGGGGTATTCCTCTCGTGCCTTGCTAATTATCGTGAAGTTCCTGATGGCCAGTAGCAGAGAGGATCGAACAGCAGACACAATATCCGCGGAGATACAAACCGCCCGTGGGACGCCTGAGGCACGCCCCGCACCTTGGTGACCCCATGTGGCTGGACTATCTTATCTACTCCGAGAGAATGCATCTCTATATTAGTGTCTCAGTGCCTCACGGTCCAGTGGTACAATGGAGAGTCAGCCAAAGCTTCGAGAACTAGTCTCGATGCGCTTGTAGGACTCAACCGGCGGATGATGATAGGCCAAAGAGCCAGTGGGGAGAGCATGATTTAAAGTAACTCCTCGTCAGCCATGCAGCTATCGCAGCCACGTGTGGGCTGACGTGATCCGAGGGCTTACTGGCTCATTGAGAGTAATTCTTCAGCGTTTGGGTGTCTGTTCGTACCAATCGCAATTGTCAATGCTACTCTGGTGTACTAATGTACATAAGAAAACACTCTACTGCGTATGCTGATGATAATATGACCTCGTATCCACAAGCCAGGATAAGATAACCCGCAGCGGACAAAGGATCCGACGGTGGTGTGCTGCTAAGCGACGATAACCTTCGCACGTTGTCCCATGAGAAGCCAATTTGCGCCAAGACGCCGACATCAGCCTTGCACCAGCACTGCCACACTTCTCATTCCCCGTTCTAGCCTGTCAGCGTCCTTGCAGGCGTGGGACGTCCATTCTTCACCTCCCCCCTTTAGCCGGATCGGGTTGAGGCGGAAACTATCTCCTGAGAACCCCGCAGGCGCTAGCCCAATTCGGAGGAACGGTTGGAGTCTGATCGATCACCGATGCGGCAGAGGGTTTCGCAATCGCGTTGTTTGTGTTCGATGTGTTGAGTTTCGAGATTCCCCCTTTTTGGAGAACGGGACGAAATTCTCGCTTAACCCTCAGCCTCTCGACACACACCGCATTTGGATCCGTCCAATCGACCGGGTGCCCTCAGTGGGGCCATTTTTTCTGGACGGTTCGGCAGGGCCGAAAAGGATCCAGGATCACCACGGGCTGCAAAATAAAGCCAGCCCCCGTTGGGTTGGGCAGAAGGATTGCAAGTGGGGTGGGGTGCCGACGAGCTGAAGAAAAATAGACTCAGACAACGAGACCCCTAATCAGACCGCTTTCTCGTCGCGCTGGAGGGCGTCCCGCCGCAGGCTTCGAAGCCAGTCGAAGTGCGAAGAAAGGTCATCCAGGAAGGTGTAGTCCCCGTCGATGTTGAGAATTCGCGCGGTGGACGCTTGCCGGAAGTAAAACCACGTCCGGATCTGAGAATCACTCGACGCGGCGGCGCCGGTGATGCAGGCCCAAGTGTGAGGCACGGGAAAATGCCGCAGCCAGACCTCCTCCTCCGTCAGGGCTAGCGCGTCTCGCAGGCTTCTCGCCAATGCGTCCAGGTACTCAACAAAACTGCACCCGCTGGCCCCACCATCGACGATCGTCTGGAAGATCTTGCAAGCGAGATAGCAGCACTGGTAGATAGGGTCCTCAGTCGTAGGCGGTGGCATTGTGAGAATTGTTGGCGTGCCCTGGCCCCAGTGATCCGTTCGCCGGGAAGACATTGACTGGAGCTTTGTCTGGTGCACGTGTTGAAACAGGGCCTTGATCGAGCAAAGAAAGCTGTCGGGTCCAGGTGGTCTCGTAGGCATGTTGAGTATCCGTTCTTCGAGACTGAGTGGGGGCATCAGCTGAAACTGAGGTACGGTGCTCGCCCCCAAATCAAAGACGATATTGGACACGATTCGGTTCCTGTGGTTCGGGGGTCAGTCACCCGGCCTGACAAAAGACGGCGATCGCGGAAAAGATCCAACTAACATGTGGATGAGTGATGAAATCAGGCCGTCTAAGCCCAGGTTGTGCATCCCGCCCCGTAGCATCACCATGTTCTCCAGACCAGTTCGGTGCACTTCGGCTGAAGCTCGATCACCACCAAGATTCTGGAGTTATCATCAGCCATGCCAAGTTGTCAGAAGTAGAGAGGAAATAGAAGGGTCGCATACAGCAAATAGTGCCAGTGGGGTAATAGAAGCGATCGTACGATCGTCCAACGCGGTCGCTGGGTCGGCAAGACGCTTCTTGACCAGCTTGATCAGCTCATTGTAGTGATATAGGGTGATCATGCTTTGCTTCTGTCCCCGAGAGATATCAAAATGGGAAGAGCCGGCGAACAGTGTGGCATGAAATAAGCAGGGATCTTCCATTGCGCTTCTGAGCCAAACGGTCTGCAGCTTGTAAGCACTACACTTGGCGCCGACTGGGATCTGCGCAACACCGAGTCCATTGTAAACTAAGTAATGATCCCACGGTCGGTCAGCGCAAGTCCAGACAGAGTTTGTGGCACAATCTTACAGTGTTTGATCAACTTTGGCATGTACCAGCGATAGGCGATGGGATACGATTCCGGGACGGTCGGCGACTGTATCGCCCAGGACAAAGACAGTTGATCCGACACGGCTTCCCACGAATCCGGGCTGATATCTCGGGGATTCTTCTTGTGGGATTCCACCGCGACAGTGGCATTGGGCTTTGGTTTCTCGTGGATCGGGTCCGTGACTCGATAGACAGCATAGAAGCACTTGCGGCCAGTCCTGAAGGATCTCGGTTAATGCGGCTGGAGATAAGCATGGGGAGGACTTACTTATGACACAGGGCGCAGGATGGGTATGCTCGGTCGCATTTCCTCTTTCTCTGGCGACAAGGCTCACAAGCAACAAGCATAACCTTCATCATTGTGATTGCAATGGAGTGAAGATGGATGGGCAGGGCAGAGACGGGGAGTGTAGTAGGTAGGTCGAGTACGGAATAACTGGGTCTGCAGCGTGGTGACCCTGAGCCCTGAGCGGGGTCTAGCCCTTTTGGTCTTCTTCAGCTGCATATTAGGCTCTCCTCAGCCAAACTCCTTCCTCAGGCAACCATTTTCTATGCCGCAGTCTCTACACTATACCATTAGCATACATCGATTGAATACTTATTCAACTCATGCACTTACCGGATCGCTTACCTCTGCATTTGAGGCATGCACCCCTTCTATCCATTCTGGTATCGTCATTCCTTCTGTGTCCGTTTCCGATTTATGCGCAAGATATATTTGGTTGATAGCATCGGGAGCCTCCGAGTTGATGAGCGTGGTTTGACAGAGCGAATGTGATTCAACCCTCCATTATCAGCATTCAAAGTCATGGTTCTATTGCGCTGATTATCTGTACTGTCATGGTCATCACTCAATTCAATGGTTTGATGTTTGGAACGGTCTACAGAGGGTCGAATGCTTACCACCTAGCTCAAATCTGGCTTACCGTAGACTGCCAGACGATCACCAACACTTTATGCCTGCTCAGCTCATCTCAAGCATGATACGGTCAGATTGCGTATGAGGTAAAGATTGTGGAATGACCTTTAGTTGTTCGAAACTGCTGCTAGGAGCCTATAGACAGATGGTCCTGCGTAAAGGAGAGTTGTCTGAAGGTGCATGCTAGATGGCGATGCGTGCAGCGACACTGCCACAAGCCGACTAGGCCGCATCGCAGACAGATATCTCCCCGTTTCTTTGTCTCGGTCCGCCAGCTGACAATTGGGGCCCTGGAAAAGGCCGATGAGGGAATTTGAGTCAGTTTCCATGGTTGAAATCGCGGCTAAGCATGGTCCAGACTGAGACATGCCCTCTCACGCAGAAGCTGCTCAGCTGGCAGGTCCCCAGGTCAACTTGCCCCAGGGAACCGGGCAAAGGTTGGCTTGAAGGATTTGACCCGTCGATCGATGATATATGTGCACCCTGACTGTCTAACCTCGCTTGGCCTGCGCCAGGCACCAGCAGGCGCTAGGCTGCATGCCTTATCTGCCATCTTACCCCGACTTGAAGCACGTAGGGATATGGTAAGCGAGTCAGGGCTTTCTTTGTGTAGACACTGATCCACACCGGTAGAGACTGATCTAGGGACATGACTCGTCCAAATGCTTATTTTCCCTCGACCTACCTCTCAAGCTGTTTAGAGCTTTGAAGCCATTCCTGAAGAAAACGGATTAGTGGAGCACTAGCGTGCGGACTAGCCCGCCCAAAACGGCGATCGTGTACATGACCGAGGATCGTCACTCGAGCGTCTCGGCTGGGGAAATGAAGCTTTAGAAGCGGTATAGAATGATCGACGTCAATACGTGATCCAGGTTATACATATAAAGGCGAAGATGTATTGACAGGGTTTCCGTATCTCCTACAACAACAACCACCCCATCAGAGTCAACCCTAAGACATTGTCCACAAGCAAGTCAGTAAGCTAACAATTGGACCTCGGCAGACGCAGTTACTTACCAATTCCGATCCTTTAGATTCACCAGCGACCCAAGCATCATGCGTTTTCACTCTGTCCTCTTCTGTCTTGCTTTCGCCACGGCGGCCGTCGCCAAAGAGTGCTCTTACGACGGCTTCCAAGAATGCGTGACCTACTACGCCGATTCTGACTGCCATCACAGTATCGGCAACTACATTCCGACCTGTGAGGGAAACTGCTTCCAGTTCAGCTCTTTCCAGGGACTGGTCGTGGAAGGCAACTTCATTCATGGCACCGACTGCATCGTGTACTCCGACCCATACTGCCAGAATGAGATCGGTGTCACCCCGAATGCGATCAACCAGAACATCGATTGTCTTTCGTATGGCGAAGCACAGTCAATGAAATGTTACTTTGATTGCTGAGTGGGGAAGATATCGAGCTATTGGGAGCCACCCCCATCTTCAGCTAGGGTTGTTGCGAGGATGGCTGGTGGGCCAGATACCATTGATGCGGAGGAGTTAATGGGGGATAATGATGATCTTACTTCCGTTGGCAGTGAAAGGGGCTGGAAATGTACATATAGGCCAATGACGTGCCAAAAAGAGTCAAAATATATTCCATCATAATAATACAACATCAATCATACATAATACATTAATCATATCACGATCGAAGAAAGGCCCTTACTCATCCGGACCGCCCATCTGGTTCAGTTTCTGCGCGGCGGCCTCCTTGCCCTGCTGCGACACACCGGGGTTGTTCTGCGCGCTGTGGAAAAAGTCAGTGGATCTATCCCGACAGCCAACATGAGGAAGGAGAGGATGGGAGCGTACGCTTTGAGTCCACCCGCGACGCGGTTAGGGTCCTTCTGGTTGTCACCACGGAGGTCGTGCAACTCGTCCGAGGGCTGCGAGCCACCAAGCTGGTCGAGCATGGACTGGGCGTTCTGCTTGGCCTCATCGGAGACTCGGGGGTTGTTGGTGGTGCTGCTTGATCGTCAGAGACGGCCCTCGTGTTTTTTGTGGGTTAAGAATATGACTCACGCCTTGTAGCCACGCATGGCGTTGACTCTGTCTTCAGCGGAGGACATTTTGATAAATTGTTGTGGAGAAGGGAGAATATAGTTTTTGAGATATGAAATTTGGTTTGAGTTGGAAACGAATAAATGTTACATGATTTCGAAACAACCATGGTATACTTATACCTTCGAATGCACACTCAGCTGCGTTTGATGTCAGAGCGCGTCACCAACCCCGCATCGTCATTCTTTCATCGTTCACCCAGTCTTTGGGGAAGTCAAGGTCAAATTGACTTCATTGCGGAGACATGACGAGCAGGGTAGGTAATCTATGCAGGGCGGAATCTTGGGTCGACCCCTGTGCATGGGAGTGTGTATGGGTCGATTCGCCCATCGCCCATCGCCCGATCGAAGCGATCGAAGCGTTGATCAGGGTTGGTGGGTGGAAATTCTAGAACTTCGGATCGACGGGAGGTGCTTGTTTCGGGAAGGGGGCGATCTACTAGCCGTGCTCTGGTCGAGTTCAATATGCAGTAGTCACTCAGTATGGGTGCATATTGTAAGTGCATATGACTGCAATGATCAAAACTCATAATTGCCGTGCGAGAGACAGCATGTTGAAAGCTGTATGTGACAGGCCGCTATCGGAATTGAGTTTCGGAGGCACTGTAGCACTGTAGATCCGATCTGCTGGTCTCAAGTCATACTAGACGCTTAGTGATCCGGTCTCCGGTCTCTTGTGAATCGTCCACTCATACGGTCTCTTGTATATGCTAGAGATTAATGACTAGCTAGTAGTAGAACTGGTTGTTTCAGCACCGAGCAAACCCTTGGGCTCCCTTACCCAAGGCCGACGTCATGGAAATCTATTTGGAGTGGGGGGCGGCCAGCGGCCCTTTTCTGCCACCGCCCAAACTGAACAGTTTCGCAATCCAATTTTTCTGGACTGTTACCTCTAAAGTCCGCTTAAACCCGCGGTTTTTGCTGCGAGGTCGGTAGCGTTCTGCCGGTCCAGGCGGTCTGGAAAACGGTCTATAGCCAAAGCGGCAGAGCCTCACCGCTTCGTCCACGCTCCGCCCGCCTTCCAGTGCAGCGCCAAGCACTGTTCCATTTGTCGTCATCGCATCGTCCTTTCTCAGGAACTTAACTCTCGACTCTCGAGGTTGGTTCGGAATATGAAACGTTTTACCCAAGTAATACACCTCTCTCAATGCCTGACAGACTTCAGATGTTGACTGTGATGGAACGGAAACTTGACCTACACTACCCCGGAGGCCCCATTCTAGCTCCCGTCGCAGGATCGACCCTCACGCGTCTTACCCCTTGGTCCCTGCAGCGATACATTCCTCGCGCTATGCTAAGCTACCAAGCTGCACCCTTTGCATCTCCTTTATTGGAACAATCGTCTCTCACTTCATCGTCTTCGCAGCCACGAAGCGCCGAATTGCATCCAGACCCAATAGCACCACCACTGATTGTCACTGGTGGTAAATCAAATCCTCTCATCCTGCAATGAACCATCCCTCCACAAAAGGGGCAACCTGCATCATAGAGCCCAGTACTGGACCTACTTCACCCCCCCAAAGGTCAAGTCTAGTCCCGTCCGTAGCTTAGACACTCTTCGCCTTCCCCATCCAGGCACCGCGCCCCACACGCGGCATGATATCGAATTCCAGAGGAACCAAACCCCTCTCTTCCCCATACCAGACACCATGACCATAAATACCAATAGGTCCGTCGTCCCATGCGCTGGGATGCTGCTAGCCGGGTGACTGGACTCTTTGACCAAAGCCCGCACATTTGGTACCTACTCAGTGAGTATATGCGTGTTACTTATATATATCCACACTGTGCCAGCAAACTTAGAAAGAGTGACTAATACAAACCGCAGATCGCAAGCGGTATCCCTACTTCTCAGCTCCCGCTCAAAATGCGCCTCCTCCACCAAGCCCTAACGGTCTTCTTGGCTTCCCTCCTCCTCGACACCGCCGCCGCCGAGCCATTCTGTTACGAAGGCTCCACCCGTCCGGACCCCAACGAATGCGCCGTCTACCACATCTGCGACTTGGGAAAATTTCAACGGACGCGCTGCCCCCCGGGTCAGGCGTACAGCGTGCTCACGGGGGGCTGTGTGCCTGAGTGGCGGTCGCCGGGATGTCACGAGGGGGTTCTCCCGGACAAATTCGACTGAGCGTGACGTGGATTCTCTTCTCCTTGGGGATCTTTCGATGTATGGGTGGGGTTTGATAGCGTTCTTGTTTTAAACTCTAGTATGTTGTCACATGTGCGCCCTTTTCAATGAAACCAATCTACAGCAATCGCGGCCAGCCCCATCAAAATCAAGAACAATCAATTGGTATCATAGCCTCTCTATACTACTGCTTAACAGAATCTATATCCTCCTCACCAGCAAAATCTACAAATGGTACTGAGACGGGGCACTCTCCTGGAACCCCAGGCGATTCCACCACCGGTCTACACCCATGTCTTCCTTTGAACTGCACACAGTGTTAGCTAGGCCCTGACGCACACACAGAGATAAACTTACTCCCAGGACTCCTTGATCTCGGGCTCCGTCTTGCCCTCCGCGAGATTTGGGTTACGGAACACGATGTTATATTTCTGACACCCTTCGTATTAGCATATACATCCCCAGAATACCAAGGGGTGAATAAACTCACCAAGCCGAGCGTGATGTGGATTGCCATCGGGAACGGCGGGTACACCTCCTCGGGCGTCTTCCCCTCGATCATCGCCTGGATGTTGTGCGCCACCGCGGCAGCCTGGGGGCCGCCGGGGCGGGCGGCCTTGCGCAGTCCCGTGTCGGCGATGTCACCCACCGCGAACAGGTTGCGGTACTGCGGGTCCTGGAACTGCAGGGTCGGGCGGATGCGGATGAAGCCGTTGGCCGGGTTGATGAGGGAGTCCGGCGACGAGGCGGGGAGCGAGCGGATCAGGTCGTTGTTGGGCTTCTGACCGGTGGCCAGGATGACGAAGTCGGTGGTCAGTTCAGTGCCGTTGTTGAGCTGGACGGTGTAGGGGGTGCCGTTGTTCGGGAAGCCTGATTCGGGGACCACGAGGCGGGCGCCAGTAATGGTTCTGCAGAAGGGTTAGAGATGGAAGGTGGAGGTTTTGATGACAGGTATCACATACTTAATACCCAGCTCGTCAAAGCGCTTCTTGACGATCTCGTGGAGCCCCCGGTGGAATTGGGGCATGAGTTGGTCGCGCGACTGCACCACCGTGATCTCCTTCTCCGGGTACAGCTCCTTCATGTCGGTCGCCATCTGCACGCCCACGGCACCACCACCGACAATGACCACGGATTTCGCTTGCTTCACGTCCGCTTGGTGCTTCTGCAGGTACTGTACGGAGGAGACTTTGTCTTCGTCACGCATCGCGGCGGGTTCGGCGAGGCGCGTGCCCGTCGCGACAACGAGATACTCGTAAGGGATCTGACTCTGGCCCTGCCAGGCGCGGTCGAGATTGACATATTCGGGTTGAATAGAGAGGACGCGAGCCTGCACGACAGCGTGTTGGGTCGAGTTGGGGGAGGACGCGAAGAGGCGGGTGTAGGGAATGAATGCTTTGTGTTCGTGGCCGGGGACAACGGCGAAACGGGGCTACTGCGGGTTAGTCTGGTGTGTGTGGGGGGGGGGAGTGCGTGTATATCTGTTGATACTTACGAAGGCGAAGAGATGGTGGAAGTGGCTGTGAGGTTCAATCAACAGCACCTGTAGCTGGGTTAGTATGTCAACAAACCGCCGCGATGGGGCTTGGACCTACTCGGTGCGTGCTGGGTACTACCCGCGCTAGTTCCTCCGCAGCGCCCTATTACGGTCAGCTTTCAGTTCGTCTAATGTTGACAGGCTATTGAGGAGGAATACCCTTCCAACGTAGGACCCGCCAACCACAATAACGTTCTTTAGTGTCGAGGCGGCCATTGTGTCCTGTTGTGTGTTCCAAGTGTTGGAGATCTTGAGGTCCAGAGACGACAGAATCAGCGTTATAGTCAGAGTTGAGAGTAGAGTCGCGATCCAAGAGTTTCTTGAGTTTCCAAGCAGGAAGAACATGAGCAAAAAGCAAGCACGCCGTACGCAGGCTCCAAATATATAGGCGGGAGAAGACTGAGCCGGGGTGGGCACGCGGAGAGCTTCTCCTTATCTGATCGTCCGGGCTCGGTCTATTGGTCGCTTGCCTATCCTGGCCATCTCCGAGACTGAGGCCCGCCATCGGCTCACATCCGCTGCCGGTGGCGTCATCTGCGTTTGTCTGCGCCGAGGCTCGGGGTTAGGATATAATGAGTATCTAGTACTCGATGGGCATATCCAGAACAGCGACGGGGTTGAACGCAGGGTTTAAGCCATGCATTAGACTCAGAGTTGATCTATAGCCCCTCTTAGTGCAGCAACTTGCGGTTTGCGCTCATGGGAAGCAAGAGAGAGGTCTAGGTGATCTGTATGCAAAGCCTTGCGGCCTGAGGCAGAAGGCAGCAGCCAAGCCAACGACGGCAGTTAGTCTCGGCTTTAGCCCTCGGATTTTCGGCTTTACGGCTCGGAGTGGGGGAAGCGAGAGGCAAATGCTTCGCCTCCCCATTGAAGCATTTTGTTTGAGTCCGAGATCCTCATCAGTGGGGGGTGACTATCGTGGAGAAGTGGCTGGCATCATCTATATCAGATGCAAACCGGATGGATACTCCACTTGTTGCCGACATCCTGTAAAACAGAGGGTCCGTCATCGGGAATGTGGGGGACTTATATTTCGAGTACCTTGTGAGCATTCACTCCTTACTGTGCCTTTTTGCAACGCTGCACTTTGAATGTTCGAGAATAGTGTAGGCGTCTCACATCCGTACCACATCGCATGCGTCCACGACTTCCCCAGAAACTAATACAGTGGTCACAACCACTCAAGGCCCTCGCGTTCCAGGTCCGGAAAGGCCTCGGTGTTGCAGTGGATGGCTGGGCCCCAAGCGAGCCTGGTGTAAGACAACGTCCGTGGTCTGCTGCACGTTTAGCCAGGATCTTCCATTTGAACCTACCTCAATCCGAGTCTTGACAGGAGGGTTCAAACAGTGAAGAGGCGGGTGTACGCTCAACTCAAGACCCGACATGGACCTACTATGAGTGCGGCTCAGCATTGTCAGAGAACAAAGTCGCTTATAGCGCGATAGGGCGGGTCTGGTGAGAGACTTTAGAACCGATCACATCCCGAAGACTGTTCTGAAAAGCCCCTTCTTTGCTGTTTCCCCCGGAGTCAAGATTGTCCGCTTCAGCTAAAATTGAAGAGGGTACACCAGCTACGAGCGAGGTTACCTGGGATTTGTTCGTAGTTGCCTTGTCATACATCATCGAGTTCCTATTTGATCACAGAGTCCTAAGTCCGCAAAAAGGTCCGCGAAAAGCCAGCCACAGCCACATTTGCAGCAGGAAAAAGGGACTGGCAGGCGTCCTGTGTTGTCAAATAGGGTTAAAGGACACCGCGATCATGGATGTCACGGTGGCACCTAGAAGTCGGAAGATGCACGAAGACAACATATGAGCAAGAAAGCAGGTGCCGGGCCCCAAAGCAAAGGTGATCGGGAAGGCTCGATGCAGGCAGAGTCCAAGCAGGAAGCACCTATAAGACGAGCATATTGTCATCCTTGACTGGCTCTGCGCAATTATTGTTGGGTGCTCGGGGGTTGCCCATACTAAAAATGCCTATCGTGGACCACCTGCTCTACCTGATAGCCCTTTTGTGGGTTGTTACCCCCATCACAGGGGCTATCACCTTGCCCCGTGGGTACAACAAGCCGCTCGCGCCAAATAGCGATTCATTCTATACTCCTGACGCTGGCAGCTGGCGATCGCAACCTCCGGGTTCCATCCTCAAATCCCGCCAAGTGACGATCGGCTCGGCTCTTTTGATCCCCAAAGGCCTTGCCGCGGGATATCAGTTGCTTTACCGGACCACCAATGCGCGCGGCCTGCCCAACTATGCAGTGACGACGGTCCTGATCCCGTTCGAGGCCAAATTGGATCGTTTCATTTCCTTCCAGACCGGATACGACTCAGCCAACAATGATTGCGGCCCATCCTACGGGCTGCAGTTCGGCGCCTCTACAAACGCGAGCGAAGCCATCATCGAGTTGACGGTCGGGATGCTTCCATATTTGGAGAAGGGGATTCCGCTGGTGGTTCCCGACTATTTGCAAGTGGACGCTGCGTTCGCCTCTGGCCCCACGACAGCATATGGAGTGCTAGACTCCATGCGCGCCGTGCTCCGCTCGACACACATTACCGGCCTGTCGGCGAATGCAACGATCACAATGCAGGGATACTCACAAGGGGCCTTGGCTGCGGAATGGGCAGGCGAATATCGCAGTACCTATGCGCCGGAAGTCCACATCGCCGGGGCCGCGATCGGCGGTATGCCGGTCAACATCTCCGAGGTCTTCATCGCCGTGGAAAAGACCCTTAGCTCGGGATTAGCTGCCGGGACTCTGGTCGGAATTGGCAATGCCTACCCCGAGTTTAGAACGTACGTGGACGAGCATCTCATCCCCAAGTATCGACCGTTTCTTGAACTTGCACGGAAAGAATGCGTGGCCGACTTCTATAAGATCGCCTATGGTTACACTATCCAGCTTGCATTCAGGAATATATCGGACTGGTTTGACAACGGACGAGGCTATATTAGTGATAACCTGGAATTACTCAACGAGATCGGGGTGCTCGGACGGCACGGGATGCCAGAATTTCCATTGTTTGTCTGGAAGGGGACGGACGATGAGGTCGCGGTGGGTATTGAGGAGCACGATGCCCTGGTGCAGACGTGGTGTGATGCAGGGATTCCAGTTCGATACCTGCGGGTGCACAAGACTCTTCATACGCCTACCATTCCGCCTGGTTTGCCGGGGGCGCGAGCTTTCATGATGGATATCTTTGAGGGCAATCCTCCGACTGGATGCACGACAGAGGACAAGTTTGGAACCGGAGATGAGTAAATGAACTATCTTTAGGGATGAAAGAACCTCATCAACTATCTGTAGTGGAGTTTGAGTCCGAAAGACTTGGGTGTAGGGGATTTCAAACCCTTTTGGAGATATCGATATAATAAGGTCGTGGTGCTCCGGGTCCATATTCGACAACGCTACAACGGCAACAGTCACCAAGGCATGGTATTGTTAGCAGCCATGTTAGCAAACTGAATATAACCCCACTCAGTCCGTTATATCATCCATTTGCTCCGGATATTCCTTGTTTCCGTTCAACCGGCTGGCTCTGGTGAGCAAGGCTGTAGAGAGGTTGCCTGGAGATTGCGATGTTGGACGAACAGGCAGGTGACAACATGACCGCGGGCTTCACGTCGTACGTACCACGCTTCCAGACCCGATCTGGAAGTGTGTCCATCTTCTGTAGTATTACAGCTCAAAAGACCCACCAAAATGCAGGTTAGAGTGTCACTGCACGCTCCAGCACGAGCCACTTGCACCAAGACATTAATCTTCCGGCCACGGATCGTGAGGTCGAATTGTTGGGGATTGCTCCTAAACTCGAAGAGGAAACAGTTCAATGCCGATCAGCTTGCATCACATCCTAGCGTGGAGCCAATAGGTTTAATCTCGAGGTCGCACCTGTAGATGAATCCTTGAGACGCGTCTTCCAAGTCAAGCCGAGGTGCGAGAGAAATCATGGCAGGCCACAGTATCCGCGCAAGAACCTCGCTGCAGTACCACTCACGACGCCCGCAGCAGAAGAGCCCGCCTTCTCTTCTTGCTCAATGCCATATCCAGTCACGGGAAATTACTGTACCTTATGTATATGAGAATCCGGTTGCGGTGGTGCACCCAATGGAGCTCCCCGCGCTCGTCACGCAGTTCGCACTGGTCAACATCCCGATCGCTAGGATCAGAGTCTCCTTCTCTAAGTCTCCCCCCATCACACTCAAATAACCAACCGCAATAGCATTTCTACACCATGACTTCAACCGCTGCGCCAAAGTCAGTCGTCCACGGACCATCCCATCCCCCTCTGAAGCTCTTGACAATCGGCCAGCTTCTTAGCGAACAGGCCGACCGAGTCAGCTCCCGCGAAGCGGTTGTTGCATTCCAGTCCGGTGCGCGATTAAGCTACCACGATCTCGAAATTAGGACAAAGCAGACGGCGCGAGCCCTTGTAGCCAGCGGGGTTCAACGCTGCGATCGGATTGCCATCTTCATCGGAAACTGCGAAGTCTACGTGGAGATCTTCTTTGCGGTTGTCAGGATCGGGGCGGTAGCAGTCTTGCTTCACGGAACGTATACCCCGAATGAAGCGCGTAATGTGTTGCGGACCACCGGTGCGTGATGACAGGTGTAGTGGCCGGGAGGGATACTAACAGCCCGTCGCAGAATGCTCTACCCTGTTCATCTCAAGTAGTCTGGGAAATAGAGGCTCTCGTGCCTTTCTGGACTGCCTCAAAGACTCCAATAAGTCACTGGCTATCGATGTGCCATCAATGAAGCGCATTGTGTTGGTTCATGACGATCATCCGGATGGCAGCTACTTGACTTCCTGGGAATCATTTCTCGCCTGTGGAGATGCAGTGAGCCCGTCGCGGCTCAGTCAGCTTGAGGATGGGGTTGGTGATGACACAGTATGCAGCTTTCTCCTGACGAGCGGCACCACCGGCGTCCCCAAGGTGGCTATGTTGACACACGCGTGAGTAGACCACTGTCCCTTGACCGTGAATCGAGGTTTATTGTTCACTTTCGAGCATGATTGTAATGACTTGATTAGGAACATCATCAACAATGGCTTCCTGGCAGGGAATCACATGGCCCTGACTAAAGAAAGTATCATCTGCAATCCACTGCCCCTGTTCCATTCCGGGGGCCTGATACTGGGGCTCATGACATGTGTCGTCCATGGAGCCTGCATAGTACTCCCAGCACCAAGCTTCAGTGCGTCTCGCACCCATGATTGCCTCTCCGCAGAAAAGTGCACTGGAATGCACGGCGTTCCGACCATGTTCGCTGCGGTCCTTCGCCACAGGCACGTGCAGTCCATGAAAAGTTCAATCCGGCTCCGGACTGGTCTCATAGGAGGTAGCGCTCCTTCGGAGGCACTGTGGCTTCAGATCAAGCACGAATTTGATCTCGAGGGGTTTACACTCGGATATGGTAGGTCCACGTTCTGTGACCAGGTCGTCAGTTGCTCATTCATGATTCATGCAGGAATGACCGAGACATCGGGTGGTGTCTTCATGTCCAAGCCAGAGATCGCTGATGCGACCCGAATGCCTCGCGCCCTGGTGATTTTGCCTCACACGAGCGCAAAGGTCGTTGACAGCAGGGGCGATATCGTGACAGTCGGACAACGCGGCGAGCTCTGTGTCTCGGGCTACCTTGTACAGAAGGGATATTTCAAGAACGAAGAGAAGACGCGTGCGGCCATGGCTCATGACGAGAACGGTACACTGTGGATGCGGACGGGTGATGAAGCAATTTTCGACTGCGAGGGGGGATGTTGTATCACCGGTCGCATCAAAGACATTATCATCCGAGGTAGAAGCCCCATCACCGAATTGGGTGTCCGGTAATGCTAATCGGGCAACAGGAGGAGAGAACCTATATCCGACTGAAATTGAGGATCGGTTGAGCGAACACCCCTCCGTGCAAGGGGCTTGTGTGGTTGGACTACCGGACGACTACCTGGGCCAGGTGGTTGCGGCTTTTCTGCAGCAGGAACCAGGAACAGAACGACCATCTCATGAGGAGCTGGCTATCTGGGTCCGCAGCACTCTGAGTTACCATAAGGCTCCGACTCGGGTCTTCTGGCTTGGCGATGATGATCTACCCAGGGATTTCCCTCTGTTGGGGAGTGGCAAGATTCGCAAGAACGTGCTCGAGCAGTTTGGGTGTCAGAAACTGCGTGCAAGGAATGCATTGAATGCTTAGTGGTGTAGTCATGTGGACGATGAGGACGAAGCGGCCCTGGGGCATGTAGGCAGCAGGGGAAGAATCTTAGAGTCATTTCAAAGTAGTTCTCATTACCTCTCTTTGAGGAATCAAATTGGTGCTGAAGTGTCAACAAATGTGGAGTAGATCAAAGGCGAAAGGCCGTAAGCCCTACTGCAGTAACTTATGCAGCATCCGCTAGACTCCGCCTCATCTTGACACACCCCTCCATGCCTCAAATTCCTTTTCTCCCTCACAGGCCTAGGCTGCCACCATTAATCATTCGTGCTCCTGTTTCCGCTGGCTAGTCGACTCTGCTTCATATGAGTGAGAGTACTAGCAATACCTCCGGCCTCGTGCCACGACGAAGAGCTGGAGGTAAGAGATCAGTCACAGGCTGTCGCACTTGTCGGTGAGTCTGCGTCATGTATTCCCCCACATGGACTATTCAACTCGACTTCTTATATACCACCAATAGAGCCCGGCACAAGAACTGCGACGAAGCATCTGGAGCGTGTAACAACTGCACATCCACCGGTCGACGCTGCGATGGATATGACCAGCATCATTTACCCCGAGCAAGCAAGACCAATACGCCGATTCAAACCAAATTCAAGATCGTGCCAGGCCTGGCCGGGGGAGTGCACCGGACGATGAACCGAGATGAACAACGGTGTTTCTCGTTCTTCCACCTTCGCACCATACCCGCCATGGTGGGCTTCTTCGACTTTGCCCTGTGGCAGCAATTAATCCTTCAAATGGGTCACGAGGAACCCGCCGTCTATCACGCCATTGTTGCTCTGAGTGCGTTCCACCAGAACTCTGAGAGTCAAGGAATGCCGTTATCCAAGGAAGACCTGGGCAATTCCTGGCATCGATTCGCATTGGAGCAGTCAATGCGCTCGTTCTCGCTTCTCCATACCAGCTGAGCATCCCACGACCCTCGGCTGCGGGATGTCACCTTGCTATGCTGCTTGGTCTTTGTGCTCTTGGAATGGCTGCGAGGTCAGTATGACAAGGCTTTCGGGCATCTTCATAATGGAATCCAAATTCTTAAAGAGCTTGGCGTGATGGTGACAGATGAGTCGCGTGCGCGTGCGCGTGCGCGTGCGCCCCCGGTAGAGCGAGACCTGATCGTTGCGTTCGGCCACTTGGACATTCAGTCTGCCCAGTTTGGGGAGACAAGTTCACTTATAGAAGGCGATGCCATGCAGGCTATCGCGACGTCGCAACTAGATTGTACACGCACATTCGGAACATTTCTGGTGCGCGCGAAGCACTCAACCACATTCTTGAACCGGTTTTCAAGTTTATAAATTCCGCACAGGCCCTGTCACATGAACAGGTCGCGATACAGTACGAGTCTCTCTACCAAGAGCAGATCAGACGCCGCGCAGAAGTGAACGAGTTCGCTCAGACCTTCGACCACCTCGTGCCACACAATATTACGAGCTGAGCGCGAAAGAGCAACGCGGTGCAGATGTCATTCACCTCCATCAGACAACGGCATCGTTGAATCTCGAGACCTGTCTACTGGACAGCAATGACCCCCTGCTGGACACTTATACTCCTAGATTCGAGCATCTTCTGGCTTGTGTTGAGGAGGTCACCGACAAGCTTCCTGACCGACCTAGTGTTTGCATGGACATGGGCGTCATTCCGCCGCTCTTCTTCATAGCCACCGGATGTCGGAGTTATAGAGTTCGCGAACAGGCGATTGAAGCGCTACGATCCTGGCCGCATCGTGAAGGACCATGGGATTCGAATCTAACTGCTCGTATCGCTACCGAGATCATGAAAGTGGAGTCTATGACTAGTTCGGTGCCGCCGTGTGGGGATACAGAGGAATTTGCAAGCAAACCTGCAAATGATCCTCCGGGGCCGCGCGGGGTTTCTGTGACTATTACTGAGGATCAAGATCATGCGCGATTGTCATATCATGTGGGCAATGAGCGGAATGAACGGTGGTTTAAGCTTGACAGAGCGTGAGATGTCCCTGTGTGATGTTTCTCACTATTGTGTATGTGCGATAGATAGGAAAAGAAGCCGAAGCAGTGGGTGATCGCCCTCTCACCGCCCAGCTGTCAAGGCCTTCTGCCTGATCAGCCAGGCGGTGGCAGAATACTTGATAAGACCCCCACTGATAAGCTATCGGCCCTGCGGATCAACAGTTGTTCCGCCGCTCACATGGAATTTTTTGGAAATCCTCCCGGGTTTACGCAGGACAACACCCCGGAGCTTCATGAGCCGCGACCCTTCGCTCAACCATCCGCTGTCCTCTAATTTCCTCTAGGTCCCTCATCTCCCTCAGAAAGCACAGCTCAGTACCCAAAATGGGCAAAACTGCCAAAGATGCCTCACCAGAGGCGGATGCGACCCCGGTCGCCGACACCGAACTCGAGTCAACCACGAAGCTTGCAGAAACATTCCAAGAGTTGGGAGTCATTGACTCCCTGTGTGAGGCCTGCGACTCGTTAGGCTTCAAGAAGCCCACTCCCATTCAGGCCCGTTGTATCCCCATCGCTTTAGAAGGACGAGATTTGATCGGTCTCGCTGAGACGGGAAGTGGTAAAACGGCCGCATTTGTGCTCCCGATCCTGCAAGCACTGATGGACAAACCTCAAACACTGCACTCCCTTATCGTCGCACCCACTCGAGAACTGGCGCAGCAGATCGCGCAAACCGTGGAAGCCCTGGGGTCCCTGATATCCGTGCGATGTACACTTCTGATCGGTGGTATGGACATGGTGTCGCAAGCGATGGCGCTGGGCAAGAAACCGCATGTCATCGTGGCGACGCCGGGACGTCTGTTGGATCACTTGGAAAACACGAAGGGCTTCTCGCTGAAGAATCTCAAGTACTTGGTGCTGGATGAGGCCGATCGACTTCTCGACCTAGACTTTGGTCCTATCCTCGACAAGCTTCTCCGCCTCTTGCCGCGCAGAAAGACCTACCTGTTCTCCGCGACCATGTCCAACAAGGTCGAATCCCTCCAAAGGGCATCACTGTCCGATCCCGTTCGCGTTTCCGTCTCCGCCAAGAACCAGACCGCCACGAATCTCTCCCAGTCCTACATGTTCATTCCACACAAGTTCAAAGACGTCTACCTGGTCCACCTGCTGAACGAGCGCGCGGGACAACTCGGCATTATCTTCACACGCACTGTGCACGAAACTCAGCGCCTGGCCTTCCTGCTGCGCAACCTCGGCTTTGGCGCTATCCCTATCCACGGTCAACTTTCGCAGAGCGCTCGTTTGGCGTCTTTGAGCAAGTTCCGCGCCCGGTCGCGCAATCTCCTGCTGGCCACGGACGTTGCGGCGCGTGGTTTGGATATTCCCGCCGTTGACTTCGTTCTCAACTACGATCTGCCCCAGGACAGCAAGACCTACATCCACCGTGTGGGTCGAACGGCTCGTGCCGGCAAGAGCGGTATTGCCATTTCCTTTGTCACTCAGTATGAAGTCGAGGTATGGCTACGGATCGAGGGCGTCCTGAACAAGAAGCTGGACGAGTACAAGCCGGAGAAGGACGAGGTTATGGTGTTCAGCGACCGAGTGAACGAGGCACAGCGACAAGCGGCTATGGCCATGCGGGACTTGCAGGATAAGGATACGAAGGGTCGGGGCGGACGGGGGAAGAAGAGGAACAGAGATGACATGGACCGAGAGGAGGCTTAGGGAGGATAATTTCGTCCGGGCGGACTTGATGAGAATGTGTGCATAATAGAAAAGGTGTATTGTCTGCAGCTTAACCTAGAGCGAAAAAGTTTCCATAATTCGAGATGAACTATACGACCCACATCCGTGCCGACCGTCCCCGCAGTAGTATTGAGCATCATCATCACCACCACCATCAGCTTCTGTAGTGCGATAGTCTTGCTGGAGGTTTCTGTTATACTTTGTTTGTTCCTAAAGCGCTTTCATTGATAAAGAATTTGATAATGCGTTCTTAGATCACTCGTCTTTCAGCTTGGTCGTCACTGGAACAACGATACGGTCTCAAATCATCGGTTTTATATTCGTTAACGTTACGTCTATCATGATCCAGTGGTTTCAAACCACCCTAGCCCTCAATCTTATTTCTCCCCCCAATCAATGCTGGAAGATCTTCCACCTTGGCAGTGCCCTCGAGGATATCTGTGACATGTCAGCATTAACCACTCCGTACAAGCACCAGGGTTAGGAACATACCATGAACTGCGACGAACAAGGGGAATTCCTTGAGCTTGCCCTGCTTCTCGAGGAACTCATAGACATCGTACGCGGTGGACGTGCCCTGCAGCTTCTGTCCATTAAGCTCCTTCTCCTCGATCTCCTTGACACTGACCCCCTGCTCAACCGCGTGGCAGGCCGACCGGTAATTCCGACCGGCATTGCAGGAGGAGACCAGGTCGGCCATTCCGGCGCTCTCCTCGGTGAACGTCCGCTCCTCGACGGACTTGGGGAACCAGGTGCGGCCAAACTTGACCATCTCGAGGACGCCGACGCGCATGATGGCGGCCTTGGCATTCTCGCCCCAGCCCTTGCCGGCCACGAAGCCCGACGCGAGGGCGATGATATTCTTCAGCGCGCCGCCGAGCGCCACGCCGGCGACATCGCGCACGTGATGCACGTGGAAGTAGGGCCGCGCGAACAGCGTCTCGAGCAGCTCGGCGCCGACGTGCGGCAGGTCTGGCGGCACGGGGGTGAGCTTGACGTGCGTCGGTTTCGTCTTGCACTGCCGCTGCTCGTCGATCTTGATCAGGTTGGCATCCTCCGAGTCATCCTGCTGCTTCAGGTCCATCGGCGGCACATCGTAGCCGATGGTCGTCTCGCAGAACTTCTCCGCGGCGACCTCGGGCGCGATGTTAGCCCCCGACAGCGCCCCGCAGTAGATCCCCAGCCGCTCCATGATCAGCTCCGAGTGCAGTGTAACCGTCCCATCGGAGACATCGACCCCCTTGATGCAGGAGACGGCGCGCGCGTAGGGCAGGATGTTGCCCGCGATCCCGTCGAGCGTCTTGCCGATGAACTGGTGCGGCAGGTTGAAGACGAGCAGCGTGGCATCCTTGACGGTGGACTTGAGGTCCGGGTCCGCTACCACGTTCTCCGGCAGGGCGATGTCCGGCAGGTACTTCACGTTCTCGTGGACTTGGTTGATCACCTCGGTGAGTTTGCGTTTCTGGCCGCCCAGTTTGCTGTGGTGCTTGGAGGACTCTGGGATCTCAATGTCTTCGTCAAAGACCCACATGCGCACCTCCTCTTCGAAGAGGTCAGGGTGCTCTTGGGTGTTTTCGGCGATGATCTTGGCGATGGTCGAGCCCCTGGTTGAGGAAGTGTGTGTCAGTGATGTCGGGAGGATGGGGAGGTGGTTGGCGGGGGACGGTGCGTTCGTACCAGTTTCCTGAGCCGACCACGGCGACCTTGTGCTTTCTGGTGTGACCTGTCATGGTGATTGAGCTCGCAGAGAATGTCGCGAATATAGATGCTGAATTGAAGCGTTCATAAGAAGAGAATCCATGGTCGAATGGTTTATAGATCTGGCTGGGAGCGCAGGCCGCGGCAGATTCCAGGGCGGTGACGTTGATGGTTGATGGGAGGAGGACGTCATTGTGACTTTCTCTCTTTCCCCCACTCCTTCTTTTTCTCAACCTGCTCGACTGCCTTGATTCCTTGACTGGCACCTGTCACCTTTCACTTCTCACGTCAAACCAACAGTCCAATCTTGTTTGTGAGGGTCACGGTTACTGTCGGAAGCTTCTCTGTAGTTCAGAGTACAGCAACCTCGATCTGGCCGGAGACATCGTCGATCGCTCCGGTGGCCGTCCACGGATGCGACCTCAGAAGAAGTGGCTCACGCTTGGCCACCGCCACCCACCACAACCACCACCGGCCGCTTTATCCCTGCTCCTGCTGCATTGGTGCGTTCCCTGTATGACCTTTACGGAATGATCTTCACAATGACTGACTAGGATTTCAAACAAAAGTGACAGTGACAATGATCTTCTCTCTCCCTCGAGAAAATGCCCGGTATCTAAACCCGTGGGGATTTGAGCAAGACGACCACCAGCAGTCCCAGACTCCCAGAGTCGACCCACTCCAAACGAGCTTTTCCCGCGCAAGCTTCAGATAAGAAAAAATCACTGGTCAGTCGGCCACGTGAGCCGCGTGTGCCCTTCGGTGTAAACTCCACCACGCCGCAATCAGTCAATTCCCCCGAGAAAAAAAGAAGCCAGAGTCAAAACACCAGAGCAGAAACCGATCCAGCCAGGCTCTTTCTTCTGGCTCAGGCACGGTCCGTTGACTAAGTTTAATCCCGCTCGGCGAATCAGCGCCCTTGCAGCGTCTAAGCTAAGAATGATTCGGCGGATCGCGAATAAGATTCCACAGATAACGCCATCTTTCATCCACCAGTCTGGCCCTGTGCCAAAGCCCTTGCATCCACCTAACCTTACCATGCATCCAGTCGCATCCCGTGGCTTCGGAATTCGCCCGAACAACATGCATGTTTGTGACCATTTCTGGCATTAGGCCTGTCGTGTTGGCGAGCACGCCATTTTGCCCAGAAACTAATGACAAACTGCCTATTCTCCTCTATAAGGCCGCGCGCGCTCACCATGATGCCGCGATGCTTCTCCTCGCCATAGCAAAGAATCACACCCTTCTGGGCTCGACAGTACAAGATGGGTCTGCCCACCATCTTTCGTCGGAAACACGACTCTGATGGGTCGGAGGACGCTGCCTCAGGAGCCAGATCCACCGGCTACAGCGAGAACCCGACACTCACACCCACATCCGAGACGCCTTCGATCACCAATGTCCCAGTGGACAATCTGAAGCGGGATCCGGAGCGCGACCCGAAATCTGGAGAGCCGACCGTGGCCGAGACGGAGGTCGAGGACGATCCTGAGATCACCGCTCTGCCGCTGGAGGTCCGCCAACTAGTCAGTCTGACCGACGATCCGACGCTGCCCACGATTACCTTCCGCTACTTTGTGCTATGTATTATCTTTGTTTGCCCCGGAGCTTTCCTGTCGATGATGAGTCACTTCCGTACTCGGGAGGCTCCGTATTCCGTCTTCTTCGTCCAGATTGCGTGTCACTACGCCGGCCACTTCTTGGCTCGAGTGCTTCCAGCCTGGGAGGTTAGGTTGCCTTTCACCCGCTGGTCGTTCAACCTCAACCCCGCGCCATGGAGCATCAAGGAGCACGTGCTCGTCACCTTGACTGCCGCCTCCGGAGCAACCTACAATCTAGGATACACCCCGATCGCCATGGCCGAACTATTCTATGGTGAGCGGGTCAATGCCGGGGTTGCCATTTTCTTCATGTTTGCGATTGTGTGGATCGGATACGCGTTTGCCGCCCTCGTGCGTCAGGTCTTGCTGTACGACCCCATGTTCATCTGGCCTCAGGCACTCATGCAGACGACCCTTTTCGAGAGTTTCCGCAAACAGGACCGATCGTCGCCCCTTGCGCGCCGACAAATGAAGATCTTCTTCTTCTCGCTGCTGGGTATGACGCTTTGGCAATTCCTGCCGGAGTATGTCTTCCCCTTCACCTCGTCCCTGGCCTTCTTGTGTTGGGTTGCCCCCCGCAACCCGGTGGCCAACTTCATCGGCTCTGGCATCGGAGGAATGGGCTTTCTGAACTTGTCGCTCGATTGGTCCAACATCAACTGGAACGGGTCGTCGATCCTGTTGACTCCCTGGTGGACCCAGGTGGTCTTGTTCGCCGCGTTTGTGTTCAACTGTTGGGTGCTCTTACCCGCGGCCAAATGGGGCAATCTGGGGTCGTTTAAGCACGGACTGATGTCGAATTCGCTGATGACGGCGAACGGCACCACCTATCCCACCTTGAAGGTGGTGACATCTGACTATAACCTCAATGAGACCGCCTACGAGCAATATGGACCGATGTACATGGGTCTTCAGAATGCCTGGGCGACATTCTTTGACTATGCCAAAATCACTGCCGCCGTCACCTGGATCTTGACCTTTGGGTGGACACAGGTCTACACCAATGTGAAAAAGTTTATTGCTTCCCGCAAGAAGGTTTCAGAGACTCCCAATCAAGGCCTCAACTGGCAGTATCACGACCGGCTGAATGTGCTGCAACGGGCCTACAAAGAAGTACCTCTGTGGTGGTACGTGGCTCTCTTCATGGCTGGGTTCGTGGCTCTGATTGTCATCCTGGCTTGTGGTTACCTCTGGATTCCCATCTGGACGCTCTTTGTCGGGCTGTCGACCGCCGGCGTGCTGGTATTGCCGTTTGGTTTCTTGTACGCTATTTCGAACTACCAGATCGCTGCTGGCTCATTCAACGAACTGGTTTATGGCTACATGGTGGAGACCAAAGCGGGCGCCGGACACCGTCACCCTTGCGGACCCTCGGTGTATGGCTCTATCGCCGGTGATGCATGGTACCGGGCGCAGTACATGCTTCAGGACCAGAAGATTGGACACTACATGCATATTCCTCCCAAAACTGTCTTCTTCTCACAGGTCTTTGGTACAATCCTGGGCATTCCGATCAATTATGCGGTGATCCGATGGGTGCTCAACACCAAGGGTGACTATTTGTCCGGTGCGAAGACCGATCCGCTTGGGCAGTGGTCTGGACAGTCCCTGAAGTCCTCCAACACGCTTGGTGTCCAGTACGCCGTGCTTGGTCCCAGCCGTCTATTCAAGGAAGCTGAGATGAGGCCCCTGCCGTGGGCGTTCCTGGTGGGAGCGGTCCTGCCACCCATTCTCTACATCGCGCATCGCCTGCTGCCCAGGTCGCTGCGGATCGACCTGTGGAACGTCAGCATCTTCTTCTCGGGGATGGCGGTCTTTTACGGTAATCTGAGCACGGGATACACGTCGGCCTTTATCGGTGGCTACGTGGTGATGTACTGGGCCTACCGCCACCGCTTTGAGGTGTGGAAGCGGTACAGCTATATGATCGCGGCGGCGTTCGACGCAGGGTTCAACTTAAACATGCTGTTGATCTTCTTGTTCTTTGGGTCCGGCAAGCGGGTGTCTATGCCCAACTGGTGGGGAAATAACGCCGATTCCGTGGAACGATGCTTTGCATTGGATTCGTGATGATGGGAAGGGCGGAGTCGAAAAGTCTGAGCGGTTATGAATTTTGCATATATAATGAGGTGCTCGTATGGATGAGACGACTAGATTAGCTTAGTATATAATGATGAGTGATACGAGTTAAAATTTAAAAGATGATGACATAGGATACGAAGTCGAGCTCAATCATAAATTGGACGATCGGGGAGGGATCTTGGTTGGTGGTGGAGGGAGGGCAGTGCACCGCCGCCGGATGTCATTTGCCGGATCTGCAAGTGGCCGAGTCAATGATGCGTTCATCCATCCAACCTTATTTCCCCAGCATAAAATCCCACCCCGCCGTCCCAATTTCCCCATTGCGAAGGCAAAAAAGTGTCAAATATTCTCCCGGTGGAGCAATCATGCCCCCGTTCTCTGTATCTCACTCTTCTACGGCACCTCATCATGGAGGCAGCCGGCGCAGCAGCTGCAGCGAGTAACGTCACCGGCAGCCCCGGCCACGGCTGGCTGCGGACGACGAATTTGGCTTTGGCGACGGTGGGGATCGCCGTGTGCACCCCGTTGCTGGTGATGCGGATCTACACGAAGATTCGGATTATGAAGAAATTCTGGTGGGATGACGGTGAGTACGCTCTCAAGCTTGGCTGGGACACGGCTGACTGTTGCTGTCGCAGTGTGTTTAATATGCGCATGGGTATGTCGCTTTTTTTTTTTTTTTTGAGCCTTGCAAACAGAGGGTGCTCACACACGACAGGTCATTTCCATGGCGACGCAGGGGACTATCATCTGTAGGTCGCATCCCATCGCTTGAGGGAAATGCGCACTAACTGAAGCAGACGGATTCGAGCACGCGCACATCGGCGTGCATATCTGGTTTCTGACGCCAGACCAGATCAACACCTACCTCAAGGTGCGCGCAGCCTCCCCCCATTCCTCTCTAACCATCAAAGTGCATGCACTAACCACGGAGAGGGCAAGGTCGTCGTCCCCGCCGCAACAATTTACATCTCCAGCCTGGCGCTGGCCAAGATCGCCCTCCTGATGCTCTACTACCGGCTGCTCAGCATGATTCGGTTCTGGCAGTACGTGATCAACGGCGTGGCGATCTTCATCATCGCGTATAGCATCGCGCTCACGCTGGCGCTCATCTTCGCGTGCCACCCCGTCGGCCGGAACTGGGACGTCACCGACACGACGGGCGGGTGCATCAGTCGGCCCGGGATCTACATGGCAACCGCGGTGACGAATACGCTAAGCGACGTGCTGTTGATCCTGATTCCCGTACCGATTGTCATGAATTTGACGTTGCCGACGGTGCAGAAGGTGGGGATCTCTGGGATGTTTTTGGTGGGGTGTTTGTACGTTTCCCTTTGGGTGTTGGGTGGCTGGATGGGTAAGACGGTATGGTTGGCTAATGGTTTTGCGCCACAGGACAATCGTCACGAGTATCGTGCGACTGGCGACGTTATGGCCGCTGGTGACCTCAGTGGATCCGACGTATAAGCTTTCGTTGGCGAGTGTGTTTATGTACGTCCCAACCCCGTCTTAGTTTAATAAAGAGATGAAGTGTGCTGACACCGCATCCAGCATCATCGAAGCCAACTTCATCATCATCTGCGGCTGCCTGCCGTACTTCCGGCAGTTCTTGCGCTTCCACTGCCCCTGGCTCATCGGCATCCACAATTCCACCGCCGAGAGCAACAGCCGGGGCTCGTCGACGGGCGAGACACCCCCGTGCAAAGCGCGGAAGCCCGGGTTGAGTCAGTTGCAGGATGATATCGGGATGGCGTTGACGGAGTCTCCGTTACCAATGGAAAATGGGCGGGGGTATTTCTCGGCTGTTTGAGCGGGTAGTGTCGCGGTGCGATTCTTCTCTGGGGCCTCAGTTGTTGTTTCTTTGTTGTTCTCTTTTGGTTTGGCTTCCTTCGCTTTTTCTTCTTCTTCTGTATTTCCACTTTTTTCTTTCCCCCCCCTTCTTCGTGGTCTGTTTTGTCATGTTTGGAGTGATACCCCATTCTTAGATTGATACAGAAGATGTATAGTATATGGTTCGTGAAGTGTAAGAATACAACGCAATCTCATCTCTATCCTCCTTCCCCATGATAACTAGTTCACACCCTAGAAAAGACTAAGAACAAACCGGCGAGGTAGTCGGCGCCACCGCCGCATTCGTCGGGTTCGTCTGCGAGCACCCATCCACATATCCGAGCAGGAAGTCATCCTCGGCCGCCTTGTATGCCGCACCGCAGTTGGGGTCACTATCTCGTCAGCCTGCCTCTACCCTGCACCCCCCAATTTTACCGTGGAAGAATTTGAGTCAGAAAGGACATACCTCGCACCACCCGACGCATTGTTAAAGTAACTGCAGATGTCATGCGACCAGCAGTCCTGGGTGTAGACGTTGCCGATGGCCGTGCCGGTGCATCCGGCGCCGCAGCGGCCGTTGCACGAGTAGCTTCTCAGGTCAGAATGTGTACAGTATAGGAAGGATTGTGCGTAGAGATAAGACGGATGACGTACTCTCCTCCCGCACTGTTCTCGCCGTAGTTACTGCCCACCACGCCGGTGTACGTGCAGCTCTGACCGGCGCTGTTGGTCCATGATGCCGTCGCGGTGGCGCCGACTTTCAGGCAGGTGACGGAGCGTCTGTGGAGGGGGGAGGGACTGGCGAGGGTGAGGGTGGTGGTTGCGAGGAGGGTGAGGAGGAGGGTGAGCATTTTGATTCTGGACTTGATGTAAATAGGAATGGGATGGGGCTGGGGGGGTGCTGTCTACTGGGTTTGTTGTCTGGGAGGGTGGCTCTTATATACTGTTGTGGGGCGGCACGGTTCTGCAGTGATGAACGCTGAAGACTTCAACAGCTGGACTACATTAAGGTTGACGGGTATGTACCCCGTGTCGGGGGGATGACATGCAGGAGCTCGGGGAATTTCTCGGACCTGTCAGAGAGTCTAGTGGTGGCTGTCTGCCTGCAAATTGCATCAGAGGTCCTAAAATGGCGAGCGGACGGGATGCCGAGGTGATATAGTGGTGGGTGACAAGTGGGTGCCTGGTTGGAGTTAGACTGGGCCAGTTCCTGGTGCAAGTGACGGGTCATTCTGATGTATAAGTCTGCAGACTCTGGCTTTGTCTTTTGTCTAGTCGATGAGCTTGTCCTTTCTCGAAACTGAATGATCTGTGCAGTCGTGCACCTGTAGCCGAGGTATAAAGCGCAGCTAGGGTTGTTGTATACTCCCGCCGCGCGGTTTGTGTCGGTATGCTTAGCAGAAGCCAAGTTGGCACTGAGAACAACATATCTGGAGGGGAAAAGCCCCTGGATAGCTCCACACCAGCTACTACAGCCTATAATCTATATTCATAGACATGTATCTTCTTCCAGGCAGTGAACATAAACCATATCGTATAGCGTATTCCTATCGATACCGGCTTATCGCGGCGACGTCATGCACGTGACCTGCTGACTGATCCACCCCCTCCATCTCCCCGCTCACGCGACTCTTCCAGCGTCGCATCACATCGCATCGCAACCACTCTCTGTTTACTTCCTCTCTTCCGCTCCACACAACTCAACGCAACACACACACTCTCTCTCCTACCAGACCATATACCGTGAGTCCTATCACCAAATCACAACCCACCGTCCACAACCGCCAAACTAACACCCAATGCCGAAGACCAAACCCAAGCTCGACCCTCACCCCCGCTCCCCACCTTACCAATCACCACCCCACAAAATGTCTCCCCCACCCCAGCCCTCCATTCTCATAATCGGCTCCCTCAACACCGACTTCGTCACCTACACGCCACGCTGCCCGCTCGCCGGCGAGACCCTCACAGCGACCAGCCTAACCATCTCCGCCGGCGGCAAAGGCGCCAACCAAGCCGTCGCATGCGGCCGCGCCGCCCACACCACACCCACCACGCACTCCGCGAACGTCTACATGGTCGGCGCCGTGGGGGCCAACGACCCGTACTACTCTGCCCTGATGCGGCCGCTGCTCGAGGGCTCCGGCGTCAGCGTGGCAGGCGTGGCCGAGCGGGCAGACGCGAGCACGGGGTCGGCGACGATCATCGTCGAGGAGGACAGCGGCGAGAACCGGATTGCGGTGGTGCCTGGGGCGAATCACGTGGGGATGAGTTCCGTGGAAGAGGTGGTGCAAGGCGTGGAGGGGTTGGTTTCTTCGCCAAGTGATAAGGGGGAGGGCAAGGTGGTGGTGCTGCAGGGGGAGATTCCCCGGTCTACGGTCTTGGGGTTGTTGGAGCATTATAACCAGCGGGATGCAGATGCCCATGTCGTGTTTAACCCCGCGCCGGTGTTTCCGGAGGGGATTCCGCTGGATGCGCTGAGGGGGACGAGTGTGCTGGTTATGAATGAGACGGAGGCGGTGTTGATGGCGAAAGCGCTGGGGCTGGAGCAGGGGGCCGGCTCGCTGGTGGAGGAGGACCCCGAGACGCTGGCCCGCGTGCTGGCGCCGCGGTTCCATCAGGCGGCTGAGGTCGGGATCGTGCTCATCACGCTCGGCGCCAAGGGGGCCTTCTTCTCGACCCGCTCCGGTACGAGCGGATGCGTGGTCGCGGAGAAGGTGGCCAAGGTCGTCGATACCACCGCCGCCGGGGATACGTTTGTCGGGTACTTCACGGCGGCGTTTGCGCGGTTCGTGGCGCAGGGGAGGCGGTTGGAGGAGTTTGATGGCCTCGTGGAGGGCGCGGTGAGGCAGGCGAATCGCGCGGCGGCTGGGTGTGTGCAGCGCAAGGGGGCCATGCAGAGCATTCCCTTTGCTTATGAGGTTGATTCCGATGCTTAGGCGGAAGGTGGGTTGTAAGAATAGTACGATGTACAGTACAGTATTGGTGACTATGATGTGGTGATAGACGTGTAGAGATTAGATTAATTCACTAGACATACCCTCGATTCTTCCATCAATCATACATGAACCCATTAACCCTCACTATGCCCCCCAGCCCACCACCAACTCAAGTAAACGAAAGTAAGCTACCCACTCTTCACCACCTCCTTCTCCTCCCCGACAACACTCGGCTCACTCCTCGCCACCTCCTCGCCGTCATAATCCTTCTCATTCGTCATGAACTGGTCGTTATTAAGATGCTTGAACCGGAACCAGAACAGCACGCCCTGCACGGCAAGCGCAATCGCCGGCGCAGCCCAGATCCAGATAAGGTAGGGGTCCTCGGTGACAGGCACGAGGATCTCGCCGAGGGCACTGCTAAGCGCGGTCATGAACAAGAACACAGCCATGACGAGGCCGCGCATGCTGGCGGGCGAGCGCGCGTACGCCAGCTCGTACGCCGTGACATTGCAGAAGATCTCGGACAGCGCCGACAGGATGGTGTTGGGCAGTTGCCACCAGATGCTGATGGGGGAGACGCCCGTTGCGCACGAGGAGGCGTAGTACCCGCAGGGCGAGGTCTTGTAGACGCGGTACTGCACGATGGCGCCCGCCACGCCGCCGATCGTCGCCAGAAAGAACCCGAACGTGATGCGCGTGATCCGCCCAGGGTGGCAGTTGTACTTGTGCAGGAGCGGGTAGATGCCATAATTCAGAATGGGCACCGCCACGATGATCGTCAGCGCGTTGAAGTTGTTCAGCAGGTCGTTCGGCGCGCCGTTGGTCGTCATCGAGGCACCCTGGTTCGACAGCACGGAGCCGATGCCCCCGTCGTTCAGGTTGTAGATCGGGAAGTAGAAGAAGATCTCGGTGGCCACTGTTGTCGCGTTAGTATATGAAGAGGCGTGGTTGGGGTGGTGGTGGATGAAGAGGGAATGAGGGTTGGGGAGGGGACAGGGGCATACCCAATGTTCTCCGCACATCGTCGACCAACTTATCCGACCAGTTCACGGTGATCCCCTTAGCCGCCAGGACACTCGGCTTGGCGGCATCAAAGAAGTTCTTGCGCCACACCTGGAACTTGTTCTCGCGCAGCGCGGTCATGGTGATCTTGACGGCCTGGCCCAGCTCCGAGTTCCCGCTGGGCGGCAGCCGGTAGGTCTTCTTGTAGACCAGGGCCAGCACGACGGGCAGGAGGAAGTAGACCAGCCCCGCCAGCAGGAAGGCTAGCCAGTAGCCCACATACTTTTCAGCGTAGGTGGTGGCCAGCATGTAGAAGGCCCCGACGTTGACCACCCCGTAGAAGATCAGCATCGTGCGCGTAGCAGTCATCTCCGGGTCGACGATCACTCTCTCCCCGGACTTGAGAGTCTTGGTGTACTGCTTCTGGTGGCGGAACTGGTCCAGCACCGTGGGCGCGATGTTGGGCTTGAAGACTCCGGCCCCGAAGGCCAGCATCAGCAGCCCGATGATGAACGGGGGCGCCGCGTGCGACTGGCCCTGCTGCAGCACAGACGGGATGGCGCCGATGATCTGGATGATGTGCGCCACACCGCAGATGGCCACGCCGATGCAGATCGCCTTGTACCGGCCGATGTGGACGTCGGCCCACCTGAAGACTGGTCAGTGGACCTGGCGGAGAAGGTGGATGGGAGAGACCTTACCATCCTCCAAAGATGGGAATCACGTAGGCCAGGAACTGGAACAGCAGGACCAAAGCATCACTGGCCTGTAGACCCATGTTCAGGGCACCGGCGGTCTCTTGCGTGCCCCGTGGCGGAGCACCAGCCCCGTTACCACCTATACTGGGTGAGCGAATGCCACGGGCCAGATGTGAGCAGGCACCATACCTTTGGGCAGCGGGAACTCGATGAAGTTGGAAAACACCGTCTGCGCACCATAGTAGGAGGCACGCTCGGCGAACTCGACCAAGCAGAGCGAGTAGGCCACGATGGGCAGGTTGGCGGGGATCTTGCGCAGGCTGCTCGCCTCCTCGTCCGTGGGAGCGGGGTAGTCCTCGTCGTCAATAGCCGTGGCGTCGACCTCGTAGTTCAGCTTCTCCGGGTCGGGTTGGGTGGCATGGCTGATCACGGTGGTCACCTCGCCATGGTTGATGGCGTCGACGACCTGGTTTTCTGCAGCTAGGGCAGCTGGTGCATGTTAGTGAGGGAGTTTCACTAATCGAAGAAGAAAACATACGCATTGTGACAGGTGGCGATGGCTGGGGTCAGGGGGTGCGGACACAACAGCAGCAGGAAAGCACCGACAGCATCGCGTGGGTTGTTCTTATATCTCCATCGCTCAAACACAGGACGGACCCCCGGCGGCGATATGACCTTGCCAAGGATGGTAGGGCGAGTTCAAGCAATCTCACAACCGTCGGACAGCGAGGGGGACGTAACACTGAGGCGAGCCTGGGGGTGATTGCAGGAAGACCCAAAAGCACTAGACCGGGGCTCGAAGCCTAGTTAGGGTTAGCTGATACTTATCAGCCCGCATGCAAAGGGCGAATGCACCAATCCCAGCGTCGACACGGACAATGATAAGAGATGCACGGGAACTTGCGCCATCGAGCCCAGGTCCAGTCGCGGTGGGTGTACAGATTAATACCTGATAATCGACATTGACGCCATTCGTGTGTTGGGGTTGGTGCATGCATCCAGATCGGGTGTGACCAATTCGGTTGCCTTCGAAATCATCCCGGGGATGTCAATTGGTCGCCATGGCCTTCAGCTGGTGGTAACTAGGTGGTAACTAAAGGTTGACCCTGGTAGAATCAACATCTCATTTCATCCACCGGGGTCTACCGATATGCAAAGCAATACCAAGATTCCAAGCCGGCAGCCCCTGCCCAGCACGCTTGGCTTCCCACGAAGCCTTCTTGTCTTTGCTCATCTCCCTCGCCCAGCAACAACCACCACCACCACCACAACATCCAAGACAGAGGCTTCGCTTGGCGGATTACACCCTAGCACAAGGTGATATCCGTATCGATCATCGGCAGAAATCCCAATTTCCCACTTCCCTATCGCATGCGACCGTTACGAATCGCCACTGAAAATGGGTTGAGCCAGGATCCCCATCCTGGGTAACCGACCGGGGCCTGGCTGGCTCTGTCGTTCGTGCTTCCTAGTCTCAGCTCTCAGTCCCCAGCAGATACATCGTGGGGAACGCACGAGCAAGTGCGCCAATTCGAGTAAAACCTCCGCTCCTAGTTCCTACATCGCGTGGTGGACGACGGTCGTGGGTCGGAACGTGGCGTGGCGTGGCTCTTATCGCCGTCCCTCGACCTGTTCGTGCGACTAGAGTTTCCCACCGTAGAGCATAAGACCGTCGTATATACACTAGAAGGTGGCCACGGACTTCGATGCATTGATCGGCGAGTTCTCGACGTGTTCGATGAGTGGTGATTGTCTACCTTCTAGTCGCCACCAGATGTCATGGTGGATGAATGGGGGTGGAAGAATGTCTCCCCCGGTCGGCTGGCGTCGGTGCGCCCGAAGTATGTGTGCTCGGAGCGGTTGATGGCGTGCTGCCAGCTGAGACTTGGGCTACATACCACGAATTCTCTTCACCACAATCAATTTGTCAGGCCACCCAAGACCATTCGTGAATCTGCCATCTCGTGGTCGACAGCTTCCATGTAGCGTGGAGGGTTCCAAATCAAAAAAAAAAAAAAGTTTCATTCTCAACTACCTAACCCGTGCTCCCCGCGATAGCAATCTAGCTATCAAGTCCAGGACAATTCTCGCTCGTGATTGCAGTGATGTCGGTGTACGGAGAAGGATCCGTCCAGATGAGATTGAAGCTGCAAAGAGTGGACAGTCAGTGCCTACAGACTTTGTCTGAGACGCCAATCGAGACAGGTCGACCACTTACCTATCATCCGGATACGTCGGGGCATCATCATCCCCCAACTCCTCTACAATGTCGGTCAACTCGCCATGCTCCCAGCAGATCAGGATGTTGCCGTCCCCGGTATAGTTCTCCACGATCTTGTTGACGCATGTCGCATCGGTTTTGGCGCACGAGGTGTCGACCGTGATGCCCAGGTCCTCCGCCAGCGGGAGCACGGTCAGATACGGGCGGTCTCGCTTGCCATCTATTTAAGAGTTAGCGATCTACATCCATCACCGTAAATAATGAGAGAAGGAAGGAATAGCAGGGAGAGATATACCACTCTTCGGGGTCTCAGCCATGATATACTGGATGTTGTAGCCGGAAGCGGCCCCGAAGACGTTCCGCAGACACTGGGCCCGGTCCACCCCCTGCGCGCTGAGTCCGGTGCTCCCGTCGCTGGGCTTCTCGCCGTGTCGGATGAGATACACGGTCGCGTCGGCCAAGGCGGTGCCTGCGAAGAAGCAGAAAGGGAGCATGGACTTGACGAACATCGTGGTTGATGATTGTGTCGAGGTGCAGATGCGTTCACGTTCAACCAAATCGAAGCTTTGCTTTGGGCCGGGCGGGATCAGCCGGATGGCAAACTGGACCATACTTATAGGATCTATGCACTCAACTACGGAAATTGGCCCCCACGGGTCTCCTGCATTGTTACCTGGCAACTCCGGACGAGGAGCAACGAGCCAGGGCTGCACGTGCGGGCGTTCATTGTCAACAATGGCTGTCGATCCAGGTGGAGGCCCTGCGGAGAGCCATTGGAGTATGATTCGATGAGGGAGTGTGAATTGCCGCTGGGCGTGGAGCTTAGCTTAATATGGGTAGGTAGGCATCTATCGGCGTGTGTGTGTGGCCTGAGGTCGCCGGGCCACATAACACAGCGGAAGACACCACATAATATAGTCAAATTCCTTTGTTAGCTATACATATTAATCAATATCATCAATTTGTACGGCCTCAGCCTAAGTCTCCAGAAACTTAGTCCCTCCAACAGCATCACCGTGGATCGTGAGCTTGAGTCATGGTCTCAGTAGCAAGTACTTCAAGAGCGCGAGTTGATTGGGAATTTCGGAGAGGAGGAAGAATGACGGAAAGATGAAGTTGAAGTGGGGGTACAATATATTCTGATGGGCGGCTCGATCCGCCTTCCCAGACTTGGCCGGCCTACCGATCTGAGGTATGAGCTGGAGCCAAATCAATAGGCAACTACCTATAAATCACCCAGGAGGGTAGCACAGTCAATCCCTGCCTAGTTTCTGGGTAACACGGGCAAGTGGCCTGACTTACGAGGCGTCTGAACTTCGTCCATCTACTATTGTGACCAAATACAATATATGATTGAATTCAAGTTATCCGCCCACCTCCATTTGAGACATTACCAGATTTTGTACAGTAGGAGATGATCATTATGTCGTAACACCCAAAAGGCAAGATGCAATTCGCCTTAAAGTCCCCCCGTCGTCGCCGCATCCATCAGCCACGCGCTATCCGACCCGGCAAAAAAGACATCGAAGTCCCACAGGTCCCCAATTATTCCCGGCATCTGGCCCGGCAGCTGCGTCTGCTCTGGGTACCCGTACTCTGGAGGTAGGGGCTGACCCGGGAGTTGCGGCTGCGACTCGAGCAAGCCCCCCTCGGCAGATGAGGTGATGGTTGTGGATTCCCCGAGTCTCGACGCCCATGTGGCGCGCAGTCGCCGCACCATGATGCCCAGCTTATGGAACGGGTCCTTCTCGTGCTCGTCCTGCCGGAGACTGACGACCTGTTCCAGCATATCACTAATCTGGTCGGCGATGAGGATCACATCCGCCGTGCGGCGCACCAGTCGCGTGTCCCAGCCGGGGATGTCGGCAAAGGTCAAACGCGAGAGGGTGACCAGGCAGTGGGCAACGAGAATGCTTTGGATGATAGGAAAGGAGGCAAAAGTGCGAATAGGCGTTCTGAGAAGGCTGTCAAAGAAGGAGCGGACAGAGGTTAGACAAGCGCAAAGGTGGTCGAGGCGCCAGGAGTCGAGAGCACCAGGGGTATCATTGGTTTCGGGATTAGGGTGGATAAGAGCTGTCTCGTAGAGTGTAGTTTCTGCTTCCAGGATGTAGAAAATGAGGGGATCTGCCGGGGGTGAGTAATGAATCGCACTACGGATGGATAGGTAGACCCACTACTACTGTTGAGGAGGGCGGAAGGAACGTCAGCGCGGAGCTGGATGAGCTGGGTTTGCAAACTGCTCATATAAAAGGGCAGTGGTGCCCGCGGAATGCCAGTCAAACTTGAGTTCTCGTTCCACGGCCCCTCACGGATGCGCTCGACGAGGAGCCGGACACGTGCAAGATGTGCGAGGGTAGCGTCGTGCGGAGAGTCGGTGCTTGTAGAGAGAAGCTCTACGGACTCTGTCATATGAGGCGTCCACCGCATCACCTCCATGCGGCCAAGGAATTGAGCAATGCTGTGTATATCTATTAGCATGGGATTCTGGCTCGGGACGGACAGAGAGCGAGACGGTCACATGGTAGCATGAAGGCGTTGACTTACACTGAGCTGATCACGAAACAACCCAGTACGGCTCGTCGCTCGTTCATGGTTCTGGGGCGTGGAGCAGGTTGCTTCGGTGCTGGCGGCACCAGGTCATTGCACACGGGGGGCAGCATGGCGAGATCACTCCGGACCGGTCGATTCAAGCCCAGTTCACAGATGAGCGCGGTGGCTATTTGACAGTACAAGACCATGATCGATTTTGGGGGGTAGCTTTGAAAAGAGATCCAGGCGATATGCACCAGCAATCCCTGCAACAGGTCTAGATTCTTGTCGCAGTCCACCATAGTAATCTGGGCAGCGGTCTGACGGATGTCGACGCAGCGCAAGGCCTGCTGCACGGCATCTTTGGTCTCGGTGGTGATAATGCAGCGCCAGAGAAAGGGAGAATCGCGCTGAAGGTCAGCCGGTGTAACCGTACTGGGAATATGTAGAAGGGGAAGGCAAGCGAGTTTGTCCGTCCGAAATGAATGCAGCAATGCCTCCGCCTCCGCTGGGCTGGGCGTGACGATGGCGGTGGGCGGAGAGTGGCGCGGGCTAACACTACCACTCCCACTACCACTGCCGTCGGACTCGATCCCCGTCCCCGTGTCGGGAGTACAGAGCGGATTTGTTGTGCATGTCCGACCCGCGCCCTCTTGACTACCGGCGGAGACGGGAAGATGCCGGCCTCCTCCTCCTGGTGGTAGTTGTCCGGATGATTGGAGCAAAGACATTAGCCCATCCATCTTCTGCTCCAGCTGAGCGGCCTTGGAAAGCCGCTTGGGACGGCGACGGCGCGATCCAGGACGACATTCCTTTCCCAAGCGATGGCATCTGCGGTACATTAGCGGTGGATTGGCCCATCGTCCGTCTGCAGAAATTCAACCGACTCACCTCTCACACGGGGAATCTCGAGCCCGCGGGATGCAGCGAACCTTGGCGCGAGCACACGTACTACAGGCGTGGCCATACGGAATTGATGAAGGGGATTCTCCATCCATGGCATCCATGGCAGACCGAAGGTACAGTACACAGACTGTCTACAAATGGGATCACCTTAATGAACTGAGTAGAAACATATCGGGAGGATGTGCAATACCCCCTTCAATGCTGTCCGATTATGTTGGTGGTGATGGCGGTGGTGGTTGATGTGTAAACGGGGTTGGAGTGGATTTTCTCTCCGAATGCCGAGCGGGGGGAGCACAATCAACAGCAACAAGGCAACTGGGGGGAGCGGAACTCCGTCTGTGTCACGTGATGGCAGCATCCCATGCAAGGAGGAGAATGCAAAGTGTGCCAACTATGCAAAGCATGCAAAGCACAATGCACTACAAGCAGCAGCATCAGTCAGCCCATCGCCTTTGAACAGTTGCCAAGTGATAGCTTCCCACGGTGACTAGTCTCCATTACGATGATCTCGATAAGAGTTTATGTTCTGGTCATCTGTTCGACATCCTCATGTAGTATGATCTGGCAGGGTGGCATGCAAGGGGCTGATCTACATATGAGCAGTCGTCAGTCATGCTGTTGTTATCTTCTGACTTTGTGGGCAAAAGATCAGAGTTGGTTCGGCTCCGGGGATGGGTGCAGTAAGGCTACGGTGCATAAGATTGTTCTGAGATTGGCAGAGGCACGATTGGCAGGCAAAGATGGAAAGACGATCCGCTGGTGCTTGTTCCAGAAAACAGCCTGGCGACCGGCCTCGGCGAAAGAAATGCAGATGCCGAGAGGGGAGAGAGGGAGGAAAATACTAAGACTCGGGCCGACTAGACTCCGCCTCAGGCTCCACGGTCGCACCACCAGAGGAATATCAATTGGCAAACACTTCTGCGTAATGCCTTCATTGATAAGCCGCCGCTCCAAATTGCAGGTTGGCTTGGATCGTCTTGTCGTCTCGTCTCTCCCGCGCCTCGTAGCAAAACATTAAGTACGTACGTAACAGAATTGGGAGACACGGCCCCGGCTCTTCTCCAAGATACGAGACCATCAGCGCTTCCCCTCATTTTTGTGAGACCTGCTCTGAGTCTAAAAGGTTAAAAGCTGCAAGCGAATGGGGAAGAACTCCGCGTGAAGTGAGATCCATTGCTCATCCCCATTCTACTCATAGGCTGGGTTGCGTAGTCCGCCAGGGGGACGTGTCAAGCTGGCAGTCCTGTCCTGCAATTAAACTTCTTGTGCGACCACGAAGTGGATGGATAGTGCAAAGTAGGGCGTCGATCGAAGGTGACGACTCCAAAAAAACTACAGAGGAAATGGTTTAGCCTCAATCCTTTCAGGACACAAATCCTGGGGAAGGTTCGGCGTTACAGTGCTTGCTTGCTCACTGGCCAGCCAGCGCCGCCTCTTAATAACCTAGTCAGAGCCATTACCTAATGCAAATCGAGCCATCTGGAGTCTATCTTGGCTCGGTGCTGGCGCTAGTCTGTTTTCGCCTGTATCTCCAATTCAACGTCACACACCCTAACCTGAATCAGGATTTGGGACGGTATGCCCTGCAACTGATTGGCTGCAGCCCGCGGATGGCGGATGCTTGGGCTCCACGTGGGAGGCAAAAGCTGAGCCAATCTGGCAAACTCTCCGAGTTTCTTCTTTCCGCCACCAAATCTTGTTAGTCAAGGTTTGCTGGTCCCGTTGCCTGATCCGGATTATCACTGTATCAGTTCTTGCCCGGATTCATCCGACCCTGTGCTTGGGCGACGGTGAAGCCTGATCGTCCACCGCCAGCGGCACTGGCTCGGAAGGAAGGTCATCGACTCGAGGAAGAGAGAGGAATCGAAAGGCAACACAACCACGGCGGAATATTATCAATCCTACCTGGCGGGTCCTGCAGGCTTCCTCCCACCGGAGCCCACCCTCCCACCCTCCTCTCCCCTCTCCCCCCCCCGCCAGTCGCCGCCCATTATTATTCAAAACCCGTTTGACTTCCCTCTCGCCTGCTACTTTTCTACTGCCTTCGCTTCCTCTTCTCTCATCTTCTTTCTCTCTCCATCTTTACTCCCTCCCCTCCTCCCCATCTTTCAACAACAGCCATCAGGCATTTGGTGTGACCCGGGCAAAGTCGAATTCAACTTCATCTTTCCCACTCTCCACCTTCAGCCTGTATTCGGATTGTTCGACTTCTTTCTGAATATTCTCGTCATGGCTTACGGTGACGACATCGTTGGGGACCGCAAATCCCAGTCCGGGATGGACTTCGAGAACGAGAAGAAGGGGGATCTCTACTCCCCTCAGTATGAGGGCGATATGGTCGACAAGATGAGCGACACGGAGCGGAACATTGTCGAGGCTGGCATTCAAAAATACAACCGTCTGGGCTGGAAACGCCTGACGGTGGTGATGATTGTCGAGGCCATTGCCCTGGGTAGTTTGTCGATTCCCTCCGCCTTTGCTACGCTGGGCATGGTGGCCGGTGTGATTACAACGATTGGCCTCGGGTTTGTTGCCATCTACACCAGTCATATTATCGGTCAAGTCAAGCTCAAGTTCCCCGACGTTGCACACTATCCCGACGCTGGCCGCCTGATGTTCGGTCGCTTTGGCTATGAGATTATCTACGTCATGCTCGGCCTGGAATTGCTGTTTCTTACCGGCTCGCACTGTCTGACCGGCACCATCGCCTTCGTTGACATCACTGAGAGCAGTGTGTGTTCTATTGTGTTTGCTGTGGTCTCCGCCATCCTCCTGCTTCTTTTGGCCATTCCGCCCTCATTCGCTGAGATGGCTATTCTGGGCTACATCGATTTCATCTCTATTATTGTCGCAATTGGTATTACTATGATCGGCACTGGTGTTGAGAGCACCAACCAGCCCGGAGGACTGTCGGCAGTCAACTGGTCTGCTTGGCCTAAGGACGACATCAGCTTTACCGATGCGTTTATTGCTATCACCAACATCGTCTTCGCCTATAGTTTCGCCCTGTGCCAATTCTCCTTCATGGATGAGATGCACACCCCCAAGGATTACATCAAATCGATCTGGTCCCTGGGTATCATCGAGATTGTCATCTACACCTTGACTGGTGCGATCATCTATGCCTTTGTTGGCCAGGATGTCGCCAGCCCGGCTCTCACCTCGGCGGGTCACACTCTTAGCCGTGTTGCGTACGGTGTCGCCCTCCCCGTCATCTTCATCAGTGGTTCGATCAACACGGTAGTGCTGGGCCGTATGATCCACGGTCGCATCTTCAAGAACTCGCCCATCCGCTTCATCAACACCAAGATGGGCTGGATCACCTGGTTGGCCGTCATCACCGTCATCACTGTGGTCGCCTTTATTGTCGCCGAAGTGATCCCCTTCTTCTCCGACTTGCTGTCCATCTGCTCCGCCCTCTTCGTCTCCGGCTTCACCTTCTACTTCCCCGCGCTCATGTGGTTCATGCTCCTGCGCGAGGGCAGCTGGTTCACCCGGAAGAACATGATGCTAGGTGCTATCAACCTGATCTGTCTGTTGATTGGACTGATCACTCTCGGAGCGGGCACCTACGCCAGTGTGGACGATATCGTAAGTTCCTTCTCCTTTTCCGTTCTGACTGCCCGTGCTAATTCCTCCTCAGGTCAACAACTACAAGTCCGGCAGTGTCCGTGGAGTCTTCACGTGCGCGGCTCCGGAATAAGCGAATTCCTCCCATCATCATTTCTGCCAGCCGTTTAGACATAGCCTTAGCGTTGTTTTGCATTTTTATTTCCCCTTTCCTCTACTTTCTATACATTCGGCGTTGCAGGCCCGGGGCCTGTGGCGATACATCTCTTGCATGGTGTTGCTCTGACTCTGCGAATACCCAGTTTGCGGACTGTATATACTTACTTTTTTTTGGACATGATTGTGAATATGCTGCATCTGATGTACTATATGTCTATGATTATGATTACATATTATAAGATCGGATACTCTTCTTTGAAATCTCTACAGTAACACAATAATTGAGTGGAATGAGCGGGGGATAAGCAATGACAGCATATCGGCATGCCCTGATGTCATGCTGCTGCAGGTTGATGTCAATCCGGCCCGACCGGAGGTGAAAAGGGAGCATGAAGTCAGCGGGGGAGGTTTCCATCGGATCAAATGGGTACTCGCGGGGTAAAGTTCGAGGTGTGCCTCTTCTAGAAGATGGAGGGATTTCCGCATGCGACCAGGGGGGTGGGGATCTTGAGATGGGCGAGTGCTTGCTTGGTTGCTTGGTTGGTGACCCGTGGACGCCGCGGGCGGCCTTAACATCGGTAAAGTTCGAAGCACAGCACAGCGGGTGGTATTTAGAGAGACCAATGCCTTTAGGCAGACACCAGGATGTTATATGTCTGCTGACGTCCTCTTCGTATTGGGACTGCAGAGCAGTTCGAGTTATAAGACATGAGTGAGCTGTCTAGTCAGAGGGAAATCCGGCTTCTTCAACCCGGTCATGTGATGTGATTTATGTGTCAGATATATACTTGTTCCACTCTACACATCGTCTATATAAGGATGACTGACCCCTTTTCATGGAAAAGTGTTGCACCAACCAACTTAGTTACTAGCTCCTAGTCCCTAGAACGCCATCTAAAACTTCTCCGACTCGATTTCTTTTGTCTCCCAGTTTAGATCCAGAATTCTTCCAAGTCAGTTGAAACCTGTTTGAACCCACAGTATAAACACCGAGAAGTTGTTCATGGAACCGAGAAAACAAGCTCCAGCCTTCCGGAACTACCGGTGATGCCTTCCTGCGGGGCTGCAGCACCAGCAATCCATCTCACTTTCCCCCCGAGGGTCCAGTAGCTCAGTGATCGACGCCCACTAGTCTCCATCTCCCAAACACCACCAGTAACAACGCATCTGCAGCCATCCGATGTCTCAAGCTGATCTATTTCAGTATCAGGCCGCCATCTCTGCATCCCAGCGATGCTGTCACGACTGGTGCTATAAATCCGAGTGTATCTACCACAACATCGTTGTCACTGCAAGCCAATTCATTATCATCACAAACCACAACAATCACCCATCTTAACCCCTCTTCCATCCCTTGAATTAGCACAATGAAGACCGTCGCAGCAGCAGCCACCTTCCTAGCCACCGCCCTGGCCCAGAACGCCGCCATCGGCCTCCCCAAGGCCGGCCAGACCGTCCAGCCAGGCCAGAGCCTCACCGTCCAGGTTCAGCGCCCTGTACGTATCCCTTCCCTGTTCTCATCTGCTCATTCCCCTTACCGCCCTAATCCGCAGAATTAACATCAATAGAACACGATCACCGGCTCCCAAGAAATGGCCGTCGCCATCGGCTTCCAGTCCTGCGCCAGCGGCAGCTGCTACGCGGCCGACGAATACATGGGCACCATCCTCTACAACGGCGCCTTCAACCCCGTCTACCACGAATACTACCTGCCGCCGTATGAGAACTTTACCGTCACGGTGCCCGCGTCGGCGGCGGCGGGCCAGGCGGTCATCGGGGTGGCGCATGCTACTTTGGTGGGGGTAAGCTTTCTTCTTCTGGGAATGGGATAGAATTGAACTGATCCAAATGCTAATGTTGTTTGATGCAGGCGTCCGCGGCTCCGTACTTGGAAGTTTTGAACCAGACAATCACTGTTGCTTAGATTGAGGGTGATTTGGTGGGTGCATGTATATACTACTTGGTGGTGGTAGTTTAATTTAGGTTGAGCTGTTCAGTTTATTGTAGTTCTGTGTGCAAAAGATGAAGAGTAGTGGATTCTAGGTTATGGTGCTGTCGCCTCGGAGTTGCGAAAAGCCGGCAAGGGAGACATGACGCGGTTGGATTACAGCGGCTTCGGCTGCGCACCTTACCCTACCTTTCCCCTTACAGCTATCGAGCCCCCTGATCAAGTCTTGACTTCGATCTAGTAGCTGCAGTACTTCTGCTCCAGCTCTATTCGATCTTCTTGTCGCTGCTTATTGTGCTTGCCATTAGGTGTAGCCTAGGCCAGCACTCAGCTGTTCACCATAAATCACATCACCTCTTTGCGATGGCGAGCAACAAGGTACTTTAGTGTTCAGATTCAATATATTAGATTCCACCGCAGTAGTGCTGAGTAGGTGCTAAGCGTTGATTTACTGTTTGCCTTGCTTTTCACTTTATTGCAAAATGTAAGTAATGCGGTCCAGTCTGCATCAAGCAACTTGTCACAAAGGAAAAGGATATCTGTTCTGTTGAGATATAATGAAAGGTTAAACTATGCTCATCAAGGTTCTATAATAATATGGACGAACACATAGACCATGTTAAAGCAGTATGCTGGAGGACTGATATTTCGGGGAAACTACAATATTGGTATCTCTTATGCTGCTAGCCGTCAGCTGTTAGTGTACAAACTGTACACTGCTGATATATTATATAAGAACACTTGAATAAAAAAGACAACAGACACTTCGACTAACTTAATACTCAGGAGGTAGAAGCCAATTACTCTATCTTTCTCAGTGCGCTAATCTACCACATGTTGAAATTCTACTGTTGATGTCCGCACTGTTTACAAGAGCCAGATACGCAGTGTCGAACAACCAAGTAGCAAAGCGCAAATTTAATTTCCCTGATATGAACATTCTGGAACGCCCCCCGGATAACATGAAGATTTTCCCCCTCCCTTCCATAATTCATAAACACATTTTCACATCATGTTTCAAAACACAACAAAATACAACAAAATACAAACCAATCTCAGTAATCTCAAATACATCAATTGAAAGTCAGAGCAAAACCACGTCCAGCAATCTTTGTACCCCTTCCTCCAGCGAGGACTAGCTCGACGATGTGGTGATAACAGTTTAACCGAGGTTGTGTTTTCCTGTCATCCCGTGGAGTAGAAGGTTTTCGAGTTTTTCGTCCTGTTAATTAGTGATAAGATCGAGTTAGCTACACCTCGCGTCATCATCTTGAGGGTATCTGCTTGGTCACGTACCATCCTAACTGAAAGACACGCAACGGATCAGGTCAATGAGCTGATGACAGTCCAACCGAAGTTGTATTTTTCTGTCATCCCGTGGAATAGAAGTTTCTCAAGGTTTTCGTCCTAGTACTCAGTAGCAAGATAGTCGGCTTCTACCTTCGTGTCATCATCTAGAAGGCATATACTTGGTAACATACCTTCCTATTTGAAAGACACGCCAAGAATCAGGCTGCTCGAAGAGGTGATAACAGTCCAACCAGGTTGTGTTTTCCTGCCCTCCAGATAAGAGTCTAACCTAGATTGTGTTTTCCTGTTCATAGCCGTGGAGGATCAGACCGCGCTGGTCGGGTGAAAGCTGGTAAGCACGAAGTCAGTCAGCTGCCCACAGCATCATCACAGCCACCGCCAGGACACATAAGCCCATACGCAGACCCAGACGAAAAGTAAAAGAAAGAAGGTGACATACTTGTACATGAGGAAGTAATGCCCCATTGCATTCCTGAAATAGTCCTGGGTCGCATCGCGCGCCACGAGGGACAGGCGGCCCCACTCGTGGACGTGGTAGTGCTTGTAGGCGACGTCGAGCAGGTGCTGAACAAAGACGACGCGGTGGTACAGCGCGGCGTGGCGGAGCAGGTCCTCGAAGTGCGAGCCGGGCTGCTCACAGAACTCGGCCTGCAGCTGCTCGTCGCGGAGCATGTAGACCGCCAGGTCCTGGTCGGGCCACTGAAGCGCCAAGTTCAGCACGCGGTAGCCGTGGGTCCCCCACATCGCGTCGGGCTGGTGGATGAGGTAGTCGACGGTGGCGAGCAGGGTCGGGTCGAGCGGCTTGCGAGGCTGGTTGAAGTCGTCCAGGCGGTCCCACTCGTTGTGGTAGAGACGGCCGTGGTGGGCATGCTGGATCAGCGCGTGGATGCTCGCCAGGCACGCGGTCTGATGCTCCCGGTTGTGGCGGCCGGGGTCAGCGCCATGATCAAGCAAGAGCTTCACAATGTCGAGATAGCCTTGCTGCGCGGCAAGGGTCAAGGGTGTCTGATGGGTGCGGCGGCCATCTTCACGCCAGTAGAGGTTGGAGCGCGCCGCGGTACGCAGGCACCACTCCCCCTGGCCCGGGACCCGGGGACCCCAGCCCACGTTAGGGTTGGCACCGTATTTGAGAAGGTTTCTCACCAACGGCTCATCACCATGGCTTGCAGCCCAGAGCAGCGCAATACCGTTGGTTCTCTTCACGTGCATTTTGTAAATCTCTTCCTTAAAGAAGTCGTGAAAGAAGCGGCTTGTACGGATGAGTCGACTCACGGCTTCACCCCCAAGTCGATACCCGGTGTTGAGGAGGATCTCTCCTGGAAGTTCAGAGAAAAGCATGATTACTGATGGTAATCACATTGGATAGAAGAGTGTGTTCGATGATGTGAGATAGATGGAAGGTAGTATAGGATGGATGAAAGATGGAGTGAGATGAATAAAAGTGGGAGGATGTGGATGAAAGAAGGAGGAAGGAAGAAGGAAAGAAGAAAAGAACCTTGAACGGTAGTGTGTAGATATAGACGTGACCCTAGCTGCACGTGACCTGATATCGTGAAGTTATTCACAGGTAGTCCAGTGGGGACGCGTCAGCTGCGCGCTGAAAACCTATTCAGATAAGCTCATGAATAGCTTCAGAAAAACTTTAAACCTTACCACAGGATATTCCAGCCAGGGCTAGAACATTCCGTGAAATGAGTTGGTTGACCTGTAGAGGCAGTAAATATTGCTGAAAGCTGAGACATCTGACTCACAATCCTGCCGAAGATTGCAAAAGAGTAATCACAAAGACAGCAAGATAAGTGATGTGTAAATAGCTATGTACACATAGATTAGGAACCATATTCTAGCATCTCATACCCCAGACCAGACGCGTTGGGATCAAACACCACGGCGAACTAATACTAAGCTACATTAGACTAGATGGCATATCGGAACTCGCGATTCTCCCGATCCGTCAGGTCCATAAATTCATGGTTCTGCTGCAGGATATACGCCTCGCCCGCGGCCTCCTTCTCCGCGTCTCGCTTTCGATTCTCGCGCACCGACACCCACCGAATGAGACACAGATCCAGCGTGATCAGGACATACAGCACGACGATGGAGATCTTGGCGGGAAGATACCGTGGGGCATCCTTGGCCTGGAAGGTCTGCGGGGAGATGATATTGCCCACGGTGTAGGCGACGGTCTGGATGCACGAGACGGTGATCTTCTTGGTCGACCCGGCCACGTTCGTACTGGTTAGACCCAAGATCGTGGTCCATCCGATGGGAATGCCCCCGGACAGATAATACCCGATCAACGCGGGGGTTTTCTCTGTCGTCGCCATGAGAATCGCACCCACGATCGACGGGATATGACCCACGATACACCAAAACAGCCTCTGCTCCGTCCTCATACTGAGATACGTCAACCCAACCAATACCACAACCTCATACGCCCCCAAGGGCGTGACCAGCAACAAGCTCTGCCGCGACGAATACCCCATTCCAGTCACAAGAATGTTCCCGAAGCTCGTGGCAATCGAATTGGGTATATTGGCCGCGAACACCCAGAAAGCATACAACCAGGTCAGGGGGTCCGTCAGCGCCTCGACGACCTGCGCCTTCTTGAAGACCGTACTCCCAATGCCCTGCTCGTTCCCGCGCAGCCGCTCCGCATGCAGCGCCTTCTCCGTTGTGGACAGAAACCGCGCCGTGACCGGCGAATCCGGCAGGAGGAAGAGAAACACACTTCCTACAACCACTGTGAACCCGCCCAGCACCAGGAAGATGATCTGCCACCCGCGCAGCGACGCACTGTCCCCGACATGCACCGCGATCCCGTACGCGATGTACCCACCGAACATCTGCGCGAACCCGCACATGGCGAACCACACCCCGACCCGGAACGCTTGCTCCTCCTTGCGGTACCACTGTGAGGTGAAGACCACCCACGCCGGCACGATCGCTGCCTCGGCTACCCCCAGAAACGTACGGCAGACCATCAGCGCCGCGAATGAGTGGCACGCTGCCATGCAGGCCAGGATGGCGCCCCAGATAATCACATTGACGGCCACGTAGCGCGCGAGCGGGAAAGCTTGCAGCAGTCGCACGGTGGGAAAGCTGAACGCCAGCTGCCCGAAAAAGAAGATGCTCGAGACCCAGTTGTACTGGTTGCCGTGCAGGTGGGCCGATTCCCGCAATCCCGTGACGCTGGCGTAGCTGATGGCGATCTTGTCGAGGTACTGCAAGAAGTACACGATGCAGATCAGCGGCATGATGTAGAGGTCGATTTTGCGAACGAGCTTGCGCGCGGTTTCTGGGTCAAGGGCCGTCGCGCTGCTGTTGGCGGCGAGGAGTTGCAGGGCGCCGTCGTGGGATTCATCTTTGATTTGCGGAGTGGGTTGTTTGGCTGGCTCGTCGGTGCTGGGCTGGGCTGAACTGGGAGCCATGGGGGTTGCGTGCGGTGACAGCGTTCTAGAGAAAGTTATCAGTCTGTGCAGGTTAGTTATATAGCAATTGCGCTCGCCAATGCGCCATGGTGGTGGTGAATCACGTCATCCTTGGTATCGGAGATGTAACCCGATGATTGGGTTGATAAGCATGCAATGCTGCATAAAGATAGGAAGACTTTTCATTGCTTGCTCGCACGATAGTGGAGCCTTGTAGATGTGCTTTCAGAAACTGACTGCTCTCATACACTGCTGTTGCTGTGTCATTTAATTCGATATAACTACAAAGCCAAGCTACAGGTTGAGTAGATCTGGACTATGCAGACACGTAGTCCTCAGTCTCTCTTGCAACTTCGTGGACTTGTGGCTGATACGCTTTGAATGTAAAATTATGTACCTAATACCTACCAGTCACCAGTCAAGGAAGTCGCAGCTGGGGCAAATTAGGGTTTTTGAGCGAGCAGGTTGCGGCGGTTATGTCAAACTATGAAGTCTGAGATATTTACACTGTTTTCTTCGGTCTCGTCGACAGCGATCCCTCATTAATGGTAATGGGAAATATAATCATCTACAACCTCATCACCATCGCTTTGCAGAGAACGACGGTACGCTGGACCCTGTTGTGCGTACCTGACTGGTTAGATCCTGTCATTCAAGGGTTTAAGGGTTCGTGCGAGGTGGGCTCACATGATGAAAGCTGAAGGCCGAGGCACCAGCGAGACTGTGGCGCATCCACTCTGTATGTACATCGATCAATTTTCGGGCCGAACCATGAGACCCCTGATTCCCTAACCCCCTACCCTACAGTTAAGCGACTTGACTGTCGGGAAATGCGAAGCCTTACCCGCGCCCCGCCGCGCCCCGCCCGGAAGGAGCCCGAGGTCCACCTACAGAACCTATCTCCGAAGTGCACAGCTGGGCCTACTAGCAGACTAACTTACTAAGTACATATAACTATTAAGTAGTCTAGTTACCTAGTAGCATCTATTCAAGTTAAGTTACCAATGTAGCCCTCCAGCCAGCTGCACTTGATCCCTGACCCCACTAGGACGCTTAGACCTACGGGCAGGAGAAAAAAAAAAGGCCCTCGAGGTCGATGCTGCAGTCGCACTTCTTGACAGCTAGTCTAGCGCCCACTTCCGCTCCCAAGACACCACTTTCTACCGAGCATTGTGATGTGCCGTGGACCAACAATTATTTCTCTATTTCTGCGTAGCTACAGGTATTAATACAAGCAGTATACCCGTATCAAGAGGTGCAGGAAGGTTTTGGAATTCCTCTTTCTGTTTCCTTGAGGGAGACACGGCTGCTTAGCTCGGCTCGCTTATGAAGCAAATTCAATTTAGGGCTAAGTCGAACCAGGCATGCCAACACATGCGGTGACCCGGGGCTTTGCAGTAGGTATTTCAAATGCTGAATAGTGAGATCACATGTCTTTGAGCCCATACTTTGGACTCAAACCAGCCCTCTTCCCCTGACCCCAACTGTACTGTGCCCTTCTACAACAGGAGCATAGTGGTTATGCTTTGTTGAGATGCTTTGTGCACTGTACACAGATATTTATATTCAGAATACGTCTTGCCGGAGCCCCAGGCCTTTTGTACTGAGCTGGGCAACTCACCACCCCAGGCGGAGTGTGTAGATAACATCTGCCTCAGATAGGCAAAATGCACGTCTTTCATATATCTCGCCTTATATCTAGAAGCTGTTCTCAATTCTACTATGATATTTGTCTTTACTTACCACTTTGCTGATTATAGAGAGAGTGTAAGAAGTTGTGAACTTTAGCACTCCCTCCCACACACCCTTAGTATGTATTGTTTGACATAAGTGAAAGTGAGTGAAGGCAGAAGTCATATAGCTGAAGATCTAGGGGCAGAGGGAAGCGCTCCCACTTCGAACCCAGGTATCTCAACCCAAGGTCCACCTCATCGCAATCTGCTTCCATCCATCCATTCCCAATCTACACCCCGATATTATCCGGAAAGACCGCCTTGCACCCCAGCCACAAAACCAATCTCCCAATCCGATCCGGATACGCCGCCACAGCCTTAACATACAACTCTTTCGCACTGGTCGATTCCTGAACTAACCGGCTATACGTCTGGACGTATTCCACCGAAGCACGCACGTTCCACGCGCCATCCACCCCGCCCGGTCGATGATGCGAGGCCACGACCACCGCGGGATCGAACCGCTCCAGCACGCGCAACGAGTGCAGCCAGGCATCGCGCTGCCGCTGCTCCGGCGACTCCGTCATCCACATGTGCACGTCATTGTATACGATATCTCCGGCGACGACCATATCCAAATCCGGAATGTGGAGGAATGTTGTCTCGTCGGTGTCCGAGTGTCCGACGTCCACGGCTTCGAAGGTGTGGCCCTCCAGTGTGAACTTGTTATCCTTGAGGGGTTTGGCTAGGATCTGGAAGGAGTCGGGATCAATTTGGCCGGGGAAGAGGTCATTCCAGAAGGCTTGAAATTCAGGGGTGATTTGCGTGGCCATGTGGTCGATGGAGGCTTGGGTGGAGACCACCTCTACCCCTGGGAAGCGCTGCGTGAGGTATTGCAGGTTGAAGAAGTGATCGCCGTGGCCGTGGGTGATGTAGATTGTGGCCAGGCGTTTGCCGTTCAAGGTCTCGTCGAGCCAGTCGCCCAGCGATACGCCTTGGTCGTGGGTGAAGAGCGTGTCGACGAGGGCGGCTTCGGAGTGCCCGGAGATTAGGGTCACCACCGTCGGTTGCCAGAATCCCACTGACCCATCGGGTAAGGTTGCGTTGGTGGGAATGGAGGGAGCAGCGAAGAGGTCGGCCCGTAGTGCGAATTGATGAGACATGATCGAAGAGCTGTTTGTAATCGCTCAAAAGTGATCGACTAGGGAGAATGAGATTGGGATTGGAATCGGGGTTTGACTACGACGGGAGACCTTTATACCTGGCTGAATAAAAACCACGATCCTTTCAGATTCATGTGGACGTTATTGGAATACGTTGGAAGGCTCCACTTGCTGCCTCACTTGTCATCGATCATAACCTTGCCGAAATGACGGATTGCGCGGAGATAGCAATATCGTGATTAGTCGTGGTCCCCGTATTGCCTCGCGGAGCGGCGTCCGCGCAAGCGACGGGGATCACTCCGCGGCATCGTATTCGCTCGTAGACGGTCTTATCCGAGCTAGCCTAACACGATAGCGTCAGATATGAGCACTATGTTGTTGTAATCAATCCGATATCGCGACTAAGCAAGTTGTGGCCTATCTAAACCGGGGCTATAAAGTGCACACTGATCCGGACGAAGAACGATGCTCCTGAATTGTAACCCCAGCTTTCCAGTTCTGAGCCCTCACCGTCCCGACACACCAAATTCTCAGCCAAAACCATGACAACCGACTACAAGTTCGAAGGCTGGATGGGCCTCGGCCCCGAAGCCAGTGAAGGAAAGATGGTATGGCAGAAATTCGAACCCAAACCATGGGAAGAGACTGATGTCGACATCAAAATCACCCACTGCGGAATCTGCGGAACAGACCTGCACACTCTCCGCAGCGGATGGGTAAGTCTTTCAGCCTCGACCTCAAGACCCTGTAGATCACTTCCAACTAAATAAATCCTGCAGGGCCCAGCCATGTACCCCTGCTGCGCGGGCCACGAGATAGTAGGCGTCGCCGTGCGTGTCGGCTCACAGGCCGAGAACAACATCCAAGTCGGCGACCGCGTCGGCGTCGGAGCCCAGAATGACGCCTGCCTGAACCGAGACGGGCCCTGCGAGGAGTGCTCGTCCGGTAGGGAGACCTACTGCCCGCGCCTGCTGGGCATGACCTACAATGCGCGGCACTGGAACGGGGCCAAGTCCTACGGCGGCTACGCCCTGTATCACCGCGCGCATTCGCACTTCGTGATCAGGATCCCCGACGCGATTCCCTCGGCGCTCGCGGCGCCGATGCTCTGCGCCGGCATCACGGCGTACGCCCCGCTGCGGCAGAATGGGTGCGGACCGGGGAAGAAGGTGGCCGTGATTGGGGTCGGGGGTATCGGGCACTATGCGATTCAATTTGCTAAAGCGCTGGGAGCGGAGCAGGTTGTCGCCATCTCGCGGCGCGGGGATAAGAAGGAGGACGCTTTGGCGCTGGGGGCGGATATCTATATCGCCACCGCGGAGGAGCCGGACTGGGTGAAGGATCATGCGCGGTCGCTGGATTTGATTGTTTCCACCGTCTCCTCTTCGAAGGTATGCGTTGCTTCTTCTTTACTCTCTGTGAGAATGCTAATCAATCGGTAGATGCCTCTTCGTGATTACCTCTCTCTGCTGAAAACTGACGGCTGCTTTCATCAGCTCGGTGTGCCTGAGGACGGCACCTTGGCGGTCCCTGCGGAAGCTCTGGTCTTTCGACGGCTGAAAGTTGGAGGCTCACTGATGGCGGGGCCCGGGGAGATTCGGGAGATGCTGGAGCTCGCTGCCAGCAAGAACGTGCGGTCGTGGGTCGAGGAGGTGCCGATGAAGGAGGCCAATCAGGCTATTCAAGACATGGATGCTGGCAAGGCCCGGTATCGGTACGTGCTTGTCAATGAGCATTAAGGGGCCGTCTACCATGCGGCTCTCCACTGTCACTCTTGCCCTTCATAGACAACTGCTTCGAAACGGGGGCCTGTATTCTCTGGAAATAGACATCGCTCGATTAGGATTTCTCATGTTTGACATACGCAATTATTAATAACCCTCCCTGATTCACGATATAAGAATCAACGTATCGATTCCTAGTGGGATAGGGTCAATACCTGTCTGATATATGATAGGTGAGAAATATCAAGCTAATGATATGGCGAAGTCAAGTTCAGAAGCAGCTCCAAGTAGGGCAAACAACCAGTCTGAGCGGGAACACGAGCCGCTGCGGTTTTATCCCCGTCTTAGGGCACGGCCAGGCGGGTCCCCCACCGCAGCGGAGCGGGCATCTCCCCGTCATGACGGAGGCACAGCCGCAGTGGGGCAAGAGACAGAAATCGAGTAATTTGTCGTAGTGTATTCCTCTTGAGACCTCTGCATTCCTCCGTAAGCATGAGGTCTTGACCCTTCCACGAAGACACCCGACGGTCTACTACAAGCTCTACCTCCCTAAATCCTCCCGCCCCTTGATTTCCTCCACCAACTCCCGAAAAACCTCATCCCCCTGCTCCGCCCACTCTTGAAACTTCCCCGAATTCGCCGCCAGCCATTGCCCATCTTCACCTACCTGGAATCCATAGTCTGAGTTAGTGATGCTGTTTCCGAACAGCAATTACCAAAGAAAGATAGACTCGCTTTGGGCAACAACACCCCATGCTCCAACCCCGCCACATAGTTGTGCTGGGTTCAGGCGTCGACGAACCTGATGTTCACAAACAGACTCGGGGTGGTGAATTGGTGGGTGTGGATGTGAGTGATAGCCTGCGCGAGGGCGTCGCGCTGCGGCTTGTCGAGAGGGATGCTGTGTTCAATATCATAGAGGGGCATTTCGAATCTATGCGTTCTTGATGTGCAAGGATATACTATGTATGTTGTAGGTTAGGCAAGTGTCAGTGATTACGGGCACAAAGAGGGTTAAAAAGACAAGATACTTATATGAAGTAGACTAATGGTGCGGGGTATGCAGGCACCTTCGCGGTGCTACATCCGCAACCATCACTTTCAGCTCCTGAATGCTTCTCGCCTTCTATTGCTTACATACCTCTGTATTGTCTCAAATCAACCCCCAGCAAACCATCCAGCTCAGATCCTACCTCCCTCCCTTGATCCTTCAACTCCAGAAGTCCGGGCGCACACTGCTCGATGATCCGCACCTACAAGTCCAGATTTCCGTAGCTGCTATAAAGAGACAGATTACTGCGTCGAGGGAGATCCGGGAATTTGAAGATGGGAGGGTCCATCACCCAGTTCTATCTTTCTTTCATCGGAACACGAAGCCCAAGCCAAAGAACAAGAAAGCATATGGATTGTTCAACTGCCGCAGACCAGTTAAATAAGAACCACCGGGGTGGGCGGTGAGGGGCCTGACTGGCGAGGCTTCAAGGGCCGCCAACAAGCTTGGATACCCATATCCTTAAATTGCGCTAAAGAAGACCGGATCGGCCCCAGCATGAGACTAGAGACATCTGAGCTTCTCAGATATCTCTTTAGATCCCCGGAACAATACATAAAGCATACGTAAGCTCGATATCTTAGTTTCTTATGTGGTTACCGAGGATGCCTAGTCTCTGAGGCTACGGTAGGGTTCTGACTAGCCCGGCTACGATGGGATATGTTCGTGGCCAAAAGAGCGCACCACTGAATACTCGGCTCGAAGAAAATGCAGCTAAGGCCTAAGCTTGCATCTGGGTATATAAGAGGTGGATTGTCAATCAAGAATGTCTTCGGGCTGTAGGTTGACCCTCTTCTAAGGCACCTTTTGGTTAATTACGGGCTTTCCCTCTTTGGTACTACCGCACAGCGCGGAATCATGATACCTTCCTTAAAAGTGATGTTTCTAGTTGAATCACTGCGTTACAGATGTGCAAAAGAAAGAATCACATGCTTATAGATTATGTAAGAACTACTAAGGCTCGTTCTGTGCTCCAGGTGAGTAAACAATTCGATTTTCAGGGGCGGCTTGATCAGTTCGAATCCTGATCTTTGGCTGTATGTCAGAGACTTGTTCTAATAGCAAACAGTCAAAGTTTCTGTTTATTTTGTTAACCGCGAGCTCGTTACTAGACAGGTATTTACAGCCCGTGTACCCCTCCCACAGCAAGTCGTGTTCTACCCAAGGCACGAACCATAACCCCACTTTCTTCAGAAAAGAGTCTTCAAGATGCAATCTGTCCCCTGACAAAAAGAACGGGTTTAGCAGAGAGTTCAACAATGCGCACTTGGAATTCTGCAATCATCCATTAATACAGGCGATGATCAAATGACTTCATGCTGTGCTCACCTGCTGGGCAGCATTGTTTCGAGAATTGGCAGCCATACCCTCACAGGGGTTCTCTAGCTGGCTGCCACGATCTTGTAGGACTTGAAAATGTCGGCAGAATTATACCAGCAATAGCCGCTTTTGGGCTCATACACGGTACCCTTGCAGTCCTTCTCATAGAAGAGATGAGGCACAACATTCTTCTTGGCGTAGGTGAACATGACGGAAAGGAGTTCTTGGGTGGTGTCGAAGTTCTCACAGGCCTGTGCACCTGTCGTGGCCTCGGCGTAGATCTCGCTGCCCCCGCATTTGACTCCAGTCCAGCCCTGAACTTCCCAGGCTGGGGCTCAGGAGGTTGCAAGGAGAACGATACCGGCAAGCTTGAGGGTTTACATGGTAGAACTCAAAGATGATATGTTTGTATAAAAAGACAATCTCTTGCGAACGGAGATACCACAAAATCACGGACTGGTTGACTTTGCCAGGGAGGAGACAAGAGATGTGAACTATATTGTTGTCAGAGAATGAGAAAATGTGATAGCCAGGAAACATGTGTCCTCGGCCTTTTTACACCTGTGATGAATCTTCTGACTCCTCGAGCTCTGAGTAGAACTCTCAGTCAAGCTAATCGTGCAATCAGGTTGCTAAACAGACGAGACAGTCTGCTGTGGAGCCCATAAACTAAAGCGAGTTCATCCGTAAGAAAGTCAGACTCTCGCCCCGACGCTCGAGACACCATGCACACACAGATAACGACTAGCACTAAGAGCCTAGGTTATTGATTGTTGAATGTACGCTATAGCTAGTTACCACCAGCCATAATTTTCTTTGTACTACATGCTTCTCTTCCTCCTTCCTCGGCAACAACTTTACACTAGCTATCGGATATCACCGATAACCAAACTTGAAAATAGCTCGCTGGACATGAATCTAACTCGATTCACCTAGCCAAGTGTCTCGCCAGCAGAAAGTAGCCCTCCCCGAGCATAATCATTGTAGCTTATACCAGTGACTAATAACAAATCCTTTCTCTCATTTAAGCGTTCGTGGATGAGGCAGACACCACAACGAACATTGTGCCTGCTCTCGATCCTCGCATAATTCTGCTAATCGTAAAGACCTCATGATGAGAGCATTACGGCTCACTTGCTTGTGAAGCACCCACCAATCTACTCTTTTATCTCAATGGAACACAGTCTAAGCAGACTATCTTCAATTCTTAGAGCCAGGGATCTGGGCAAAGCCGGACATCGTCCGAATCCCTAGATGTGGATACTAGATTTACTATACCGTCTACTATACGTACTTGTTACCGGATAGACTACGTTGAGCAAACCTAGGATGCCGGCCGAGATTGTGTGAAATAGTGGAGACTACTCCGTAGTGTCATGGGACAACGAACCGGCGCGACCCACGCCCCACCTTTCCCACATTGAGGTTCCCATTTGCGAGATATACAACGCAGCAATGCACTCAATCAATATGTCGACCAGAAGAGATCGTTGGCTTGGAAGATGTATCTGAAGGCAGAACTCGACTGGGATACTCTAGTGCGTTTATAACCGGTAAAGGGAATATTGATATACCCCGCAACTTATGCCAGGCGGCCATGAGTGGCGATAAAATGCCCTAGGGCAGGCACCGCTGTAGGGCTCCAGAGCAGCACTTGTGTTGAGGAAAAGGTTGTGCCCAGGCACGAGGTTTCTTGAAGTCCTATAGGCAGCTCCTTCAGGCTCTTTGTTCAGGAAAGGTCGTACTTCGCCAGATCTAAAGTAGAAATAGACATTAACTGGATTTCCGCGGGAATCCAGTTGAAATAGCTGATTGTTTATAATTTCGCCATGGACCTCGTTCATTCGGATTGATACCTCATGGCTAGGAAAAATAGTGGAAATCTTCAAAACCTTTGATATTCATAAACCCTGCTTCGTCTACCAGAGGTCGTGAGAGTAATGACCTGGCCCTTTGTAGGATCTGGAATATCGACAGGACCTCGCACAAAAACCTACATAATTTGCGAACACGTAGTCCACGAGGTATATCCTAGATGTACAATAATAGCATTGATTTTATCTTCCACCATCAGGCTAATTGCCTCCAGAGACCAAATCCTGTATTCTCTCTCCCATCCCGCCGGGGAGATCCCACGGAAGGTTCAACCAGTCCAAGGTCGTCTCGGACTGGGGCCCCGCAAAGAACGACAAGAGCTCGGACGTGGCAGTAGGCTGCTGCGTTGGGACATAGTACGGATCAAACAAGTCCTGTTCAGCCTCTCCGATACCAGCGGAATACCCTTCAGTGTCCCATCTATTCGAGCCAATCGACTCATCACCAGCAAGGCTATGATGAGTCTCGCCCATTGGGTGTGATATTGCTGACTGCCCCGCCCGCACAAGACTCCGTGCGAACCGCCGCACCGTAGCCCTCGTGATACTATCCAGCACATCCCGGCTTCTCTTGGCTTCAAGCCAATACTCCCCGGTGGCACTGAGAATGTCAGACGCGGACTTCAAGGCATGTAGAACAGTGTCGAGGTCAGTCTCTTCGCCCACCCCGTCCGGCGCCCAGACGCAGTAGAATATCGTCATCACGCATAGGAACAACGACTGTACGTTCATCCAATTATAGTGCAGCATGCTGTTTATATACAGCTTGTAGTAAAGCCGGATGCATTCCAAGGCACAATGGAAGCACACGCGTATCAAGCTTCTGGAGGGATGGTTGAAGAGCGGACTTGGACGTACGATCAGCATCACCAGCTCGTGATACTTGATCTCGAGCAAGTCATTCAGATAGCATGCTGAGCTCCCTGGGGGATGGCATGGGATGGACGACTTCCACTGGCGCAGACGGTTCAGCATGTCTTCCTGCCATCGCTCGACGTCCGTTATAACAGGCTGCGTGTAAGGGGGATAATTTCGGTCGACGCAATATAGCACACATTTGATTTCAGCGTTGAATCGGGCAAGCTTGAAGAGATGGATTGCGCTAGACATAAAGGTTATAGCTCCAGAGGGCTGCGCTTGAGCCGGTATCTCTTGGTTGGGCTTCAGGTCTTCATCGTTGATTTCTCGCGGTAACTGTAACGTTCAGTGTATTTTTTAATAAGAGATATGTATGGTACGGGTGATGTACCCTCAAATCGCATTGCTCGTCCACTATCCCTATCGACCTGCCGAGTAAGGTGCTCAGGTAGCGATCCATCGTATACACGCACCAGAAAGCTCGAGTGCGCATTTCCTGATCGGAATCGGTGAAGACAGAGTCCCGAACATTGCGATGTAATCCGAGCTCCATCACGGCGGCTAGGGAGTTGTAATGAAGGGCCCATAAGCTAATCCCTGAAGTTGGGTTGTTGATTGTGTACATCTGTAGAAGCAGCATGCACTGCACACCGCGTAGAGAAGATTTCTGAAAAATGGCATCCAAGTGAACAATTGCAGAGGCGCAGTACCCTTCAGCTGAAAGGAGCACTTTAGCTTGCCGTGATCGGATGGTAGCACCGATAGCCAGGACCATGAAGATCTGAAATTGATCAACCGGTGTGACATCTACACCGCTGTAAACCTTCTGCAGAAGTTCCAGATGAGTGGGTCTGTGAAGAAACGGGAACTGCAAATGAACCGACTGGAAATATGCCTGCGTCAACCATTGCGCCTGTTTTAAGTCCGATGGTAAATCCTTCGGTTGGAGATCGAGGAGCTCCGCAGGGACAAATTGGTTGCCTTTCGAAGCTGGAGGTGACTCTCGTGCTATCTCAGCTCGCCGCTCAAGGCCTGTCAGCACAAATCTTGTGAAGAACAGTCCACTAGAAGGCCCTAGATAACGCAGATCCGCCCCAGCATTGACCGAGACCAGACCTAGTTGATCTGTTACATCACGAGCTGGGTTCCAGCCATCCCTAGTATGTGCAGTCTGCGCGACAACGGTCTCAGAAGTAGACAGGTTGGTAGGCATTCCGTAGTCAGAGCTACGAGGACGAACCGAGTAATCAGAGTCAGACTTTCTGAGGTCAATATGTGGCAGGTGCTCCTGTATGATCGACTCGAGCCATTCAATTCGTGCTTCTAGCTCTTCCATGTGACTGTGTATGATGTTGTATTCAGGCTTTAGAGTAAACTACTCACACTGCAAGAATGGCTTACCTTCGGGAAATGTCACGGACATTCCACCCCTCGACACAGTCCACACGGGCCCGTTGGCAACCACCACAGACAGGGACCACACCATCGCACTGGAAGTCGTTATTGTTTGAGTCGGATAATGTAGGAGCAGTCATCAACATTGCCGGGGTTACTCACCCGAATCTTTCGTTTCTGGCAGCGAGCGCATGCGGTGGTGGTCCGGCTGCGGGTGGCAGCCCGACGGTCTCGACGTCGAGCCAAAGGTGATGGATCCATTCTAATCGGTGATGTGATCTTTGTAATCAGAGTTCAGCGTCGGGTAGAGCCAATGGAGCTTGCATAACCGAATTGTTCGAGCAATTCTTGAGTGAGACCTGTTCTTTTGGTTGAACGAAGGACGTAGTTGGAGTGGTTGGCGACGATTAACCCCGCCGACGGACGGAGTTCCGTCCGTGCCTTCGCCGCCGAAATTAGTCATCACCCCGGCATGAGGGCGAAAATCATGCCATATAGACAGAATTGTATACAAGATAAAGAGGGCGGCCTTGAGGATAGTAGAGACATGGTGGTTTTTGTCTACCGTGTGCAGAAGAGTATGTCGGGGATATATGTCAGGATTACTACGAGTTTCCAGAGCTCTCTCTCTCTCACGCCGAAACCACGACAATCAGATCAACTCTCCTTTCCTCGAAGTGAACTCATGATCCGTGATGCATGAACTTTTTGACAGAGCTGTACAAAACCAGTATGTTTTGCTGATTTGTATACGATTTGGCTTCGAGCTGGCTCGGGTGGTATTAAGGTCTCATTGGCCGCTAAGGAGATTCTTCAACTGAATCCAAAAAGAACAAAATTCCCCCACTCAACGCAGGTGCAATGACGCTTCCATGATCTTCGTCAATATACGTCCTCTTCTCACATACCACTCGACCACTGGAGTTCAATCGTTCGTACAGTTCTTCACAGTTGTCCGTCATACGACGCTGGGCCGCGCCTCTTTCCCGCTTCTCGTACATATCATGCGACTCTCCTCTGCGACGAGTCGGGAACTGTTCCTGAGATCCATAAGAGAGACGCACCCTAGACAGGCGTCCAAGTGGCGCAGTAGCATAAAGTTGGCCCTCCTCCGTCAATATGAATCGATCATTCCACCAGATCGACGGACTCGCCACTAGAAAAGTGTCAAAACTCTCTGGTCTCGTGAACAGTACATGCAATGCGAACAAGCCCCCGTACGAATGGCCAAACAGGGCAGTTCTAACGAGCGTGACGAAAGGGAACACAGAAGACAAGACAAACGGCTCAACGGTCCTCTTAATGAAAGACAAGAATTGATCCGCTCCCCCATGTGGCTCAGGACGGGGCTGGCCATCGGGTCCGTTTGGAGGAACATAACTCTCGCACAGTGGAGTCAAGTCCACCGTACGGCGAGGATCATAAACCTTGTCGGTCAAGGGATAGCCAATCGCGACAACGATAGTCCCCGGCTCATTAGGTGAAACAGGCCGACGGCGACGAACAGCATCCAATGCAGTTCCGAAGACAGCGTTCCCATCGACAAGGTAACTAGCTCATGTGAGTCGCAAGAATTTTCAACGTCGGCGCAAGATGTGCCCGCAGACGTACAGAAGATTGACCTTGGCCAAGACCTGTAAAGTATTCCAGCTCAGCGGCCACGCAAGCTGGATCTGATAAGACAATCCCTGTGCGTTGGAAACAGTCCATGCCGCCACATTTGGAATTCCGCCGTTATCGGATCGGGTAAAGGTCCATTGAGTCATGTTGTTACAGCGTTAAGCGTAGTCACATTCACAAGCAAGACATAGCGACACCTTTATGACACACACACGCTGGACGGGAAATACTCGGTGCCGGATCGGAAGCAGATTGATTGTGTACCCCCACGCTGCTTCCGACGGCTTCGTTTTGCCTTCAGCGGACGGTCTTGGCTCCGCTTGGCGCCCTTGGCTTCCATTATCTGATCCGGAATTGAACTTCCCCAGGCCAGTCAGAGAAGGTCCAAGCAAGAAAATGGGGTCTGCGGAATTGCAATGACCAACTCTCACGGGGGTCGTCCGTCATCTCGCGTGGCATCGCCAGATTAGATTAGATCTCCGAAGCCGCTGCACACAATCAAACGACTTATACGAAGTGTCGGTGGAGGCATCAGGAATTATGGCTGCATGAGTCAGTGCGAGAAGCCGGACCTATGCACGAAAAAAAGCTCGGCGTCGCCTGATGCTAATGAACGCCACCGTTGGGCATGCGGTCAAAGATCTTATTTCTTGAGCCGACTTCCTTCGGTCCGATGACTGCGGTCGTGCAAGCAAAAGCGCATACCCACGATGAGCAGCGCCATGAGTTTGTCTAAAGAGACAAGGGAGTCGTTTGCTCCCGCCTCAACCAACATGGCCGAGATCACAACTCAGCAATCAGAGGAGCATAGCAAGCATGAGCAGAGCCCCCAGGCGGACTCAGAGAGCCTCCAGGCTGGTGTCCAGAGGGCAGAGCAGTTGCGAAGAATCTGGTCCAAGACAGGCTTGATTATCGCTTTTGTTGGGTAGGTGTCTGGAATTACCAGCGTTCTGGTCGTAGCTGATGGTAGTAGCCTGTTTCTGGCCACTTTCGCCGTCAACTTTGCCGACTATTCCACCCAGGTGTACACCGCATATACAACGAGCGCCTTCAAGCAACACTCGGCTATGAGTGCTGCCCGTGTGGTTATGAACATTACCCGCATTGCTTCATATCCGATCATTGCTAAATTGGGCGATGTCCGAAAGCCTTGCACTTCTACCATCTCCATGCTGACAATAATTCCAGGTGTTTGGCCGAGCTGAAATGTTTATCCTCTCAATCATCGCCCAGGTACTCGGCTATGTCATATATGCATGCTGCAAGAACATCTCACAGTATATGGTATGCTCTCATCCATTGGCATTATGAGCGTGTCTGACCCTTGCTCTCAATGAGTAGGCCGCCGGAATCTTCGAAGCCATCGGTTCAACAGGTTATGCCCTTACCCAGCAAGTATTCGTCGCCGACGTAACGAATCTACTCAATCGGGGTATCTGGTCAACACTGCCCGACTCCCTGACCACTATCCCGGCATTATACCTGGGCACGATCGTTGCGCAAGACATCCTCGACCACTCGACATGGCGCTGGGGATGGGGTATGTGGGCAATTGTGCTGCCCGTCGCCGCAGCACCCTTGGTTGGGAGCATGGTCCTTTACCAGCACCGTGCCCCTCGACGTGTCCGCATCAGTACGGCTTTGGGTTGGAAGCGCGAGGATCCCTGGTGGCGTCGGGTCTACGATCTCCTGTGGATCCAACTAGATCTGCCGGGAGCCGTGCTACTTTTGTTAGGGCTGTCACTGTTCTTGATCCCACTGTCCTTGACTGGTTCGGGCAACAGTGGTGCCTGGCGACACAACGGTTCTTTCATTGCCATGCTTGTCATGGGCGTGGTTTTTGTGATTGCCTTCCTGGCGTGGGATGCTTGGTTCGCGAAGAAGCCTTTTGTCCCATACCGGATGATCCGCAACCGCACCGTGGCTGCTGCTTGTCTGCTAGGCGCCTTGGACTTTTTCCACTACTCCGTATTCACGGTGTTCTTCACCAGCTACCTGCAAGTAGCTGGGCACTTTGAGGCTGGAAATGCCACACGGATTGAGTAAGCTTTGACACATGACTCTCTCGAAGCTAACCAAATGCTAATGTTGATGACTACAGCAACTCCCTGAGAGTAGCTTTCCAAGTGGCAGGAATCTTCGCCTCACTGTTCATGAAATACACCCGTCGCTCGCAGATTTGGGTTCTTGGGGGCGTCCCGCTCTGTGTGCTCGGTATGGGCATTGTTCTTTACCTCGTGGATATGGGTAATGGCAAAACAGGAAGCGAGGCGGCATTTGTCACGGCTAAATCGCTGGTCGGAATCGGGCGTGGCTTCTACCAGACCGCGGCCCAAGTCTCCGTCCAGGCCGTTGTGTCTAGACAGGAAGTCTCCGTCGTGACGGCAGTATTCTTTGCTTCCATGAGCGTAGGAGGAGCCATTGGAACTAGGTAAGCGTCCGACGTGTATTGTGCGATCGAGGTAGTCTGACAAGTGTATCGATTAGTGTGGCTGGCGCCATCTGGCGAAGCACCCTCCCCAAGAAGCTAGAGCAATACCTTCCCGATGCGCTCAAATCCCAGGCGCACACCATCTTCAGTTCTATTGTTGTGGCGAAGAAGTATCAACCTGGCACGGCTGCTCGTGATGCTATTGACCGGAGCTATCGGGAGTCCCAGCGCCTTTTGGCGATTGCTGCTCTGGCGGCTCTAGCTCCGATGTTGATTGTGATGTTCTTCCTGCGCAATGTACATCTCGACGCGCAAGATGAGGAGGGAGGGGCTACTACTGAGACTCCTGTCGAAAAGGGCCACGAAGACATCCAGGCGGAGAAGAGTGCTAGGGCAACTTCGACTCCTGCCGGTGTTGAGAATAGCTATCGAGCCGAAGAGTAGTCGAAGTGCTAAATAGGTTACATCAGCTGCGAGAAAGCAAAATGGCTTCCCGGTGTGTCTGACTGTGACATATCTTCAGATGGTGGTGCTTCAGATATCCAGAAGGTGATCGACCAGACGACGTTACCATTCATCTAATGATAAGCTTAGAGAGAGAGACGTCGAGAGATACTCAATCTTGTGTTCCAGGTTTGGCTTCTGTTGAAGTGCAGGACGTTCCGGCTCGTGTTACAAGACTGTAAAAATAGGAAGGGGATCGCGGCAGCCAGTGAAGGGTGCCTCGAAATATATCATCGTACTTGGTGGGCGTATCTATGGGAGAAAAGCTTCTTGTCCTGACGTATCACACTTACTATGAGAAATGATGATTTCTGAGTATGGCGATAGATGATCCATCGAAAAAGGCAGATCTGTGTGTGGTTTGGATGTGTTAGAGGGAAGAAAGTAACTCATGTAGTTATGGATTGACTTAGTCATCTATGCATGTGCATTTGCTGGTTCTTCTCACGTGATCGAAACACAGGGGGCTCACGTGCCGGAATTCCCCTTGTCCCTACTAGTAACATGTACATATGTAATTGACTGAGTCCAGCTGCAGGAATGAAAATCAAGATTCAGGGCTGAGGTCGGCCCAATCTTCGTTGTCCGAGCATGCATTATGATTGCCCTCTTGGGCCTGCGTACTGCTTCTGGAACCTGGCTTATCATCATGCTATCGGCCCAGTGCCAGGTCAAGGCTGGGGCGTGGGGCGGCGTCATTTTCGAGTGGCCACATTCCATTGACTCATTCGGTCGATGAAGCCAGGGGGCACATTACAATAATAAAATAAAGCCTTGCTCCATCGATGCGGTTACACAATCATCGTCGCTGGATTATTGCTTGTAAGTTGTAACATACTCACAGTACTGGGTAACAGTGTTCCTGCCACGGAGATTACTGTACGCAAGAAAGATGAAACACCTGAACCTGACTGCAGTAGTCGTCGTCAGAGGTTCTAAACTTGGCACGCTGCAAACCCGTCTTGCACTGAACAGGAATGGTTGGCCCCAGCAGCGCTGAGTGGACAGACAAATCACAACAAATACAAAATACAATCGGATGTGCCTGACCCACCCCTGAAGCCTGTTTGCCTGTTTGCCTGTTTGTTGAGGCTACCCTATTGAAGTTCTTTCCTCTTTCCTCTCCTGAAACCCAAGACTCCGGCTCACTTCCTCACCACCGACCGACCGCCCGCTCTCTCTCATCCCTCCGCCATACTCTACTTACTCCCCTTCCCATCATCCTCACTTCCAATAACCCACCCATTCCATTATTGACCGATTTTATCTTCCACCCTTCTCCAAACATGCAGCTCAAATCTCTCCTCATCGCCCTGGCCATCAGCCTTTCCGTCCAAGCCTACGAGATCAAGGGTTGGACCACGAAGGACTGCAAAGGCGACCCCGATAGCGATTCCACTTCCGACACAAGTGTCACAACCTGCGGCACTCTCGGTAGCTCCAAGTGGAAGTCGATCAAGGCCACCCCAGGTGACCTGGTATTGACTGCCTACAAGTCCGCCAAGTGTGCCGGTGAGGGATACGCCCTGCAGCCCGGAAAGTGCGTCAACGGCGAGTTCACAACCTACGAGGTGCGTCAAATCCTGTAAACTCTGCTCCATCCAATAGCATGGCCTAACCCGAGAATTTAATCACTTGCAGGCGCAGTACATCTCCACCATGCGGAAGCGTAACACCACCGAGATTATCGGCGATTGGGGAATCGAGGACGAGGAGAACACCTCCCTGTAAGAATTCGGGGCAAATGGATATGCAATTGAAGTCATCGGTCTCGCGCGCGCGTTAGTTTCAGCAAAATTCGACTTTGGGATACCACATTTATTAGTCTACGCGAGGTGCTTCGCATCACACCCCGGGGCCTGCTACGGTCGGCGCTATGCCAGGCAGCGATCCGCTTTTGCAGTAGTCGTTGTTTTGGTGCGGCACCTGCCGGGGATCTTTATTGTTTTCTTTTCTTCGTCGTCATCGGTTTCCAGCATTTAACTGTATAGTCGCATTATCGGACAGGAACAATAGAATCTCGGTTTTTTTATGCACCGATACTCGCTCAGAGAACCGGTCCCTGATGGGATCTGTCCAGTCGGCGATGAGCGGATGGGTCGTGCGTGGATCATGATGCGGAGGTCGCTGTCACATTGCTGCAGGGATGTAGATGCTCATGCATCAGTTCCTGCATCGGCTGCAAGCATCCTGGGAATGCAATTGAATGAGTTACACCAATCATGTCTCGATCAGAACCATGTCCCAGCCATAACTTAAATCAATCGCGCGGTTGTTCCAGAGCTACAGCATAATGGTTGGCATGCTGTGCCCTACCTACAAAAGCCAAAAGGCGTCCATCCGACGGCAGGGAGCGCCGAGCACCTGGATATACGACTCGTGCACAAAAAGTACCATCGCTAGACTTTCGTCGAAATAATTCGTGATCTCACCTACCCTACTACGAGTGCGGCGGAAGAAAGTATCCCTGATGTATTAAAGCGGACCGGGCTTCAAGTACTGTGTGTGAGATAGTCTTAATCAACGTGATCGATATTAGGCAAAACTAGGTAAAATGATTTTCGGGTGTGCAGAACAAATGCCATACGAATCCCACGAAACATGGTGACTGCTATAGATCCTGTTTCTTCCTTGAGATTGACTACAACGCTGTATAGACGGTTATGCTATATAATTGGGTTTCCCTGCCATCAGATCTCGTGCGCAAAAACTAACCTTGTACAATTCGCTCCAATGTTGACCCATCAACCAAGCACATTACAATTGATGTATTTTTCTTGTGGAACTAGGATCAAGAATAACCAAGAAAGACAGGTACACCCAAAACCATATGATTGCATTATGCAGCAACTCCTAACGTCCAATCAATCAAACTACTGATGGTCCCCCGTAATGAGCGATGTTGAGATCCGCTACTGACCTTACCCACTCACCATCAAAAGTCACTTACATGGGCAGCAGACATAGGTTGAATACCACCTCCAAATCACCATAAGCCTTTACTCCCTTGCCACCCTAGCACTTGGACTGATTCGGCCAGAAATCCCCGGACTCGGCGTAGATCGTATTCGCATCCGTGCACTCGACCGCCCGCACGCGATAGGGACTAACCACATCATTATGGATTAGAACAAGTACACACAGCACAGCATAGATAAGAAGCACCAGTCGATACAACATACCTCGCCATCCGCAGCCCCGGATAACACTTCCCAGGGATCGTCACGCAGCCCACGTCCCGCTGGACCGGCTGGCGGTTGAGCGGATCGATCATTTGCGGAGGGTACTCGACGAAGTTGGTGAGGTAGAGGCAGAATTGTTCGGGGTCGGTGCTTCAGAGTATATCTCAGCCAACCGCCTGCTTTGGGGGTCGTGAGGGCTTTGGTTATGACGGGGGCTACATACTCGACGGCATTGTAGCAGACTTGCCAGTCCTTGGAGACGTCGACTCGATCGCCGGCGGCGGGCTTGTAGATGGAGACTGCGCCTGCAGTGGCTAGGAGAGTGGCAATAGTAAGGGAGGTGAGCTGCATTTTGAGGTCTTTTGGGGATTCGGTCTGGGCTTGAATTTGAGTTTGAAGGGTACTACCAGTGATAGGAGAGGTAAGAGCTCTGAGGATCTGGTTGATGGGTTTTGAAGGTAGATTGGCGCTACTTATACCTTACCCTACTCTCCACTTCTTCTTTGGCTGATCCCATAACATCACGGATATCGATAAAAGCTTTGAGAATTGCACTCATTGTTCCACAAGAACAGTCATTCGCGATAGAGAATGATCCTGACAGTCCAAAAGAATGGATTGTTGCATTGCAGAGAATAGAAGGCCTGACGCCAGACCACTCATGATGACAAGGTTGCATGTTTACGTATCTGTTATCGCCCATCACGCGGAGACATCTTGCTATACGAAGCGATAGATATAATCACAGGCGAAGAATGTGTCTGGCTGACTGTGCTAGCTTCCAGCTTAGGCTATACTTTGCGATCAAGCAGGGATGAATCGGGCTTCCTTTGTTAAGTAATCCCCTCACGACGTAGACGGCTTGGTCTCCCCATGAGCAAAGTGAACCCCAGAAGCAAGTCTGAAGGATTCTGGTCTGAGTCACCGGCTTGGACCTGACTTGATACGACGCTATCTTGGAGGTTATCAACAGGGATGCACGGCTTTGCGTTGCGGATAATCATGAAGATGAGGGTGCTCATTCTCTAGAGCGCAGTAAAGATCTGGAGATGCCGCTCAAGGATGATATATTCATAACTATACCCACAAAGCACTCAGCGACACACTGTGAGTCTTTTCCTCGGCAGTAAAATCTGATAATCGGTATACCTACACCTTTATTTAAAGGTGCAGTGGACTAAAGTACCACCAGTGTGCACATTCTAATTCGAATCCCACCAGCTTATTCAAAAGCATACCAAAGAAACAATTCTCCGGTACAAATAGCATTTCCGATCGCCCGTGGAGTCGGTCCATCTGCGGTGTACGGTGCCACAAACAAGGACCAGCTAAGGGTGTCGAAAACCACCTGCACCCATGACAGACACAGGCAACACTGCTTCACGGCTGGTCTAATGATTTGCCTTTTCAAAGACAGCGGTGTGGATCTAGATGCACCATGTAACTGGGTTCTCACAAAACTTGACATAGATAACCACGAGGGGTTCGAATCCTGGCGCTCAGGGAATTAGGGCTTGGCTTTGTGAGGTTTCGTGGAGCCTCGTCGATAGCAGCGGCGACTTCGACTCCAGGCCATCTACATGACACACTACGCGGGTGATGCTTGTCAGCATTCTAAAATCATGTCAAAAAGCTCGGAGTGTCATGACGTAGTAGCATCGACGGTTGAGCAGCATGAAGTCCATGCACCGGATCCCTGCCTCGTATTCTCGTGCAACATCACCTTGCACGTGGAGATTTTGAAAACAGCCAGTCAGCATTGATGAGTTGCGAAAATTGCTCTCTAAGGAGAATTTGGACCAACGCGTATTCTGTACGACGTGCTTCCCGATTTTTATTTCTGGGCTGTTGCATTGCAGGTGTTTATGCAGGTCTCGATGATTGTGTCAGCATTAGGTTGTAACTAGTGGGTGAACCATCAGACAACAGATTCAACCTCACGTGCGCTGGGAAGATTGGTCTCTGGAGACAGGGAGCAAGAATTATCCTAGAGAGTGTTTGCAAACGCCGATACTGGAGCCTGGGGATTGGCTTAATCACATTCTGTGTAGATGGGCCTGTTTCGAGTAGCATAGCGATGACAGGTGACTATTCGAAAAGATAGGAAGCCTGAAATCCATGCCCTCTTTCTACTTCCTAGTACCGCTAAACTCCTTCCTTGAATGTTGCCTTCAGAAAGACGCCCTCGTTCTACTTGTGCTATTTCCAGCAACTCCCTCGGAGGCAGATGCCCTTGCAATGCAACCAAAATGATGTAGAATAATAACAGAGTCTTCAGTACCCCTTCCCCAGCCAACACCCTCAGCCTCTCCAGCTTCTCCGCAGCCACCCAAGCCGTAACCTGCCCGATATTCCCTGTCTATCCCACCCAACCACACAGGCAAGAACCAATTCGACATCTGCTTAACAAACGCCCCAGCCATACTGCTCAAAGTATACGCCTCCAGCGCCGGTCCAACCGATACATACACATGCCCAGGGCCAGGCTTCAACCACCGTCCCGCCGCATACCACAGACCCTGCGACCCAAACGCATCGACAATCACATCAAACGCCTCTAACCCATCCCCCTCCTCATTCCACGATCCATCCCATATTCAAGCACCCGATCATCCACCACCTGCGCACACCCAGCCCCCTCCGCAATTCCCCCGAAGCCCCGAACAAGCCCCACAGCCATCGCCCCAGCCCCAGAAGCCAGCATCTGCGCAACAAATTGCCACACCCCACCACACACTCCTTCAATCAACACCCTCGCGCCACCCTTCAAGCCCCCAAGCACCTCCTCCTCCTCCTCCTCCTCCTCCTCCACCACATCCAACAAAGCTAACGCCGTCACCACCGAAACCCCCAGCCCCGCCACAGCCGAGAAATCTGTTTCCAAAGTGGTGGGAAAGTGTCGGCCCATGCTGGGAGTAAGTGCATCACGCGGTTTGCGCCGGGATGAGGGCGATGTGGGAGGTTTCGATTAGGAGGGTAGGGGTTAGGGTTAGGGTCAGGGTCGTGCTGGGTCGGGCCTGGGTGGGGTGAAGGTGTCGGATTTCATGGTGGGAGGATTGGGTTCTGGGGGATTTGAATGGGGACTAGCAGGGGGCATTGTGGTTTTTGATATGATCTGGTCTTTTGTATTGGGGGTGCGTGGGTGAAGAGCGCGGTTGTGTGGGTTGTCTGTAGTTGAAGTCTCTGGAGCTGCTGTGGAAGGTATGATGCGCCGGGTAAGTTCTCTATCTGGGAGGGTTGGCTTTGTTCAGTCGTTTGTCTGGTTTGGAAGCGTTGTGGAAGCTATGATGGTTGCTCGTAACGCGGGGAAATATGGAGTTGGAAAGTATGTCTACATATAGTGTTGTCGCGTTGGATTGGTCACTGAGCCCATTAATATAGGGTATAAGGTAGTCTTGAAAGATCTGAGATTCATGTGGGACAATCGCACTGGTGCTGAAAAATTTGCTGTTCAACGTGACTGTCTTCAGTGGTTCATTAGGCGCCCAGAGTAAGATCACACAGCATGGCAGCACCACGGCTTTCTGGGACACTTCATCATTTCTAACGCAACAAGCCTATACTTTTGGCTTCTGGAAGATCAGCCCCCTTAGCTGAATACAGGAATGAGTCGCGCCTTGACCATCCGATCGAAAACAATCTTATAACCCTCGACCGTGTCAATTGACTCACGAAACCCTACCGCCCGGGCCCTATCCAGCGAATACTGGCGATCAAAATCAAAGTCCACGAGCATCAAGCGAACATGGTCCCAGTTCTGCGTCTCGATAAATCCCTTCTTCAGCCCCTTGCTCTCAACCAGGGACTTCCACGTGTCCACATGAGCCTCCACAAAATCCTGCATGGAAGCTCTCTCCTTACCATCAGGCTCGCACCCCACCAGACCAAAGTACACACACAACCCCGGCCAGACCTGTGCCCAGCGCACCACCTCTCCATCCGCAGAATTGAAGGTCGAGCCATTGCCGCACCGGTCGCGATTCAACGCGGCAAAGATCTCCATCTTGGACAGGATATCCTGAAAGGTATCGCTGTGGGAGGCGTGGTACCCGTGCTGCTTGCCCGGGAACGGGACGCGTGCACCCGCCCCATGAACCTGCCGGTAAAGGGTGAGGAAGAACGCGATGCCGTGGGCCATGTTCATGGCATTGAAGCCGGGGGCAAATCCCACGATGCCGTCGGGCCGGATCTCTGAGAAGGTCCATTTGCCGTGTCGCTGGGACAGCTCCGTCAGAAGATCGTACTGGCTGTAGTAGAAGATCTTGCTGTGCCATGGCTCGGGGATACGTGCGAGATCCTCGTGCAGGGGCGCCTGGAGGTTGACTTCTTTGGGGAACCCCAGTCCGTATCCCATGCCGCCCGTCTGTAGAATGACGACCTCTAGGTTGGGCGCGACAGCGTTGGTGGCTTCGATTGCCGTGCGGAGGATCTGGGTGTTAATCCTTTTCGACGATTCGGGGTCACTGGTTTGGACGTATGCTGTGCAGAGGGCATTGATGTCAATTGACGTGTCGATGGGACGAAAGGGCACGTTGAACCCAGACGGAGCCATTTGCCAACCTACCGCAGAAGAAGACAACATTCACCGTTTCCACCTCCTCAACCTTCGTTTTCAGCTGCTCTATAACGGTGTTCACGGTGGCTGTGAGATCAATCCCAGGAATAATTCTCAGCCGAGAGTCATCAGGAAGCAAAGACTCTTCTTTCGCGAGAGGACGATTACACAAGCCTGTAATGCGTCTGAAAGTCGTTGGAGAAGGGTATGAGACACACTGGTTGAGGAGCGACCAGCCCGAGATACCTGATGCCCCGAAGATGAGAGCATGTTTCCCATTGCTAGTCATGATGTTTAACGATGCGTCAAGTGCAGGACGGTGCGAGATCCCAGAAGAAGATAAGAGTCTGAACTGAGTAGAGGAAGTGATTTGCTTGTTCTGAGTAACCACTCTGACCTGTTGATTTATATCTTCGATGTGTATTTGTAATCTGTCTTGGCTGCCGGAATTCATTTACCGGATGAAACCCTGCATGGGTCTTGTTCGACGATGATTTTGCCCTAGAAAAGAAGCTGGCTTATATTAGCAACATGCATTGAAGTCTTTGAACTCAATTACAGCATAAAATCACCTTGAAGAGCCCCGCTGCCATTTTGTTCAGACATGAGGAACTTTGACATAACTTGGGAACGATCCATGATAGTATACCCACGCCCAGGAATAGAGAACCCGATCGGACGCGTCACATGATGATGGCTACTCGAATGTCCTCGGAATCCCCTCGCTGAGAAGGATATTGCACAAACCAGACTCCATGAAATCCAGAGAGTAAGACAAGCCATCATCGATGGAAGGAAGACCAGTTGAGTGTTGAAGGTCAATATCTGCTTGCTCTCCGGTTCGGCCTACCGCTCCTGCAGACCAGCTCTGATCATGTGTCGAGCGTAGGGGACTCTCATCTCGATCCATAGTCTGACGGTCAGTCGTTGTGAACGAGTACGGCAACTTCCTCTTGGTCCCTAAAGATACCTTCGTATTTCGCCGAATATACTGCCAGTCGCGCTGCAGAGTTGTGAGAAAGGTATTCGTGCGTCTCGCATTCTCGAAGTGACTGCCCATCTCATCCAACGCACGGAAGCAAGTGTTCAAATGCTCCATCAACTCTTGATCTTCGTCATTACCTTTCACAGGTACCGTGATGAAAATAAGGATTAGTGCAGCCGAGAAGACGAATGACACAACTAGGTAATTGGCCCGGCGGAAACTATAGTGTCGCTCATAGAGGGCGAGGAGTTTCGCTATCGATATCGCCGACTCGATGCACGTCATGCGTGCATGCCCTGAGCCTGGACCCTGAGGTGGCTGAGGCTGGATAACGTGAGAGATGTACGGACGGTGACAATGGATCATCAGTTGATAATATTGCATGCTTTTCTGAACATTAGTGTATGCCATAGTAGCGATCGATGGGCTTGCGGATCTCGTTTCAACTCACTTTAGAGCCAGCACATGCGGAAGAGGTTGAACTCCACTCTCGAATTTGTCAAAGTTCAGCTCTGCTGGCAAATCAGCCTTCCAAGACTTGAGCTTCTTGACTGTATCCGCTGCTAGCTCCTGCATTTCACGTATGGAGATAGAAGAGCAGCCATATCTACATCCTATGTTAGTAACCGGGTTCGATGCCAGCGCATCGCCTGAGATCTTACAAAACATCAGTAAGTGGCAATGGGAGATCATAGAGAGAGATCCACTCGTAGGATAGCTTCCCTAATGTGCATGGAATAGCGGCTATGTTGTTCGAGGCGGTCGGGGAGCCATATGGCTCCCACTTTTCGGCTCCTGTATCATTGCACCCATCCAGCTTCTTGACTGTTATCACCGGCAATGGGCTTCGAGTATGACGGCCGAGGTACCAGCCCCAGAACCTAGATACCTTGTTAGATAGGAATTATTGGGGCAAAGCCTTGGTCGTACTGTTCGCTCATATATGCTCCCCAGAAGGTCAGGCGGCGAATTTCGGCATCCTCCAAAGGGATGATGTCTCTGGCCACGTATGGAGCCATGTCCAGATGAAGCCCAAGATCAAAGGCCAGTCGCATAGCCATACCTTACAATATCAATTATTTGCTTGAGCTTCGTTATCCATCGGCAACGTCAAAGACTTACCACTGTACAGCCAGCCCCGCGTATCCCTCGTACACGAGGCTTCATACCCACCGAGGATGACCAAGGCTTGAACTGTGGTCAATGACGGATTCTCCAGTTCCAACTCAAGGAGTACTTTAGCACGGTCACCAAAGAATTCGGCGAGCGATCGAGGAAACGTTACAAGACTCGGGTGGTATCGGGGCTCATACGCAGCTCCGATTGCACACCTGCATTTTGTCAGTGAGCACAAAGCGTATGGGATATAGAGGGTAAACGCCTACATAGCATTTACCAGGGTGTCAGAGTAGTATGGTGTATCCAAGTCATCGTACAGATTCTGTGCTCTCGACCTCCAGAAAACTTGTTCGTCCACGACATGAAGACATGGATCTTGCCATGTGAAGTAGAGCTTCAGCAGATGCTGTTCGAATGTTTCATCGACTGGGACATCAAGCTCCGCACTCTTCAAGGATTCGTGAGCTCCTTTCTGGGCATTTGTTGAGCATGGCGGAGCGACACCGACCAGGATATTCAGGAGGTTGAGGTTGGAGGTGGACCCGTAGTACCGGAGCTGTCCGTCATGCATTACTTGAAGCCGTCCTAATCGGCAAGACAGCTGATTAGTGACCTCATCCTCTTCGTGCTCCTCGAGGTCATGGGGAGGCGGGGTAGGTTGAGGTTGAGGTCTAGTTTCGCTGGGGTCAGAGGAGCATGCCGAGGCAGCGGCCGCCCTTGGGATCGTCGTGTTCGGCAGTTCATCCCTTTGACTTCGTGGAGACGTACATGTTTTCTTGTCACCGTTCAGCACTGTTGAGCTTCTCCCCGAGACGCTTTGCGCTGGCTGTGCCACTGAAGATACAAGGTTCTGCGCGCCTAAAGTCTCTTGCGGATCTGCACCGGTGGATGGTGAGGAAGAAGCGGCAACCGCGTTATAATGATGAGGTGGTATTGCACCTGGAGAAAGCGGACCGTCTTCCCCATGTTTGGCGACATCAATGTGCCGCAGTGGGGTCGAGGTATCCTTCCCAGTTGCAAGACCATAACATTGCATTCCAAGCGCATCAAATATGCTTTCGATCATCAAAATGTCGCTCTCGTCCATGCATGGGATTTCCAGGCCCTGCCCTTCGATATAAAAAACAAGCTGATTGATTCTCTTTGCCAGAACACCGAAGCTCACTCGTACCGGGATTCTAAAGAAGGATAGCTCATGAGCAGTGACACCCTAGAATTGATGTGTAGAGCTTACTTGCGCCTGTCATCAACTTGGCGATAGGAGCATCTCTTGGCTTTTGCCTCGCAATTTCCGCAAGTGGGAGTGGCTCCGTCGCACTGGGATGTGTGTTGTGATCAGCAAACGCATTTCTCTCGAACCTCGCGTGTCGAGTACCTTCACCTTGCCCTCTCTGCAAGGGTTGCACGCCGTCGTCACATGCTTTCGAACAGGCTTTGGGGACTTGCTCTTCGGGGACATGATTGAGGATGCGCGAGACACCATGAATGAAGTTTGAATGCGATAATTGCGGGGTCATGGCAAAAAGTGGGATGAGATGAAGCATCGGGATATGAATTCCGTGATATAAAGCAGTCACTGACAATCACTGATAATTCGGGATTCCTGCTCCGTTAACATATTGATGCCTCAGGCATAGATAAACCACATCACACCTGCCAACTAATTCTCATGGTGCGATTGATGCGCCCACGTGGTAGAGGTTTAATTCATATACCACAAATATACAAGATTTTGTTCAATTATTGAAAGTAATAAAAGATTGAAATCAGTTTGCATTGTATGTAGGATCTGATGACAATAATAAATATTGCTTGCTGGTTAGCCTGAAGAAACCAGGATAACTGTAAGCGATACGAGGAGTCAGGGCGGTTTTGGATACGCATCTAATATGATTCTTAGTGGTTGAACTAGCTACGGTATCAACATGGAAACGCGGTGGGTGAATTGCTTTGGGTCATGTTGCCGGATTACTCAGAAACACCGACAATAGTCAACTTTTGCAACCAGCAACTGAGGGGTGAGAGAATAATGAAGTAGTTTAATATACCTCAACATGCAAGGAGGTTTATGACTAGGATACCAATAATAGTTTTAACTCAGCCTTTGTTCCTGTAGAGCAATAAAATTTTCATGGTCTAAACTCTGTCACGTAAGCGCTGTTAATGATGCTGAGACGGAATGCTAAATCAACATAACTTTATACAGCAATTCATAAAACTATACATCTGGTTTTCAAGGTATAGAAAAATATTCCTCCATATATGAAGCTATATGCAAATGAAATATCAAATTTTGATAGTGTTTCTTATCAAAAAGTACTCTCTAGGTATGAAGGTTGGGTAGACAAATCATATTTTATCAAGTAGATCTAGGTACAATAATCATGTGGTCCACTGTCATGTATAACTATATCTCTATATCTTATATAAGAATCAACGCCTTATCCAGTATTACAAAAACTTTTTAGATAACTGGTAAGTTGTGTCTTTTCGGAAGATGGGGCCGGATGTGATTAGCTAGCAGCCTAGCATAAAATGGCAACTAACTCAGAGTCACCAGATTTAAATCCATATATCGGAGCATCAAGTAACGCTAATGTAAAATATTTCGTTGCTGCCTCTGAGAAAAGGGGGTCCTTGGTAAGAATTGAGACTAAAAGCACCTGCTTCTTTGCTTAATGTATACTACTAACACCTAGGCCATATCTAGGTTAAGTATCGATAAGCCAGTAAGTTGAACTAATAGGTACCTATTGACTGAACTATTGATCTGATAGCTGATCTTTCCGGGCAGCCCTCAGTCATTCAACTTAAGACCGAAGTTGCCCAGTTCAACGAGGGGCTACAGTAAGCTTCCACACATCTCTCACCTATATCAACGGTTTTCACACCCTGATAACCTGCACATCAACCCATCTCACAGATGTATGTCTTGTGATAGTCGGAGAAGCCATAAAACTTTACTGTTGATATTTTTTCAAGAAACGGAGTTGTCCCCAACATGGATCCATCAGAGGGACCAATCATGGGGACCTGCTTACGCGGCCTTTCTAGTAGTGCCTCTTCCTTCTTGTACTAAGCTAGGGAGCTGTAACGCCTCATGAATATCGCATTTCAAAACATCGGTTAGCCACTAGCTTCTGTCCCACGTAGACTATGCCTTTGGATGTTGTATGTCACCGCACCAATCCGGTTATGAACAAAGTCTCAACTTGTTCCGAGAGAACTTGCGCTTATAGATTGTGGTTTTCTTGGTATCAGACAGCTAAGAACTTGTGGAATGGGCTCGCTTTTTGCAGTCGCATTATTAGTGCAAGTATGCTCTATACCGGAATTGCTAATCAGATCGCTTATCACAAGTAATTAGAAATTTGTGCCTCAATATTCATATTGTGCACTGTACTCGACGCGAGCCGACATAATGTGGGTACCGGGTCAGTCCAGGAAAATAATTTCCACTGTGGTGCTAATTGTAATAAACCTCAGGAAAGTATTTAGTGTCTGCTTAGTTACAATATAGACTAACTTATAGTATTCAAACTCATAGACACGAGCGTGCACTGAGTCAGAAGATTCAGTTTAGGGAGTTGCTAGCGCTAGCGAAGGAAGAAGACTCAAATCATGGCCTTAGGCGTGTGTCAATTCCATGGTGACTCTGGACTGCTAGTATAGTAATACTTGGCGCTCCCTAATCTTTGTAACCACTTTCGGTACGGCTATATTACAGCCAGTCTGTGATCACAGACAGTCTTCCTTGTCATTAACATCCGAATGTTAATTATTCCTGCCCTATGCTCTGGTACTGACATCCGTGGTCTGCGCGGAAAAGACTGATGTGGGCCGTTGTCCAGAAAATAGATCTCGGAGCGTGACCGATCTGCCCTTTTGGGGGTAGGTATACGACTTAAGATTACATAGTGGGGAAATACAAGGCCCAGGTAAGTACAGCTCTATCGAGTGTTGTAAGTGTAGCCTGCCCTAAGCGTTATTAGACTACTGGACACTGCGCTAAGAGAGGTTCGGGTATAAGCCGGACCTTAAGCTAGATCTATAGTTTGGGATGCCAACGTAACGCCAATAGTGGCACTTGGTAGCTAGCAAGAAGAGGAACCCGGAGTTTCCGATGTCAAATAGTTTAGAGGGCCGGTTTCTAGGTCGCGCCAACGTAGCTTATATATCAATATCTGAGCTACCCCGACTATGAACTTTTGTCATTCACATATGCTCATATTCTCTTGTTTGTGCAACAGCAGTCCTCGTGACTACTATCCATTCAAGGTTATTATGAGAAGTGAAAGCTGACGCTATTTCGCCACACATCTAAGAGGGTCAGCCTGTTGTTCCAATTACCGTTAGCAAACAAACATGGATTCAGCCGGCCACGCGTCTCTGTGTGTCCCGGGCTTATAGTTTTGGTACGGGTGTAAATACTCATGGTTCCTGAACCCACTGAATGAGGCCACAACAGCGCTAGATAATAACAGTCTTCTTTAGCGCTTTCCACCTGAGCATGAGCTCTAAGTCCGGCTCTTACACTCAAACATGAGTACCGGGGTCAACCAGATAGAAACAATTAAGCCCTGTTGAATACGTATAAATATGAGAAAGACTCTCGTCCCGAAACTTCCTCCAACCATCATACAAGGTTTCCGAGTCAATTGTATATTTCCTTCGGTCTTTCGCTTCAACCTACTTTTTCTCTATTGGCCTCTTTCTTTCATATTCCCCAGTCTTTCCTGTCCTCTATTACACCATGCAGCTTCTCACTTTCCTCACCGGCACCCTTGCCCTGGCAGCTACCGTCGTTTCAGGCTATGATTTGGATGGATATCATGGGAAAGAATGCGGTGGTGCCTTGATCTACAGTGTTGGCGATTACACTGAGACCGGGTGCTTCAATTTCGACGCGGAGGCGGGCCACCGCGTCTGGTCTGTCAAGGCCACGTACAGCACCAGCAACTACAAGATCTATACCTATCCTAAGGAGAACTGCAAGGGCGATTCCTCCAATGATGCCCTAACATCTGGTGAATGTAGAACTTACTGGGCCAGTTCGAATGATCAAGTGGCCCTTTATTCCTACAAGGTGGTCAAAGCTTAGGTAAGCCAATCTAACTTAACTTATCGCATGCAGGCATGCTGGTGAGGAAATACTGGATCTGATATACAGGGTCTCTCGAATAGGAGAAGAATGGGTGAGTCTAGGAAAGGATCTAGGATCTGAGAATCAAACAACTGGGGGCTACGTGGGCTGGAGAGCGGAGAAGGTTGCGCATGGGATAACAAGTATAATAAAAAACCCGCTTCTTTGGTTATGACGTGTTTCTCCATATTCATATGTTCTGCTCTTTCACATATGTTGCTACAACCATTGAACTTGTTGGCAGCCCTACGGCCTCTGTAGCTAGGCTGCTCACCACTGACCTCAGTAGTATTTGACTAGTTTCTCAGATAGCTTCATGTAGCTTCATCACACATCCACGTCCCTGACAGCAGCCTTCTCATTTACTGGAAGAACGTGTAATATGTAGTTCGTGTATAACACGTTTGGAACGTTGATACTAACAGGATAAGCTCAGCTCAAGTCTCCTCAAGGCTTCTATTGTGCAAGGCTTTCCTCTCGATGTCTCTCTCCATTGACGCTGTTATCGAACATCGCCGACGACTTTTCTCCGAAACGGCTTCCAAGGTTGAATTCATTTTCCTATCATTGGATAGGCCCTCGTCGAAGTGGAGAGTACCACCTGAGATATGGCGTGTTCGCACCCCAGGAGTGGACATGTATACATCTCATAGAGGGAGACTTGATTAGGCAGCGAGAAGCTGCCAGCGTTCTAGCTACTTCGCGCTCGGTTCGAGGACAGCGCTAGGATTACCACCCTTTTCTCTTACATCTCCTAAATGCCGAATTGATTTCGATTCAATTCAATTAAGTTCAACTTCTACCACTCAATTGAACGTGTCTATGTATTGCTAACTAGGTAGGCGCTTCGCCGGAGCCCAGAAGTCTGCCCGTAATACCCACAAGACCGGATAGAAAGGAATGGCTATTCTTGGCAGTTCCAAGTAACCCACCGTGGACTCTCAGCAGCCCTTCTTTGCTAATCGTATTGCTCAAGACTTGTTCTAAATATGTGCGAAATATGGTACAGAGTGAAACTGCAACTCTCGCTCTGCATCGTTAATCTTAAATAAAGCATATAACAATGCCTGTATATTAAAACTAATTGTCTCTCTCATTCCAGGCTAGCTGAAGAGCTACTCCTTGTTTTTTGAGCAGAACTCCTAACAATATATAGGGTTGTGATAAGTCATTATGATTGCGTCAATCTTATTTGTTATGATGATATTTGGGTAATTATTGTAATGTTTTCACTTTCTTCCAGAGGAATATGGATTGTACTATGTATAAATATTGTTTCCGATTTCATTTTCCGTTATGTGTCGAGAAAATCTTGCAACAGACCATATCTGAATGTTCCGGCCTAAACTGCTAGCTTCAGCCTTAAAGGTCGTGCAGAATGATCTGCAGCCCTGAGCAACAACCCTAGACGATCAACCCTAAGCTCAGGCCCTAATCTAATCAATCACCAGGGCGGCGGGCCAGTGAGCGCGAGACCGGATTGACTCATCGCCGCTTGCGGCGGGGCAACCTGCTTTGGCTCTCGCCAGCGGCTTAAATTCTGCATCGTGTCAGGAACAACCTCCACAACCTTATTCTTGAACTCCCCCCCCCCCCCCCCCCCGCGCCAATCCCCCTTTCCCTTCTTCAACCACCTCCCTTCCTCTCCCTCCCGATTCAACATCCAATATGAGCTACATCCTCACCCTTTCCTGCCCCGACCGCCCGGGCATCGTCCACGCGGTGACGGGGTACCTGGTGCAGAACAACCTGAACATCATCGACTCGTCGCAGTTCGGCGACCCGACCTCGGAGCGGTTCTTCATGCGCGTGCACTTCAAGCCGGAGAGCACGCCGGCGCCCACGCTGGAGCAGCTGCGGGAGGCGTTCGCGCCGACGGCCGAGAAGCTGGCCATGACCTTCGAGCTGGTCTCGGCGACGGCCAAGCCGCGGGTGCTGATCATGGTGTCGAAGATCGGCCACTGCCTGAACGACCTGCTGTTCCGGGCGTCGACGGGCCAGCTTGCCATCGACATCCCACTGATCGTCTCTAACCACCCGGACTTCGCCGCCCTGGCCGCCACCTACAACATCCCCTTCATCCACCTGCCCGTCACCGCGGCCACCAAGGCCGAGCAGGAAGGCCGCATCCTCGAGCTCATCGCCGAGCACAACATCGACCTGGTCGTCCTCGCCCGCTACATGCAGGTGCTCTCGCCTAAGCTCTGCGACGCCATGTCCGGCAAGATCATCAACATCCACCACAGCTTCCTGCCCAGCTTCAAGGGCGCCAAGCCCTACCACCAGGCCTACGACCGCGGCGTCAAGATCGTCGGTGCCACCGCCCACTTCGTCACCAGCGACCTCGACGAGGGCCCCATCATCGAGCAGAACGTCGTCCGCGTCAACCACGCCCTCAGCCCCAAGGAGCTGACCCACGCCGGCTCCAACGTCGAGAGCAACGTCCTTGCCACCGCGGTGAAGTACTTTGCCGAGCACCGCGTGCTGCTCAACGGCCACAAGACCGTGGTGTTCAACTAGACACCCCGAAACAAAAGTTATACCACATCGACTTCTATATATACAAAAGATTCATGTACACCTAATGTGGCTTTAATTTTCAACCTCCCCCCCAACCCAGGGGGAGGGCCCCAAAACAGAATGGAATCTAATGTACATACCGGCCCAGAAATGCATTCACGTAATCATACACCCGATCATGAACTCCCTCTTCTTGGTAGACTACACTACAACCACTCCACCCCATCCTCGCGCTCGGCCCTCTCCTTCTCCCTCTGCCGCCCAACACGGGCCAGATTCTTCTCCCAGAGCCCTTCCAAATCCACCTCGGCGCGCTTCTCCTCCGTAAAGATCTGCACGACCACGCGCGTTCCCCACCCGGCATTCCCGAAGCCCTCGAACCCAGCCTCCTCCGCGGCCGTCACCTCGGCCTGGGGCGCCTCCTCGACGATCCCGGCATTCACGCAGATCCACCCGGTCGTGATGCCGTCGTCCTTGTCGTCCACCAGCGTGCCGGACTTGCTCGCCAGGCGCGCGCGCTTCGCCTTGCGCCGCAGCTTGATCTTCAGCTCGTTGCGGCCCAGCAGCCCGTCCGCGAACGGCGTCAGCTTGTAGGTGGCGCGCAGCCAGCGGCACAGCCGGTCCGCCGAGACGTTCAGGTGCTTGACGCTGCGCGCGGTGCCCACGATCATGATCACGTTGGCGCCCAGCGCGGGCGGCGTGTCCAGTCCCCGCAGGTCGAGGAGCTTCAGCCCGTCCAATCCCAGGTCTTTGAAGGTGTACTCCAGCAGCGCCGCGAGGAGGGCCGGTGGGTTTTCCGGGAGGGCGGGGATCTGTTCGCCGGAGGTGATTGGGCGCGTGGCGGGCTGGTCGGGCTCGTCTTGGAGGTACCAGGGGATGTGGGAGGTGGGTTCCGGGGTGGTTGTGGTGGTTGTGGTGGCGAGTTCGGGGTCTTGCGATGGGAGTGCAGCAGTCTCGGACGGTGGCGTTGAGGTTGTCGTGGGTGGGTGTTCGGATTGACGGGAGGGGATGGAGGTGAGAGGTCTGGTGGAGGCGTAGAGGGCTGGAAAGCGCGGTGCTGAGGCTGCTGTTGCGCTGATCGAGGGGTGTGAGGCGCTGAAGATTGCTGGTCGCAACCAGGGCGTTCGGAGAAGGGCTCTGTTCAGCATGGTCGGGTTCGACGACCGAGATTTTGATGTTCTTGTGGTTTTTCTTGGATATATGTGGTTTGAAAAAATGCAGATGACACAATGAGGTTGCCAGCCGACGAAAAAGAGTCAATTGAAGCGTCGATGATCTTTGAGTAACGACGGCGACCAACTTTGGAATATTTCCGCCGCAGAAACGAAGCAGCATCGTCGAAATGACGAAGCGCACGTGACAGCCAGCAAACATTTCAAAATTTGCGCCTGACCGCCTGGCCTGGCCGCGCCCTGCAAACGCGGCAAACAACCCGCGGAGACGCTTGGACCACCGCTGGGTTTCCGCCGAAAAAAAACTGGCCCCCGACCGTTGATCGCAAGCCTCTCCATTCAACCAAGGTCAATCCAAAATGCCGCGTGAGAATCAGAAGAGAGGTCGTCGGGCCGCCGACAAGGCCAACAAGGATGCCTCCAAGCGCAAACGCGACGAGGTCCCGGAAGAGACCCTGCCCAAGCGCTTGAAGCCTTCGACCGACGATGAGCCCGCCAACAACGATTTCACCGAGGGCGCCGACTACATCGCACTGGATGCGGAGCCATCCTACGACCAACAAGCCGAGCAGGAGGGCTTCGAACAGGAGAATGGCGATGCCGGTGAGATGGTGTTCTTCGGTCTCCTGGACCCCGAGGAACAGGAATACTTTTCCCGCGCCAGCGAGGTGCTGGAACTGAACCAGTTCGGTGACGACGAGGAGCGGCGGGTGTTCATCGAGAGTGTGTACACGGAGGCTCGGGGCAAGGAATTGAAGATCGCGTGCAGCCAATCGTGCTCGCGGCTGATGGAGAAGCTCATCTCACTGTCCGACATGCGCCAGATCCGACGCCTGTTCAACAAGTTCATCGGACATTTCCTGCACCTCGTCCAGCACCGGTTCGCCAGTCACTGCTGCGAGACCCTGTTCATCAACGCCGCGCCCGGCCTCACGCAGAAGCCATCGAAGCCTAAGGCCGAGAAGATGGAAGTGGACGGAGAAGAGGACGAGGAGCCGGAACCCGAGCTGTCGCTGGCCGAGATGTTCATGACGGTGGTGGAGGAGCTGCAAGGAAACTGGGGATACCTGCTGACCGAGAGGTTTGCGTCGCACACGATCAGAGTCCTCCTGCTGGTGTTGGCGGGAGAACCGGTGGATCTGTCATTGAGCGACTCCGTTGTCGCTAGTCGGAAGAAGGAGAGATTGGGTCTCGCTAACACCGACACGCCGAAGGAGAACCCCGTGGGCCAGAAGAGAGGCGTCCCCGAGACGTTCGAGGCCACTTTGAAGAAGGTCATGAAGGATATGGTGTCTGGGTTGGATGACACGTATCTACGCGCACTGGCTACTCACCCCGTTGGAAATCCGGTGCTTCAGGTGTTGGTGTATTTGGAGCTGTCGCATTTCGGCAAGTCGAGCGCCAAGGACCCCAAGTCGATCACGAGACGATTGATCCCTGACGAAGAGTTTACGGAAGGCTCTGAGAGCACCATCTTCGTCCGTGGGTTGCTGTACGACCCAGTTGGCTCGCGACTACTGGAGACCATCGTCAAGTGCCTGCCCGGAAAGTTGTTCAAGGCGCTGTACAAGAACCTCATGCGCGAACAGATGGGCTCCCTTGCACGCAACATCACCGCTGGATATGTCGTCCTGCGAATCCTCGAGCGTCTTGGTAAGGACGATCTCAAAGAGGCGGTCGACTTAATTGTTCCCCAGATCTCTGGTCTCATTGAGCGGTCCCGATTGATCGTTCCCAAGGCCTTGATTGAGCGTTGTCTGATCCGTGGGGTCGATACCGCCCCTATTGCCCGTGCTCTGGAAGCTGCTTACGACCGTGACCCCGCTCGCCGCTTGGATAAAATGCTGTGGCTGGAGGGCTTCTCTCAGGATGATGTGGAACAACCGAGATATGGTGAGGAGGGAACCAGCGCCCCCAACAACCAGAAGGCTCTCGCGGCGGCTAGATTGCACAGCTCCCTGTTCGCGCAGACGATGTTGACTGCTCCCGGAGCGTTGAGCGGGTTGGTGTACTCTGGCTTGCTGGCACAGTCGACGGAGTCTCTGATCAAGATCGCCACGGACCCCACTGCCTCGCATGTCCTGCAGCAAGCGCTCACGCTGCCCACCTCGACCACTCAATTCCGTCGCCAGCTGGTCACCCGCTTCACCGGACAGCTCAAGGATCTGGCCCTGGACAGCAGTGGATCCCGCGTGGTGGACGCCCTGTGGCAGGCGACGAAGGATGTCTTCTTCGTCAAGGAGCGGATGGCGCAGGAGCTTGCGCAAAACGAGATGGCCCTGCGCGACTCGTTTGTGGGTCGGGCCGTGTGGAGGAACTGGTCGATGGATCTGTACAAGAGACGACGAGGCGAGTGGGCTGCCAAGGCCAAGGGGTTGGATGCTGTCAACAGCACGGGCGAGCGTCCCAAGTCACGGATCGAACTGGCCCGAGCCAAGTTCGCTGCTAAGGCTGAGGAGAATGCTCAAAAGGCCTCTGCCACCAGCTCGTGATGTTTGGGAGGGTGTGATGGAATAATGAACAATGCGGCTTTCCAACCTGTAAATAGTCTCTGCGGAGAGAGCATGTATATTATTAGCGGATAGAAAAAGTTCTGATGTCTTGCCACAAACCGACCAACACAGTAACTCGTATATCATTCATTGGCATCAGCGTGTATAGTCTACAATACATTACGAAGTATAATCTCACTGGGATATAGGGGCGGTCAGGTCTACTTCGCCTCCCTCAAAATCGACCGGTTCAAATGCTCCTTCCGCACCGACGGCACCCCCGACAAATGCAGCGTCAGATCCAAATCCCCCAAGAGACACTTCAAGACATGGCTCACCCCGGCCTGGCCCCCCATCGCCAACCCATAAACATACGGTCTCCCGATAAGCACCATCTTGGCCCCGAGCGCCAGCGCCTTGACGATATCCGCGCCACAGCGCACCCCGGAATCAAAGAGCACCTCGATCTTGTCGCCGACCGCATCGACGATCTCCGGCAGGACCTCCAACGAGGCAACGCCGCCGTCCTGCTGCCGTCCGCCATGGTTCGAAACAACAATGCCATCCATGCCATGCTGGACGGCCAACTCCGCGTCTCTGACGGTCTGGATCCCCTTCAACACAATCGGGCCCTTCCAGTGCTCCTTCAGGAACCGCAAATCCTCCCACCCGTGACTTTTACCGGGGAAGACCGTATGCGCCCACTCCTGCGCCGCGGCGCCCAGATCCTCCTCTACCTCCTTGCCATGCTTCTCCTTGAACTTCTGCCGGTACACGGGATCCGTAAACCCCAGCTCGACCCCGATACTATCCGCGCGGAGGAAGGGGTTATACGCATTTCCCAGATCACTCGGCCGCCAGCCGAGGATATACGTATCGAGGGTGACCACGAGCACCGTATACCCGGCGTCCTGTGCGCGATGCAGCAGACTAGCGGTGATATTATTGTTCTCGTTCAGCGGCCAGTACAGCTGGAACCAGCGCTTCCCGTGCGCCCCGTTGGCCTTCGCGGCGTCCTCAATGCTGGTGGAGGCCGCCGTCGAGAGGATGTAGGGCACGTTGTCTTCGGCGGCGGCGCGCGCCACGGCGGCCTCGCCGTCGCGGTGGAAGATCTTCTGCACGCCGACCGGGGCGACGGCGATCGGGTAGGGGTATTCCTCGCCGAAGAGGTTCACCTTCAGGTCGGGGTAGTCGGACGGCACCAGGCGCGAGGGCAGCAGGTTCCATCTCCGGAAGGCGGCGCGGTTGTTCTCGTCTGTCTGGCCGGTGCCCGCAGAGCCGTGGACGTAGCCGAAGCTGTCCGCTGACAGGCGGGATTTTGCGGTGGGTTCCCAGTCGTGCGGGTGCGGCGGAAAGCGCGGGCGCTCGTCGCCCAGGCCGGCGCTGTAGATGGCGTTCTCGTAGGTGTAGGGGGTTGGATTGGGGGTCATTTTGTTCTTGGGGGTGGTATCTTCTCGGATGGAGTATATAGGGAGGGTACGCTGGCTAAGGGGGTTACGGTGCTTGTACGGGTTTATATGGTTGGGTTTACTGGCGAGTAAGACAGTTGAGGTCATGGTCACAACAAGGTCAAAGGTAATCGGCCGAGATTTAAGATTGCTTGACTGTCTCTTGACTACGCCGCAGACGGTGACGTTGTGTCGTCGACAATGGCGAAGGATGGGTGATGTCACCGGCCAATAAAGGTGAATTGTTAGGGCACGAGTGGGGATCACAAGGCCAGGCACATGCGATGCCGATCAACGCAATAGTGCTTATCCAGGTATCGCTCACAACAGGGCATGAGACTCCAAGTACATTACCCTTACAGCCTTACACCGTCATCCGGGCTACTCGGTCAAACAAGCCTTTCGTATCCTCGGCATGTCGATCTACCCGTCCCAATTGAGGTTGCACTGTTGCACATCATCATGGACGTCCTTCACTAACACAGCCAAGCTTTCTGCCACGGCCTCGGCCGATACAATCTCTTATCCCACGTGACTCGACGTGACACCTGAAGGCTAAGGCATCACGAAAAATAATCCCGTCGCCAACCGCGGAGATCAACCATCAACCCCTCCAACGACATTCATTCTTTCTCCATTCCTCATCTCCATTCCCACACCCAGACAGAAAAGGGGACCCAAAATGGACCCCTCCTTCCCCTCCACCCTCGCAGACCTGCACTTCCCCTCCGCCGAACAGCAATCCATCAGCCAGACGCTGACCGCGCTGCGCCGCTCCGCCCTCACCGTGACCAACCGGCTGACCAGCATCGCGACGGACGCGCAGTTCGTGGCCGAGGTGCGCGACCACTACGGGCTGCCCCTGATCGCCAACGAGCGGTGCGGCAGTTGGTACATCGCGCCGCGCGACAAGACGGGCAGCGTGTACTTCAAGAGCACGGACGGGCACACCGGGGTGTGGGATTTCAGCTCGCGTAGACTCAATCTGCAGGTGTTGGGCGTGGCTGGGCATTATGGGGGGTTAGTTACCTTGTCTCCCCTTCGCTTAGACGGTGGACATTAGATTGGGATGTACAGGATGCTAAGAACTGCGGAGGGGGGGTATAGATGCATAATTGTAGATTCCACTCGACGGGGTAAATGTGAGTTTCCCTACCCACAGTCCCTTTCTTGTATAAATCGACACTAGCATGATCACGACACACTCCCGGGATTCAAGTAATGATGTGAATAACCAGTAATGCCCGACGCCCTTTCCAAAACGATCCCCATCTGGACGGCCGTGCTGAACCGCGCCCTCTTCCCCGACGCCACAGCCTACCACCCCGTGCAATTCCCCCCGAATTTCCTGCCCGCCTCGGAAGAATCCCAGATCGAGCGGCGGATCGACGGGTTTGTCAAGGATTTGACGGTTCGTCTTCGTCCTTCCCTACCTTTAACACCTTCCGACCTTCAGCGACAGCAGTACTAACGACAAGCAAAAGGACCTCAACCTCTCCCTCCCCAGCCTCCGCACCCAACTCTCCCGCCCCATCCGCCTCGCCTGGGCCAACAGAGCCTACTTCCACCCGACCACGCTCACCACATCCCCGGACGGGGAGTTCAACCTCTTCGTGCTGTGCTCGGCCTCGAAGCGCGTGCACGGCGCCGAGGTGTCCGCGGGCGGATACATCCAGGGCGCCGGGGACGACAGCGAGAGCTGGGCGCTGGGGCTCACGCCCCCGCTTTTCTGGGCGCATAAGGAGGAGCTCCTGCGGCGGAATGAGGAGGATATCCCGGCTTTGATTGCGGAGTTGCTCGCGCGAGAGAAACAAGGGGGAGCTGCGGGTGAGGGGGAGAGACCAGAGGGGGGAGCGGAAGGCAGCAAGGCGGTGCGGATTGTTCCCTCCAGGAACTTGTATCTTGGGCGAGCGGGGGATTTTGCAAACCCAAAAGCTGGGGTTGGGTTTGATCTGGTGGTGGATTGCAACGCCAAACCCGCCGAGTCTGCTACAGCGGACGAAGAGACGCAGGCCACGCAGACCATGAGGCTGGATCTCGGTTGTGGCCCCGCGAAACTGGGCAGTCGGGATCTGCGCAAGAACCTCGACCGCGTGCGGGAGTTTGTCAGGGAGACTCTGTCCCGGAACCCCGAGGCCTCGGTGCTGGTGGTCTGTGAGTCCGGCCGGGATCTGTCGGTTGGCGCGCTGTTGGCGATTCTGTGTTTGTTTTATGACGAGGAGGGTGAGTTTTCCTTCATGCTCCTTAATGCAGGGTGGGCTTGGCTGACGAGGTGGATTTCCAGGAAACTTCACCCCCACCGAGAGGAAGAGTATTGGAAAGCAGTTCATTCGGCAGCGGCTGGCGTGGATCACCCTGTGCCAGCCGGATGCGAACCCCTCGCGCTCGACCCTGCAGTCGGTTAATGCGTTCTTGATGGAGAGACCGGATTATTGAGTTTCTCAGGAACGGGAAAGGTCGGATGGAGTATCTGCATGTGCATGTGGGATAATGGGTCAGAACTTGTGCCGGACTTCATTGGTAGAGATATTGACCAAGCTCAGGAGTGGGCGGTATAGGAACGATGTCGTGGATTCGTGGTGGTTGATGGTTGATGTAGCGAGCTGGCTTCAACGTATGGCCATTCTTAGTGCATCGCTGGATGGATGGTTAATGGTCCGTATAGGTGACTGACTTCTCATTGTGTGAGCTTGGTTGATATTATCAGCTGCGGTGTTACTCTTCACAGCGTCTCAGCCAAGATTCGAACAGAGGCATAGAAACTATACATACGGCCCACACGTGGGCCGTACATGCCTACCCAATATAACCAAGAATACAGTTGCAAAATAAATAAATCTGTTGCAGAAAACCCCTCCCAGCCATGCAAAACCGAACTCCAGCCCATAAATGCCAAGTCGCTATCTATATTACAGCCCATAAAAAATGTACATTGAATATCCTTTCCCTCAAATTAAGGAGCCTGCGTCAGGACATCCTCAGGCGTCTCCTCCAGCCCCTCCGCCGCCACAGGCGTGCGACCCACCGTCCCGGACCGATGCACATACATCAGAACCCTCAGCACCCCCGCAGGAGTCACGCCCTCCAGTCGCCGCGCCATCCCCACGCTCACCGGGCGGATGCGAGTCAGGACCTCGACCTCGCCCGCGCTGAGACCATGGACCGCCTTGTAGTTCATGTCCGGCGGGAGAAGCAGATTCTCGTCCTGCAGGGCCTTGCGGGCCGCAGCCTCCTGGCGCGCGACGTGGGGCGCGTACCGACCCTCGATGGCGACACGGGACCGGATCTCCGGTGCGAACGAGTTCGCATTGTAGACGGTGCCCGTCGGGGACTCGATGTGGGGGATCAGCGAGTCAATACCCGTCTCCTGAAGGCACAGAAGATCCATGGCGGAGCGGACAGACCCGTCGATGCGGGACGGGAAGCCGAGTCGGGCCCAGGCGGAGGACGACAGCCGGGTGTTGGTGAGCAGGGTCTGCAGCTCCTGGATCTGCGCCTCCGTCTCGGTGAACTGGCGCCAGCGGGTGTCGGAGACCACGCCGGCCTCGCGGGCCATGCGCGTGAGGCGCAGATCGGCGTTGTCCGCGCGCGTCGAGATGCGGTACTCGCTGCGCGTCGTGAACATGCGGTAGGGCTCGGAGACGCCCTTGGTGATCAGGTCGTCGATCATGATGCCGATGAACCCGTCGGAGCGGCGCAGGGTGAGCGGCTTGCGGCCCTGCGCGGACAGGCCGGCGTTCGTGCCAGCAATGATACCCTGACCGGCAGCTTCCTCGTATCCCGTCGTCCCGTTGATCTGGCCGGCCAGATACAGCCCGCTAATGAGTTTGGTTTCCAGCGTCGGCCACAGGTTGCGCGGGTCGATGTAGTCGTATTCCACTCCGTAGCCAGGTTGCAGCATGATCACGTTCTCCAGTCCATGAATCTTGCGGAGCATGGCATACTGCGCGTCGGCGGGGATAGTCATCGAGATACCGTTGGGGTAGATGACATCGTTGGGCGCAAATCCTTCAGGCTCGAGCCAGATCATGTGCCTGTCCTTGTGTCCGAAGCGGATGATCTTAGACTCCAACGAGGGACAGTACCGCGGACCCTTGACCGTCTCGCGAATGTGTATAGTCTTGTCGAGGTTGGCCCGCACGATATCATGCACGGCTTCATTAGTGTACGTCATCCAGCAGTTGAGTTGGCCCTCATCGCCAACCTGCACAGCATCATTCAGATAGGAGAAAGGCTGGGGCGGATGGTCGCCCTCCTGGACCTCCAACGGCGCAAAGTCGATCGTCTTCCGATCCAACCGCGGCGGCGTCCCCGTCTTCAAGCGACCGAGCTGAAACCCAGCCTCACGGAGGGACTTGCTCAGCCCAAACGTCGCCGCCTCGCCCATCCGCCCCGAAGGATACGCTTCAAGCCCAATATGAATCTCCCCGCCCAAGAACGTGCCCGTCGTGATCACCACGCGACTCGTGGAGATCACCTCGCCGGACTCCAGCCGCACCCCGACAATCTTGCCCTGCGCCCCCGGCAGATCCTCCACGCCCTCCTTCGACACCACAATATCGCCCACCTTGCCCTCCACAATACTCAGCCCCTCGGTGGAACTCAGCTCCTCCAGCATATACTTCTTGTAGAGATCGCGATCGATCTGCGCGCGCGGGCCCCAAACGGCGGGACCCTTGGAGCGGTTCAGCGTCCGGAACATCACTCCGGCCTTGTCGATGGTGCGGCCGGCCACGCCGTCCATCGCGTCCACCTCGCGGATCATCGTCCCCTTGCCAATACCGCCGAAACTCGGATTGCACGAGCACACGCCGATGTTCGAGCGCGAGGGGGTGATCAACGCCGTTCGTGCGCCGGAGCGCGCCGCCGCCGCGCAGGCTTCCGCTCCGGCATGTCCGCCGCCGATGACCACGACATCATATCCTCTACACCCAGACAGAGAAGAAATTAGCATTCGAACGGAGGTGCGTGGGAACCCAGATCACCGAAGATCATCCATACCGCGCGGCATCCGTCACAGTCGCCAATCCACGAACACTCCCCACCCACCGGGATCGGGACCCCAGGCCCCATCTCCGGAGTGTTCCAGAGTTTGCCCGAAAAGCCATAGTGATGGCGTCAGTCAGATTTGGGGCAGATTGGATAAGATGGTGATGTGGTGCTGCACAGCCTTCAAGTTTGCCCCGGGGGAGAAAAAAGCGCCGCCATTGATTATTTTGTGTCACGTGCATGTGGCTTATTGCCGCTTATCGCCGGGGGCGGTGAGCACGCTTGGAACTCGTCCATGCCGGGGATTACCGGCAATCGGCCACCACTGCATGAACAGTGCAGTACGAAGTACTGTAGGGATCGACGTAGGCTGAAAGATGTTCAATTTGTCGTGGATAATAAGATTAGACACTGTTTCGTGTTCGGAGCCATATAAATGACACGCTTAAGGCTAACTATCGTACAAAGCTTCCTCAGGAGAGTCGCTTCGCCTGCCTTCCGGAGTAGAGTAGCCGTCGTGCCGTGGCGAGAACAGGCGTTCTTCTGTTTCGGGCAGTAGAGTGGGTGGGTGACTCCGACTCCGCTGGCTCGGACGAACCGCTCAATCTCATACGTGACAGCCAAGGGCACTCACGAAAAGGAGAACATTTGTAGAAAACGCGCAGTTGAAGGCACCTGTTCGCCATTCGAACAGCCATTCGCTGGAGATACACGCGAATAGATTAGATCTCCTGATCCAGTATCAGATCTCAAGGGCATGGCGATGAGGGATATATCCCCCTCGATAACAGCGGTTCCCCGGCGTGGCGTGCATAGTAATGGGTGCTCGCCATTGGTGAATCTGCGATGCGATCAGACCACACTACCTGCCGTAGATACGGGTCTCGGTTAGCTGTAGAGGGATGATTGTTCTACGACACTACAACCCCTATGACCCCTACAACTACGCAAAATCCTCCCCTGCAACGACATCCCGTCGACACCCCGTTGCCTGACATCGCTCCAGACCAAGGTTTGTGCCAGTGTCACAGTGGTTGCAAGTGGTCGCAAGTGATCGCGAGCGAGCCAGAGAGCATCTGACAGCGGACATTGCCGGTGGCCCGGTGAGCCACGTGACCGGGTTTGAGTGGTTTGCAGGCCGGATACCCGAAAAGGGGACGAGACTGAGTTGGCCGCGCCTCAAGGAAATTGCGACCACGCCCTCGTCAGCTTTTTCCCTCAAGATCCTCATATACTCCCTCGTTTTGCGATCCCAGTCCTTGTCGGTCTTCTCAACTTCTCAACGATTACCCCGTGAATCATCAGCAACCATGGCTTCCACCTCAGGTGAGTGCAAACCCCCCGTAGCACAGAGATGCCAAGAACGAGGTTCATCCTCAACGTGCCCTGCGAAATCGGCGACCGCCCGCCAATTTTGCCTTTTCACCTCCAACCTCCTTCTCCCCTCCCCTGCTGAACTCTGCACTCGTTGCTTCATTCTGTATCCACGCTGCAGTCTTCATCCCCAAATTTGTTGAAACATCCTGTTTTCGAGGGTTGAACATTGGCGAAATCATTTTTTCCTTGTTCTCACTTGGTCGTTCCTGGTTACCGTCGGGGCATCGAGTGTGACTCAGGCCTCATTCCCCACCCATCCCAACAATGTCCTCTTCAATGCACTGTCTCTCTTCCACCTTCACAAACACCACCCGGCTCGCTCCTCGATCGCTACCATTGCCTTCCACATTAGACATGCCACAGCGTCTGGGAGCCAGCATGTTTCGTTCCTCCTTTCTCCGCGTTACACACCCCCGCCCGGCGGCGACGACCCAACCGGCCCGCTGCTTCTCAACGACACGGCGACAAGCCTGTGCTAACATGCCATCCTCCCCTTCAGATCGCTTCATGTCGGCTCTGCACCAGAACAAGGACTGGGCAGCCAAGATCGCTAAGGAGGACCCTCAACTCTTCCCCACGCTCGCCGTAGGCCAGCAGCCCGAGATCCTGTGGATCGGGTGCTCCGACTCGCGGTGCCCTGAGACCACCCTGCTTGGCCTCAAACCTGGCGATGTCTTCGTCCACCGTAACATCGCCAACGTGCTGCACGCGAGCGACCTCAGCTCGTCGGCCGTGATCGAGTACGCCGTGAAGCACTTGCGCGTCAAGCACGTGGTCGTGTGTGGCCACACCAGCTGCGGTGGTGTCGCTGCTGCTCTTGGCAACAAGCAGCTGGGCATCTTGGACCCGTGGCTCATGCCCCTGCGCCAGCTCCGCGAGCAGCACCTTAGCCTGCTGAACTCGCTTCCCACCGACGAGGCCAACCTGAAGCTCGTCGAGTTGAATGTCCAGGAAGGTGTCAAGACGCTCAAGCAAAAGAGTGTCGTGCTGGATGCCATCCAGGAGCGGGGCCTGCGCGTCCACGGCCTGATCTATGATGTCGGAAGCGGTGTGCTCCGGGAATTGGACACCGATGAGCCCGAGGAGGCCATCAAGGCGCGTCTCACTTCGTTCAAGACCGACATTTAGACTCGATTGCGAGTTCACATTTGGGAGGCTCGGTGTTGGTTCTTGCGCTCTGGGTTCAGAGATGGTGTCGAGGGTCCTGTCGTGTTCATTTCAGCGATAAGTGGGGTTTGCATATTTGTTGTATTTAAGTGCTCTGTTGCTTGCTGCTCTCTCGAGAGTGAGTGAGCCAGATGGAATCTGTATATCTTGGGTTAATAATTCATCCAACGTTTCAACACCTGGTACTGGTGACTCACTCATCGTAGCACTTGCATCATCCGGGAGATCTCACTCTCTGCGGAAGATATGTGGCGAAAATCTGCAGCGTGCAGCCAGCCATGATTCGCAAGGCAAGACCTCAACATGGAGGATGTGAGATTGAAGGACAGAATCCGGGTACCGCGTGGGTAAGAGGGGAGAAGTTGAGGAGAAGAGGAGGAATGAAAATCCTGCTGGCATTGAATAGGTAATCAGGATCGGGCACCAGTGACTGGGATACACTACTGTTCCACGACGGTCGGAAGATGGTCTCCGCACCCTTAATCATCGTTGCCCACGTCCCAATCAGGCAGGCCCAGGCTACGGTGTGGAACTCGGTGCTGGCCGGAAGGGGCTTAGCCCCGGCCGAAGCGGCTGTTCTTCGGTAAGTCCACGATTCATGCTGAGGTCGGCTGGATTGGAGGATGGAAGGTGATGACGAAGCAATGATGAGTAGTTCGTTAAGTAGTTACTTCCTTCGATTTTGTTTCGAGTTCAATGCTATACTATTACTTATGTACTAATGTAACTTCATATCGAAATTACTTTGACATGTATGCAGTAGGACCATTCCATTGAGGCAACGCGATTCAAATCTCCCAGAAGGCAAGAGTGTGTGGATGATTCATATACTAATTGGCATATCAAGCAAGCCAAGATCAGCAAGTGCACTGAACAACTACGAATGCCAGTTGGGAGAGATTCCTGGTTTACCCGCAGCACTTTCGATTCCCGGGCAGCTCAGTAGCTGGTCCAGCCGAACCGATCTTGAAGAGCCCTTCAATGATATCCCGTCGACTATCATTCGGAATTGATTCACGATAGAACAGAAGTGCGTCACTATAAAGGTCCGGACAAGTTTGCGCCAGTTCGCGGGCGTCTTCCAATATCATATCGTAAACGCTAGTCTCGTGGATCTCAAAGGGCCCATCACCCTTATCGCGCAGATCGGTGTATATCCCATCTTTGGCGCGTCCATCGATATGGTACCGCGCATAGATCGCATCCCCATAGCGCTTTTCGGAGATCGCGGTGCAGTAGCGAGATGCCCATGGCTCGACGAGTCGTGTTCTCGCCGTTTTGTTGAGGACGTCTGCGACGGGGATATCGAGGAACAGTTGTTCAGGGAGGGGCGATTCCATCTTTGTGGTATTACCTCGTATACTAGCCACGAGCAAGCTTTGCGGGGTCGATTCTTGTAGTGATCGAAAAGAAAAGAATCTAATGAACCGATATGTTCTTGTGCCAAGATAACGTTGTGTAGAGGACAGTGTAAGTATTTGTACAAAGGATGCGAAAAGAGAGCCCAGAACTGTAGAATCGTGTCCAGGCAGCTCCGAGTCTGACAATAGGCATCCGCGGTTAGAAGCTGTGGTGGGTGATCGCGGGTGAGCACAAATTAGGGCTCTGGGCTGGTCTTCCCTTCCTCTCCAGTTTGTCCCTGTCCTATGCATGCATGTGAATGTTTGGTTTGAAGTATTGAAAATAGACTCTTCAACAACAGGAGATATTGTCTTGTGTCTTCTCTTGGGAGAACAGTTCACTGCTTTTAAGTGCCTGCGATGGCGAGCTTTCCTTCCGTCGGGTCATCGGAAATGCACATGCACATGCACAGTATACGTCTACAAATGGCCCCAAAGACTTCTCCAAATACACGAACAATGAGTCTGACTCAGGGAGACGTCTCCGAATCCCCCGATGGAGAAGTAGACGATTGATCCTGGACCTCTACACCATCCTTCATAGCAGCAGCAGCAGCACCACCAGAAGGAACAGCAGGACCAACATCAACCTTCGCACCACCTCCTCCCTTCCCGCGGCCACCATTCTTCCCCAAAACGCCCCGATAAACCTCCCCTTCCTCCTCCTTCAACCCCACCCCAGTGGGATCCCGATCCAACAAGAACCGCTGCACCTTCTCCTCCAACCCTTTCCCCCGCTCCGCGACGACGGACTTCTCCCGGCGCCCATTCAGGAACCGCTCTGACTGCTCCGTGACCTCCCACAACCGCTCCTCATACCCGCTACTCAGCTGACTGATCCACGAGGCCTGCAGCGCCCCGCCCAGCAGCGTGAGCAGCACCACAAACGAGATGAACGTCCGGTTGTCCACCATGTGCTGCTGCCGCCCCTGGTGGCGGTTGTGCCAGCGCTCCCAGTCCTCCCAGGTGGCGTTGGCGAAGATGGGCCCGTAGTCCTTGGAGCCCGGGCGGGCCCACGGCGGTACCTCGTTTTCGGGGTGCTCACCAGCGGCAGTGTGATGGCGGTCCGGGCGGTGGACGTTCCATCCCGTGCCGAACTGGTCGTACGCTGCTCGTCGGGCGGGGTCGGAGAGGAGTTCGTGTGCGGCGACCAGGAGGTGGTACCGTTGGAGGCGGACCTCGGGGGTGAGGTTCTGGAGGAGGGGGTGTTGGTGGTGGTGGTGGTGGTGGTGGTGGTGGTTGCTGCTGCTGCTGCTGCTGCCGCCGCCGCCGCCGCCGCCGCCGCTGCTCGGTAAGGAGCGGTCCGGGTGATAGATTTTCACGAGCTCATAGTATCGTGTTTTCGTGTAGGGGGCTTTTTGGTCGAGATGGAAGAGGTCGTACGGGGTGAAGGTTGGTGTAGTTGGCCATGTTAGGTCGTGAGAGTTGAGGTTGGAGTTGGTGCTGCTGGTGGCGTAACGCTGCGAGCGGTGCCGCCGAGCGGGGAAGTGCGAGCAATAGCTTAAGTTCAGGAACTGTAGGCCGCCGTGGTTGAGGAGATTGGGTTTCCTGAGCATGGCCGCATGGCTTTGTGGGAGAGAAAGGACGGGATGTTCCTTCTCTCCTGCAGTGGTGGGTGTATATGGGTGTATATGGGTGTGGTGTATACGGTGGTAATGGTGTAGTGATGATAGTACTTCTGTACATCCCCTCTCTGGGGAAGTTCGGATGCAGTGCAGCGTCGGGCCCCGAGTGACGAAGCACTGTCCGGCGGAGACCCACTGTCTGCCGTCACGTGCAGCGGCATTCAACAAGCTCCGCTCATCTTCAATCTGTAAACACCTCCATCTCCTTCATTAAACACAACAACCTTTTCAACACCAATGCCAGGCTCACCAGACCCTCACCCTCAGAGGCGCCACCGCTCGCCATCCGGCTCGCCTGCCCCATCTCGCGACCGCCGCGACCGAGAGCGAGAGCGAGAGCGAGTCCGCGACTCGTCGCGCGACAACCGATCCCGCCGCCACGACAGCCACCGCAGCTCGCGCAGAGACAGCTCCCGCCACCGCGAACACCGTCGCTCGTCACGCAGTCCAAGCGACCGTGAGCGCAGCCGCCGAGACGATGACAGCCACCATCGCAGGGAACGAAGGAAGCGCGCAACAAGCCCGCGGGACGAGCGAGACCGAGATCGGGACCGAGATCGAGACCGCCACCGCCGTCGACACCGGGACTACGACGACGACAACTCCTACCGATCCTCCAACCGCCGCCATCGCGATCGCGACACCAGCAAAGACAGAACCAAGCCCACCTCTTCCTCCCGCCGACACCGCGACAGTCCCTCGCGCTCGCGCTCGCGCAGTCCCAACACCGCCGCCGCCGCCGCCTCCGCCCCAATCCGCTCCTCCAAACCCCTCCCCTCCCAACAATCCGCCTACACCATCGACCTGAACCCCTCAGATGCCCAATCCCCAGCCGCCGAGATCGAAAAAGAAAAACCTAACTTCGGCACGACCGGCCGCCTCGCCGCCGAAAGCAACACCGTAACTGTCCCCGGCGGCGGAGGCAACGGCGCCACCACCGTGGTGCTCAAATACCACGAACCGCCGGAGGCCCGCAAGCCGCCGGCCAAGGACAGCTGGCGGCTGTATGTATTCAAGGGGCAGGACCTACTGGAGATGGTGGAGCTGAACGTGCGGAGCTGCTGGCTGGTGGGGCGGGAGCACCTGGTGGTGGATTTCCCGCTGGAGCATCCGAGCTGCTCAAAGCAGCATGCGGCGCTCCAGTTCCGGTTCGTCGAGAAGAAGAACGAGTACGGGGATCGGATCGGGCGCGTCAAGCCCTACGTGATCGATCTGGAGAGCGCGAATGGGACGACGGTGAACGGGGACAGGATCCCCGCGGGCCGGTTTGTGGAGATTATGAATAAGGACGTGTTGCGGTTTGGGCTGAGTTCGAGGGAGTATGTGCTTATGTTGACGAAGCCGGAGTAATCTAGGTATGGATTTTGGGGGGCTGGGGAACGGCTATCGATGAAAGGGTCTGGTCGATTCAACTTTCTGGATGTTTGGTGCACGGCCATGATATGGGGTTGGTGATGTTGTCCCGCGCATGCCTTCGTAGAGCCAACATACCTACGTTTCAGGACACAGCTAGTTGTCGCATTGGTCAGAGCAGCGAACGCTCCCAATGACATACTCATGGTGGACTACCCAGTCACTAGTCAATCGTCGCCTACCAACGCCACTACGGGAATGCTGGCAGCCATTTTCGAGATCCAGAACGCTACATAGGCAAGAAGCCAATAAAAAATGCCAAGCATGATAGACAAAAACTATGCAATGAGCCGTCGATATTTCAGTAAACCTCCATGCCAAGATCGCCATGCACTAGAAAAGAGTAATCATAGGTATATGAAAGTGGGGTCCTCGAAACCCCAAGGGTACTCAAAAAAAGACCACAATCTCTCCCCGCTCGTTCATCTTGAGCCGCAAAGTGCGCCACAGTTCCTTCTCGTCATCGACTCTCCGCTCGCGGTCCGCGCGACTGCGACCCTGGTCGCGGCCCCGGTCGGCATCGAATTCATCGGTGAAATCCTTGTGGAACCGCTTCAGCACCTTGTTCACGGAGAATCCGCGCGAGCTCTCGGGACCCTTGGTCACCAGCGACAGGAAGTGGCTCGCCATCTGCCGTTGCAAGCCATCCGGCACCGTGCTCTTGGGGTACAGCGTCACCTGCCGACCATCCTCGTCGTGGTGCGATTCCGGGTACTCGATCTGCTTCTGACGGCGCGGCGGCCGGTCGCCTTCGGTCTGGGCGCTGCTCTTGCGCTTGGACTTGCGGGCATCCGCCGACTCGGCGGCCTTGGCTTCGCCATTCTCGCGAATCTTGTGGGTCTTCTTCGCGCGACGAGTCTCCAGCTGGCCGTTGGCGCTGCTACCAGAGACGGAGGAGCCTCCGAACATCGACGAGACGAACCGCTCAGCACGGTTCTTCATGGAGATACCCAAGCCCGCGTCGGCTTGATTCTCCTTGTCGTCGCGACGGGTCCGCTTGATCGGGGACGAGGTTTCCTGGTAGCGTCGACGGGAAGAGTTCTCGTGTCCTTCTTCGTCGTCCAGCGACGGGGAGCGGAGCATACGGTTCAGTCCTCCCGTGAGCCCGGAGTGGTTCAACATCGGGGTGCCTGGGTGGTTGACGACGCTCGAGGGGGCATCCAGCATTGGCGTGTCTGTCTCGGTGTCGTGGTCCTCGGTGCGGCGCTTGCGCTTCTTCTCGCTCGTAACACCCTCGGCCTTGGCAGCGCGGTCCTTCTTCTTCCTGGGCGCAGGGGTCATGAACTCCAAGGACACGTTGGGGGCCTTGCGGTCGTAGGGGGACTGGTTGATCGGGCCCGATCCGTACGAGAATCCATTCTCTTCATACGCAACGTCGTCTGTCTTGTTGTCGTCACCGCCATCCGTGTCGACGCGAGCCAGCGACTTGCTCGACTCGAAGACCGAAGGCGCGTTGGCGACCATCTTCATTTGTTCCTTAGCCTCGTTCACGGAGACCTTCGAGGCATTGGGGGTGCCCTCAGGGACAAGGTAGTCGAAGACATTTACCGGCTTGTCAGTCTTCCCTTCGGTGCGCGGGGTCTTTTCCACGCCTGCGGGAGGAGGGCTAGGCGCAGGTGGGGGAAGATTATCGGTATCGGTTCCATCCTCCACGTAAGGTGCCCGGTGACCGTGGGGGGTCTGCTTCTGATTGTGGTTCTGGTGTTGGTTCTGGTTCTGGTTTTGTCGGCCGTTGTTCTGCCCTTTGCGTTGGTTCTTGGCCGGCTTTTCTCTGTACAGCGCGCCTTGGTATTTTTGCGCCTCAGACATGCAGGACTAATACGCTAGGTCAGTTTTGGTTCACTAATTCGACAATTGTATGGCATTTTTGAGACAAGAGAGTAAGGCAGAATGCCTTGCAGGTGTAAACGCAACGTCAAAGAGTAACAGCGGGCAATCCAGTCCACGAGGAGGTAATGGAAGCCAATCCCAAGGGAAGAGATGTACGTACCGTGTGCGATCTGTAGCTAGTTCCCTGGAAATGCACCATACAGTCGATGCAGGTGTAGGACGCGCCGCGACATTGGTTGCGATGGGGGTCGAGCTTCTTCTTGGTAAGGACATCACCACAAGCCTATAAAGATCGTCGCTTATTAGCGCACGCCGTTGTTCAGTGGCCAAAAAGGCCCTTTCCAAAGGATGGGGGTAGGCGATGATGCGCGACTCACCTCGCAAGAAAATGAAACCATCTTGTCAAAATCCGCTGGATTAGACCGCGATTTGTTCGAGTAGGTGAGGCGCGATTTGAGACAGCGCCGATATGAGAAGGAAAAAAAGAAGAGGAAAATCAAAAGTCCGGTGGATGGATGGGGCCCGGCAGAATTAAGCTAGACTTTCGGGGGACCCGCAACGGACCTGAACAAGACCACGGGCAGAAAGAAGACCAGACCACTCCGTATTGTAGGTAGTCAGACTGTCGGTTACACTGAGATTGTTGTCCGGGACAACGGACAAACACGAGATTGTACTATGTGAGATGCCAGAGTGAGGAAAAAGCGAAGAAGGGAGATCGAGCAATCGCGTGGTGGGGGGTTCTGAAACCCGAGGAATTTGTGTCAGCTTTTGCGCCGTCCTCGTTCCCCAGCGCGTTCTCTCTTAAAAAAAAAAAAGAAAAAACAAAAAAAAAAGAGAAAAAAAAGAGAAGGATGTGTAGCAGGAAGCGCTGCGCCGCCAAAACAAAACCCGTGAGGCGGCAAGGTGGGTTGATCGCGAATTAGTTTTTCTGATCCTCCGCCGGGACGAACAGGACCCGGTTTTTTTCGTGCTCCGGTGGCACCTGACTAGGAGCTTCTTCGCTAATTCTGACCCTATCAAGTGTCTTCATGCGTAATCCCTTGAAACCCTTGATGGCGAGTGCTTCGAGAATTTTTGGGAATGTCGTAGGCCTGATGATCTCGGACAGATGATCCTCAAGCATGAGATCTCCCCAGAAGTAGCGCCCGCCCGAGGTAATTATGTAGTCCATGTCCTTGGTACCCAATAGGACAATCTCAGCATTTGCGATGCCGAAGCATCGCGACTGGTAGGCTTCCAAGCTGTTATGGGTGAAGTAGCGCTTGAGCTTGTTTGGGTCGTTGGTCCAGCCTTCGGGCATAGGCGCAGACTAAATTTCCATTAGACTGGTTAGGAGAGTCAAGTTGTGGTTGAGGAAACTATGAGGAAATGATATGGGCGAGGATGCAAGCAGAGACATGCGGGAGTGAAAAGTACACATCCCACGATTTGTATCATGAGTATATATATATATATATATATTTTTGTAACATGGCTTAGTAGATCTTGAATTATCTGAGCTTCCATTGTGCTGACGCTGAGGAGATATCAAGAAAAAGCTGGGTGATGGTAAATGATTGGGCTGTTTGAGGACGGATGGTCGAGGTACCGAGTACTTTGGTTACCGTGAGGGGGAGTGGGGGGAAGAGGGGGTGAATGATTCTGCCAGGCGGGAGGCGGTCAGTCTGGCCGGGCCCATTGTCAATCCACCGTCAATCATCCCACGCACGCCTCCTTAAAGTGTTGGGCGATCTGTCTTCCTCACGGTATAGACTATAGATCAGCCACTCCATGATGGCACACCGCCAGATTACCCGGCCGCTTCTTACCGGCGCATGTATCACTATCTTTTTAATCTTTCTCTTCTTGGTCCAACCTCAAGGTCCGCCGAGTCCCGCCGTTCGCGCTCCTGGCCACCTCGACAAATCCGCGCCGGCCGTGGTGTCCAAAGATGATTTGATCAAAGGGGAGGTGGTGATGCCCAAGCTCGGGAATGCGACGGCAAAGTGAGAATCCAATCAATTTTTGTTTTGAAATCTGTCATGATTCTAACGGGATTGTCGTCGGAATCTGTAGGGCGGAATTAGGCCGTGCGACCTGGAAATACTTCCATACCATGCTGGCTCGGTATCCCGAAGATCCGACCGAGGAGCAGCAGGAAACCTTGCGCTCTTTTATCTATCTCTTTGCGCGACTCTATCCATGGTATAGTCGTCCTTTTGCACCTCCGTTATTGCTGCATACTGACCAGGGCCTCTTCCTAGTGGCGAATGCGCTTCGCACTTCCAAGGTCATTTGAAAAAGTATCCCCCGCAGGTCTCGTCGCGCAATGCGGCTGCTGGATGGGGCTGTTTCATTCACAACGAAGTGAACATCATGCTCGAGAAGCCCGAGTTCGACTGCAACAATATCGGCGATTTCTATGATTGCGGCTGCGCGAAAGACGAAGAGGACGAGGATGAGGACTCCACCACAAACAAGGATCTGACTAGTGCGCGGAGGGAGGCCGATAGCGTGGACGCATTGCCGCCGGTCGAGATTAACAGGGAACCGTTCGTGCTCCCTTCGTATCCCATGATTATGGATGCCTTGCTGATCAGCTTCCACTATAGGACTACTCGAGGATGAACGCTGCGCGCCCCCATCTCGATATTTCTGACCCATTCCATTCCCTTGTGACTTATTCTCTTTCTTTCGCATTATACATACTCTTCACCAGTGCCGGATTGCTGGGTGCATTGATCCGGTCCGTGCACGGTAGTTTTAGTTATATATAACACAATTTTATACTCATTGATTGAGTGATTTGATGTTGCACTGCGGGGAGGCAGGATCCGTGCCTGATTGGAAAGGCAGCCAACATCTTGAAAAGTGACTAGTCCCCGACAGGCTTAGCCGCTCCCAGACATCGATTCGGGATCAGGTTGCAGATCGGCTATGTTGGTTTTTAGCGTTGTGTGACTCTGAGAAGCGGAAGCTTAGTTCGGGCCAGTCAACTTAAGGTCCACTCGTTTCGTGACAGCTACGACCCACTCTCGACATGCGATAGGGGATAAATTGCTGGAAGTCATCCAATACCTTATGGTAAGTACTGATAGTACTATAGTACTATACCTCCCAGCACTTTCACTGCCGGTCTCAAAGAGCTCAACGATTTACCATAGCGCAAGTTGGACTATCGAAGCTCTTTTTCCATAGCCCCAGTGTAATGGAGACCTAGGTAAGTCACAGTCTATTAAGCTATATAACCATACTATAATGCGTGGAAAGTGTACTTTTGGCAGCTTAATGGCTTCTTCTGTCCTCATTTTCTTCTTCGCTCATTCACAAGTTGACTTTCCTACCAAGTCTGACGGAATCTAGCCTGAACCTATGCCCGAAGGCTGGACCAATGACCCTCATTTCTTGGACATCTACCTCTCACCTGAAAGTAGAGAGGCCCATATGGCCCGATGCTGCGGCCTTAAAGATGCTGAACTTGTTCTTATGGGAACTCCCGAATCAGGGGAGGTGCAGTTCATCATCACAGCTGGAGGCAAGTTCTATTGGGGGCACTTTATGATCGATCACCTTGGATAGATCACGCGGCCTAAGACTTTCCCGGAGATACTCCATGCCCTTGATGCTAAGGGTCTTAAAGGTCTACGCATGAAGATCCTGGAGCCGGTGTGGACCAACGAAGAGGAGGAGG